CTTCCCAAGATATGAGATTTGGAAACTTTCTGCTGTTATACAGGACTCATTAAAATGATGAACTCTTTTCATGAATATTTTAAAATAAATCATGTTAATCGATTAACCTGCGCAAATCAATCACTGCACATAATTTGTAAGCCTGAAGTTTGTGAATCCTGAATATCAGCTTTAAAAGTACAAAACGCTTTCATATTTGTATGCAAACTTTACAAATATGGATACAAATTCAAGAGGTTTATCTTCGCGTGCTTTAATTATCTCACGTATCCCGAAAAAAATATGCAATAATCCCGCAAGGCGAGAAAATCTCAACTCTTGAATTTATTTTTCATCGGGTCTTCGATAGTAAATTCCTCTCCCTGACGTGGATTTGCAAGAGAAGGGATTACCATCCAGTGAGAAGATGGAATTGGAAAATGAAATTGCGTTTGGTAAATGGATCGTAAGAAAACTGATGGTTCATCCATGATAGGTCGATATATATATATATATTCAGACTGCGCGCAGACTTTGGAAACACGGCCTCACATTGCTAAATGGCCCATTCCCTTTCTCGCATGGTCTGGAAATCAGTTGAATATCCCAGAAATCCCGGGTCTTCTCAAAAGCAGCCCGTGAAGGATGGAACCCCGTGACATTTATGTTTCTTATGCATCGCTGATGCGAAAATCACTATCTCGAATTTCTAGATTATGCTGTCATTTGAGAGAATTATATAATCGCTCAATGTCGTGACGAAATCATTCCATCAAAGGATACGTAGTTAGTCTGCCTCAAAATGTTCATAGGTTTCTTTCCATTCTCCATATTGTACAAGAATAAATACGGCTCAGAAATGTTTCTTTTAAAAAAAAAAAGGGACACGGGGTGCTGTCCCATATTTTGACTGCGACGACTAAGACCAAAATCCTGACTAAGCTGTTTAAAAATTCATGGATCCCAAATCCCGACCAAGGAAAGCGACAAATCAAGAATGATGCTTTGGGGTTAGTTACAGGGCACACACAAAAAAATAAAAATTGGTTTAAAATGTTTCACAAATAATAAAAATGACATGCACAATATTTCACGCTCATGGAATTATAGGAATAACTTTCTTTGTCAAATATCTGAACGAAGTATGGTAAATTAGCGTCTAGCGTTTACATATTTAATGCATTTATTATTACAATTTAATATGACAGAAAACTCTTTGTGAGTTTCTATCAGTTCCTTGCTTCAGGTTTCAGATTGCTTAAAATTCGACCATTATAGCTTTTTAACTGCGTAAAAAGCTAGCAAATTATCTTGTAGAATAAAAAATTATTTGCATGGAATGAAGTAAATTTTGATCTGAGTGTAGTTTGACCTCGTATGAGCTGGTTCTATGGGACAGGTCAATATTTTTTAGGTCCCTCTCCGGTACATATATTCAATTAAGCCTGAAAAGGTTAACAGTTAATTAAAATTTCTTCATTCAAAAATTTTATATTCAACAAAGAAAACCGCACACAAGTTGAATCCATTTAAACTGAGCCGATGAAATTCAGCCTATCTGACCTCACCTGACCATTTCGAAAACAGGTAAAAACTTTCGAAGTGATACTCACACAGTTATAATCGAAATTATGATCATAGCTGATAATTCCAGCCAACAATAAATTACCTTTTTAAGGCTTTAAAAAAATCGCAGATAATTCGAAAAATACTTTCAGCAAATTTTTAAAATTACAAATAAGATTTAAATAATGTCCCCTAATATTTTGAAAAGGCTTAACATGCATTAGCTGGGAAAATCAGTCAAATGAGCGGAGGGGGGGGGTTAGCTTAAGCAGTTGAAATGAAGTCTCTTATAGTGTCCGATAGTCGATAAAATTCTGAAAATTTCGATTACCGCAAATATGCGATGAATGTAAGTCCACTCATTCTAAGTAAGGTCTAATGAATCTTCAGCATTTAATCCAGCTTATGCGAGTGGATTGTGCCTTGGTCAGGTTGGGTCACCCGAAAAAGTACAGTATGCTTTTTCCAAAATAATCAATGGCGTACGTTAGTCTCATTTTCCCCTTTAGTTTATTTTTTTTTGGGTCCAACCTATTCGCTCAAGCCCTATATAGCAGGAAATCCAGAAGGCCATAAAGTCATTACATAAAATACACGATGTGCTGTTGGCTGGATGGGGATCTATCGTAGGCGAGAGAGAAAAAAAAAGCACATATGAGCAAGAAGTGGGGATGAAGGACCCAAATGGAAACAGCAGCATCAAAACACCATGTAATGCAATTCATAGCATGGCCTCTGCACAGTAGCGGTTCATCACGCGAAAAGCCCGCGGAAATCCCACCGAAATCCCGCTAATATCATCAACACGTATATAAGGACCTGGAGCCGAGGACGAACATCGGTTTCCATCAACAACCAGCCCGGATTTCTTCGGCCTCTCCCCAGAGAGGGAATATCTGGCTCCGAGGCTTATTTGGATGAATGGCGAAGGCTTCAGGAAAAAGTTATCTTGCTTTTCCGGCTTTTTGTTGTTGTTGTTGCTTGTTTTTGTGTTGTTTCTGCTGTATATACAGCAGTGTTGCAGGCCTGCTGGTTCCAAACCATGCACCACTGTGAAGGATTGTCATCAGAAATCACACAAGATTGTATAATTCAGTGGTCTGCAACACCCGTGATGGTCTGTGGACCAGTCAAAATCCTCAGAAGTTTTTTTTTTTTTTTTTCTGCCAGTATGTGGAAAATTTTCTTTAACATGCACTTCAACCTCTCTAAGTCAAATTTCTATGGACCAAGAAAATTTTTTTACTTGAGGAGGTTTCAATTTTTGGAGGTTTTGAGTTAAGGAAACAAACATTTTTGCTGTGAGGATTTTTCTTCAACATGCACTTCAACCTCTCTAAGTCAAATTTCTATGGACCAAGAAAATTTTTTTACTTGAGGAGGTTTCAATTTTTGGAGGTTTTGAGTTAAGGAAACAAACATTTTTGCTGTGAGGATAAGTAAGACAAAATTGCGGGAAATTGTTAAAGAGAATATTCTGGGCCTAAACTTGCTTCTTATTGAATTTACATCTTGCTGAACTTGGACCCAGGGGTTCATTTTTTCATTTAGTCTTTCACTTCCTTTCAAGATCCATCAAATCATATGTTTTATTGATTTTTCTCTTTCATATACAGTAGATCAAGGGAATATTAACAAAAAGGCATTATGAAATTCAACTTACAGAGGTTTGAGAGAAAAAGACTTTGAGTTTGGGAGATTTTTAATGCATTGTGTCCAAGGGAATTCAGACAGGGACTTGAAAAAAATTTGACTTAGAGAGATATTTGATTCAAGGTGGTTCAACTCATCAAGGTTCAACTATACTAAATTTATCAAAAGAAGTGAAGTACTAAAGTCAGTTATCTTCATCTGGAATATTGGAAAGATGATGGCAGTTGAAATTATCAGATGGAAAACAAATGTTGGCTTTTCTCAAAACAAAACCCAAAAAAAAGCACCTCAGACAAATTTTCATCTGCTAAAATGATTAACTTCAAGTTTTCATTCTGAGAAACCTTTCTTGAAGTCCAGCTTTCTATTTTCAAGACATTCCACTGTAACTGCTTCATTGGTTCTTAACTTAATTTTTGCTATAAAACTTTTGTTTGGAGGACTTTATGGTAGGTATACAAAATTTTCCGCAGATTTTCAAAAATATGGAACTGCAATTTTTTGGAACTTTGGCAGTTCAAAACAAATTTATGGAAGTTTCCTGGTCAGCAGAATATTTTACAGAACTTTGCCCAATGGCAGGCCAAAAGATTCTGTATAGTCATACATGCTGACGCTCATGAAAAAGAGAGGAAAATACTGTACTTCATATACAGTATTGTATTATTACACCGAAAAAAGGAAATAGTAATAACCAAAATTTAAGGAGAACGAGAAATTTATTTCAAAAATGCTTTAGGAATTTAAATTTTTAAAAATAGTGTAAAAGAGCCAGAAGCTCGATTTTAAATAATTTTCAAAATTCTGTCTCGATTCTCTTTCCTCTCACTAAAATACAACTTTAGCCGTTTCCGCTAAAAGTGTCTTTTCATTCAGCAAACTATCAAAATTGCCGCATCATATTGCACCTGGTATTCCAAAAGCACCCGCTAAATTATTTGGGAAAACTTTTCAAATGCTCACACCGTTAGATGCTTCTTTGAAAGGGAATTGGTTGCTGGTCTGACTTCTGGCTGAGCCCATTTGACACACACGATGGGGGAGCTACTTGATCCTTCATACTCCCACGAATTTTCGAAATGGGCTAAAATCTTATGCCGATGAAAACCGACTCTTTGAAAAGAAATGTTTGCGCACATTTTTTTTTATTTATGTTGCGCACATAAATCAATAAGCTTCATTTATTTACTCAGTACTTGACACGAAGGATTAGAAACATTTCCTGGGAAACTTTTGACATTTGGCGACACCTACCTTCCTACACTGAAGCACGACTATAAAGCAAATCCTTGCTGACCAGGTGTAACTCCAAGTACCCTCCTCGTCCATTTTGGACTTCCTGAGTTATACAACATAAAATCCACAAGACAACGGTCAGAGTGCATGTCAACATTCTGAAATGACAGGTCTTTTTCAGTACACCGTGCGGCGTGTTTAATAAATGACATAACCAATTGAAGCGCTTCCTTGTCTTGTCACGTTCGAAGTAAAAAATCTACCAGGAAGTAGTATGAAATGGCATCCTAAATTCGTCGTGTCAATATAATACCTTCACAGCATTGACACTTGACTATATTGATCCCAACGTTAGCTGAGGTTCTAGAAAAAGATTGCACACCAGAAAAAAACTTTGCAAAATTTCAAATTCCTGACAAATATCGCACGTTTAAAAAAAATGGAAGAAATAAATACGAGTAAAACTTCAAATTTCACTTCTTATTCCACAGAATCACGGGAACGCATATTATCATATAACAAACAAAAAATAATATCGCAACCTTTCCAATGGCGTTAACACGCAGCTACATCGTCCAAAACGCCCAAGGAAACATTTCAAATAGAAGATATGAACCTCCTTCGGTCTTGTAAATGTGACGCATGACCTGAAGCAACCCTTCGTTGGAACTCTGAATTTGTACTCGGGATTTGACTACGTCAAAAGGGAAGACAACAGTCCACAATGTCATTCCTCCGACTCCACCAGCAACGATCGTCCGAAGAATCCCTAAAAAAAGGTGATTTGGCAAGATTCCGAAAACAATTTTGAAACACTGTAACAAGAACTTATACTTAACTCCCAAGTTAATCAACCTTTCACATTATGGCATCATAAACATTCCAAAGACAGTACAAACTAACCTAGCCTAACCAAACTTATAAAGAGAATTTAACCTGAACAAATCTCGATTCAACTGACCTAACCCAACTTTGATGTGGGTTCACAACTGAACACGCAATCTGATGAGAACGGCAATCAGATCAAGGGAAACTCCAGCAAAATAATGATGAACAAATAAGTAACACGCAGGTATAATTTAATGGTTCCGTTGCTTTACCTATGTCATCCTTGCTCTTTCCTTCTGGTGTCAGCATTCCCCTCGTAAATTCGTAGCCTCCGAAGAAGAAGAAATATCCACCCATTTCTCTGGCCATGGTTGAAGAAAGCCCGCAAAACATGCCTCGAAACCCGCCCGTTCTCATGATGTGCCTTGTCAACGCAAACGGCGTCCACGGGATCTACAAATGGCATGAATAATTGATGCAGTATGCTTTTAAGATACTGTAATCCTAACGAACATACTTTCCAGGAATCATATGGAAATCGGAAACAAATTAGGGGTTGAATGATTTCCCGTGGATTCACGTGGGGTTCAAAGGAGTCGCTAATGAGCAAATGGCTAAGGCAGGGAAGTGATCCCTATGTAAAAAGTTTCTCTCTCGGAAGCCGGAACATTTTACTCTGAAATGTCGGATAGGTGTCACTTTGATCACTAACCTCACCAACAACACCTCAACTGGAAGCTTGAATATTTTGAATTTTTGAGATTGCTGAAACCTTCGAAATACCGGACTTAATTATTCGACGTACAGAAAAGGTGGAAAACGTACCGATTTTCCACTAACGATGCATGAGTTCATTGCGCCAGTTTCCCTCAAAGCTTGTAACTTGCATTTGATCAGCTCCGTGGGACACAAAGTGAATGAACAAAAAAACGCTGCAGCTGATCCGCATATCGCACTGGCAAGGTTGGGCAATTCTTTGACGGACTGCAGGGAATAAGAATAATGCGCAGACGCGGGTAAAGACACGATTTCGCACAAACGACTGAATCAAGGTAAAGAGAAAAAAAATACAGTGGCCCAACAGATATTGTACGTCTCGCATAACGAACCCATGCTTCCATCGAATTTGTTGCCTACGTGCACATAAACGCATACAGCATGAAACGTGAGTAGCCTTGAAGAAAATCGAAACTGCAGTGGGAAATTCGGGATAATTTTTCAAGTTGATGATTATTTTCTTGAGTGCTTACAGGTAGCCCCTTTCTAAAATTATCTCGTCCAAAACAATTTTCTCTGCACAACGATTTTGTTGTTCACACTCAAGTCTATACCCAAATTATAGATGAGGTTCTGTACAAGGAAATTCTCGCAACAAAGATGTTTTTTTGGTCCACCCCCCCCCCTTAACTTTGTCGTAGAGAGAGATTCCAGCTGTATTTTTCCGGGAGTCCACGCATTGCAGCTTCAAATAAAGGAAAAAATCCGCATAACGGACTTCCCTTAGCAGTTAGGACTGATTCAAGTCTACCAACCAAGGCACCGCTGTATCAGAAAAACAAATAAAATAAAATATAAAAACAACGCACAGGGACACCAGTGAGGTTCACAGCAAGCTTCTGCAGAGTCCCGTAGGCAGCGAAGAGGACTGAGTTTTCGGCAACGTTAGCAGCAACAGCCGGCAATGTTCCAGCATAGAGTCCGCGAGCAATGCCGTCTTTTCGAAACGTGTCTTTCAAGCATGAGATCATTCTGGAGTGCAGGTGAGGGAACGTCTGCATTTTCACCTTCACGGTGTCCAAGGGCTGGCCGACGTACACACTCGCAATTCCACCTGGCGGGAAGTTTAGTTTCTCAGTTGCTTGAAAAGGCAGTTTTACTTTCTCCAGAAATGCAATGCTGCATGCAGACGACGCTTGACAGCGGACAGCAGTGCTTGAATACTAACAATCTTTCATTTTCTTAAGACTTCGGTCCAAAAATTTTATTTTCAGTCGAAATGGAAAATACCGTTGGACCACTTGGACAAATTTAATCCCTTGAAGATTTAAGGGGACAAAATAAATTTGACGCTTGCTCTCATTGAACTCTCATCAAAATAGAAGCATAGTTTTCAAATTTTAAACTTATTGTTACCCGCGGAATTTCGAGAAATTGAAAACTTACGAAATTTATTTTCATTCCACATTAAGCTCTTGAACAGACGAATGCAATCATGCTCAATCTTCTTTCTTCAAATGATATGCAGCAGGGATATGTTTGAGGTTCACATTCAAACGTTTCAAAAATAATAATTTCAAAAACTGAAATTTAATTTTAAAAAGGTTTACATGCGATCAGCAATTTCGAATTTATTCTTTTCCTTTCAATGAAAAATAGCAACATTAGGAAGCACTCATCAATCGAAAAGCGTTTGAAGAATTCTCTTTTCCGACATCTGTCAAGTCGTATAACCTTCTTTTCAAAATTTCTCGGGGAAGTTCCGTGTCATGACAAAATGTAATTAAGAAAAATTTAACGGAGCGAGTATATCATTGAAAATAATTAACAGCATAAAAGGTCGGGTTCTGAAGTTTTGGAAAGATTCAGGTATGTTAAAATCTTCAGAAATTATTCAAATGGTGCACCTTACGAAATGTGAATCGTGAATCTCACCGAATGTACCAGCAACGAAACCTATCAGGGGATCCTTGAAAGTCGTCGTCGTTCGTTCAGTTTTTTGCAGAATTCCAGACTCTCCGATCTCAAACACCGGACGTTCATGATACAATTCCCGCAGTTCTTCTTCGACAATCTCCGCCGATGGCGTAGTCATGATTGAACAAGCCCTCCGGCGTTTTCTTTTTCGAACTTATTTTCTTCGACCAAAAATTACAAGAATCGCACGGATCCTGAATAATAAATGACTTTCAATAATTAATTACGAACGAGAGCAGCTCTTCCGCTGTGAGCCAACTTCCACTCTCCACTTGCACCAGCAAAATGTTTTTTTCATGGTAAATATCACTCACAAAGCCGGGAAAAGTAACACGTCGACGTATTTTTTACTCATAATACAAGTACAGTATGTTCAAGGCGGGTTTCAAAAAATATTTTCATTGATAAAATAAGCAGCAATTATTTTATGGAAGGCCGCAGTTCTCCCGAAAATTTTCAGTGCGGCCTATTCCCGAGATCATTTTTAATCGGCGAACACTACTCGAAAAAAATACTTCAACCTCTGAGGGTATTCAAATTATTCCTTATTCTCCTCAATAATTAACTACAAACGAGGGCAGCTCGTAATTGACATGAGAGAGGGATGTTATACTTTCAACTTTTCGAGACATTCTTTAGAAAAATCACGTTTTTCTCCCGCATAAGCTGTATATTTGCTCAAAATTGGCAGATTTTTTTCTCGGTGTAAACCCTTATTCCCTCCAAACATCTTTTTAAGATCGGGGTCGGCCTATAATCACGTCAGTACGGTAGTTTGAGCATGAGAAAAGCACACAAAAAAGCAAAGGAGAGCACTGAAAAAACATTGAAACCGGCAATCGCTAATGCTCTTCGAAATAAAACTCCAAACGTCATTCCCAACGACTAAATCACTACATGAAGCAAATGAGTCGCAACGCGCTCAGAATAAAGATGATCATTAAATCAACTACGCAAGTCGTGCATACGACGCCGAAGACGAGATAAAATTCGTCGCAATTACACACGCGATGCATCCGACGAATAATCCAGACGAAGGGCTTCTATAGAAACCCAAGGGAACAAGACCACGGGAACGATTAAGCCTGTTTTTTCAACTGCCCAGAAAATGACCCATGACCAAAGCACAAACAACCTGGTGAGAAAATCGTCAGAGAGGAAAAATGCAGTTGATCCATGCCCCAATTATTCATGCTTCAATCAACCATAAAAATCATCAGCTGTGCAACAGTTTTTGATTCACAAAGAAAACACAGCGGTCTGCATTATTTGCAATCGAGCCACTCCGTTTCTCTCTGATAAACTTACATTTTCCGTGGAAATGCGTAAGGATAAAAATATGTGATCGTCGACTTTGTTAATTATTGCGGGATTGTCAATAGCATATTAAGAGACCACAGAAGAAATTTCCTCAAACTTGTCGAATAAAAATGTAGAATGTTAAATTAACCGGGAAAAATTACAGCTACTATGATTTGACTTCAACTACACTGCGTAATATTCGAATTGTATCATACTGCAGCAGTACATGCATTTTCGCACTAGATGATTCTCCCACCGGCCGCGGGATGATTCATCTCTTGGGTTCGTTTTCCAACAGCGTACTTTTCCTTCGGGGTCTATTCTTTTGTCACACTCAGTTCCACGTTCGACAACGTCAGATGGATGACACTTCGCTAAAAATGAGACGATGAAGGAACTAAAACGCAACGAAACTAGAAATAATTGCAAGCGAGCCAAGCAGAAAAATCGATAGCGAAGAAGCGATAGCTGGAAGGAATATAACGGAAAGAACATTTCGTGACGATTTCAAAACGCGTTTATTTCATCTTGGTCAGAGTTCTTTGCTTTTCGGCGTGCTCGACAATTTTTTCCTTGATAGATAATCCCTTGCGTTTTCTGACGGTGTTCATGTACTTTCGCGCTAAGGCCTTTTCTGAGTCACCTTTCTCAAGATACATCTCGATTTCTTCATCGGTCAGGGGTTCCCAAAAAGGATCGGCTTCCAAAACCTTCAGAAAATGATTTTTTTTTTCAATCAGTCCTAAAATTTGGAGAACACCTGAAGAGAGGACATCTCTCGCATTTAAAAAACTGTTTCGGGGCATCAACTGACAACACACTATGAAGCCGAAAAATGTCCCGCGTACACGAAAAATAATCGTGGAATTGCTTGAATAACACAATAAGACTTATACAACAAAGAAGAAATTAGACGCGCGACACAGAAATCCCAGCAAAACATGGTCTTTCCAACCCAGCCCTCTGAGCATCAACCAATTACTGAAGGAGTCAGGAGCTCAACCTGGCCAACGCATAGATCAGATTAGAGATAAAATAACATGGGGAACTCACAAAATTTTCAATTCCCTTTTGATGAATACAATTTTACGAATGTTTCACGATTCACCGACGATCAACCACAGAAGCCATTGAGTAACTTTCAAGATTAGCAAGTAAACTACAACTAAACCTTTGATAAGGCAGATGCATTTTTTATGAGCAATGTAAAGACTTGCATTTATTATTCCTCGTTAAAACTGCACGTACACTGCTTCCAAATGAAAATTATCTTTTCTTTCAACCCAAAGAATAGGTATGACGTTAGGTTGAGTAATTTCAGATGAACTTGTTAGCCTCATTAAGACGTTGGTTAGTTGCACGTTGAATTTAAAACAAAAGTTCATACCATACAATAGTTGATTTTAACCAGCTAAGTGTTCAAAAAGGTTACTGCGACGGAAAGTTAGATTTTTTTTTTTGTGCCGAGGAGAATTCACTTCGGGGTAGGGGGTAGAGGTTAGGTCAGCTGTTAAATGAAGTTAGGAGCCAGGTTGAGTTAATTAGTGGTTTGAATTAATTGCATTTTTCGCTTAGAAATGGGTCATTCAAGGAGTTATTTAGATGTTTTTACTGATTGGTCAGGTTGGTGAGATGGGAGCCCCGACCTGCGGACACCCAACATGCGGGCAATTCGACTTTTAGGGAGACTTGATAAATGAAAAAAACTGCCCGACATCCGGACAATGTCTCGAGATGACAATTTCTAAACCAAAGTCTAGGAACAACGTTTTATTTTTCACAATTTTGATATCTCTTGAAGAGAATGAGCTTTCAGCATCCTAAAAATTAAAAAGAAATAAACTTTAATTATAAATTGACTATTCTTTATATTCCAAACAGGGTCTAATTTTTTCCACCTTTTCTGGAGTTCTTTCCATAATCTGAAACAGTACAGGAAGACTTGGGCTTATTCTTTGCTTTTTGGGCTCTTTTTCATGCCAACAGATAAGATTCTGCATGGATTTCTTCTATACAGTTATTTTTTTCCTTGAATTTGAGAAAAAATTTTTAATTCAAATTCAGGGAGGCTATTTCTTAATCTTTGATCAAGTCTATGGGAAAACGTGATCCGACATTCGGACATTCCGGCACAGGGACAAGGTCCCAACACCAATTACGCCCGCATTTCGGGGCCCATTTTATTACGTCAGATTCGTTACAAGTTGTCAATCTCTCAGCGGCGGCGAATACGAAAACATCCAAAAGGGACGTCAGTGAATACGAAAAATAAATCAGGACTCCTTTTTTTCAAAGAAAACTTTTGATAAACCCTCCGCAAGTTCAAGGGGCTTGGTGATAACCCAAAAAAATGCATTAAAAAAACTTGCCTCCCAATGAGAGAAGAACAGCTGGGGTAACGACGCCCCTGCCGTTTGTCGCAGATCTTTCGCAAAATTGAACGACTCGATCACCGGCAATTGAGCGTCCACTCGGAACATGGACGACCCGGGCAACATTTCTGTGTTCACCACGCGTCCGTGTCTTTTCCCCAAAACTCCATACATATTACCTGCGACGAAACCAACCAAGAATTTATCACTTAAACACGATCGACAGAGAAGATCTTGAAATGATCTTAAAATTATGATCATCTCAGCGACAAATCATCTGTTCATACCTAGTGCTTCGACGCTGCAGTGAATTTGGTAATTGTACATGGGCACTACGAGTCTTTGATGCGGCTGGGCTTGGAAGGCTCGCCGACAGGCTTCCTTCGTCAAGGACATTAACTGCCCCGAAAGCTGGCCGTACCCGGAAGAGTGAGTTTTGACTTCTTCCCTGCAATCGAAGGTTCCCAAGAAGGAACAAGAAAAACATTTATTTACTGTATTATGCTACCGAATTAATACTGCCTAATAACTTCGGGAGATTACTCTAGGAGCGCGTCATAAGCGGGAATAAATTTTCTCAAAACGTTCAAATCTTAACGTGCTCTTAATACAAAACCTTACAGAAAATTTCCACAAATTCAAAAGGAATTATTTTAAATGGAAACGACGAAAAATTGAGTCAATTTGGGTTCAATTCAACTTTGACATTGATGCATTTTATTTTCAAAACTTGCCGTTTTTAGCCACTAAATTTGGGTTGCTCGTCATAATCGGGGATGGGATTTTATCCAAATTTTAGGAACAGAAAACTTGGCGCGTGTGGTACTCGAAAAAATACGGAATTTACCAAAACTCGCTGTCAAGGTGACGCGAAAATATCCGAGTGAATTACATATTAGGTCAGTCAGTTACTTAGCTGTCGGTCTATGACGACCTTTGTGTAGTGACTTTCGCTCAAGGTCATTTGTAAATCATAATTGCAGTAGCGTCGCAATATAGAGTACACCATAAAATACAACGTGGCTGTTGAAACATGGTTATGTCAAATAAATGCACGAGGACCCTCCAAACCATGCAGAAACGATTTTGAACTTACCCGATCTCCGAAGAATCCAGAAGTGAAACTGTTAAATCTTCAACCAAAAAGGCAACTCCAGTTATGGGCTCTTCACAAATCGGACCCGACAAAGTGGCCATTTGAAAGCCAGTGACAACGAAACTATCCAATTCCTTCCTCACTTCCGGAACCTCAATAACTTCTCCACTGCAACTCTTGGGCCATACCAGCGTATTCGTCTCGTAATCCGGGATGCAATTCAGAAGCACGTTCGTACCGATGCGTCTCGGTCCGAAACTCCAGATCCGATCCACAGCATCAGGAATCGATTTCCAACCCAACGATTCGGCGGGATCGGAAAGGGAAGCAAATGCGTCATGGATTTCAGACTTCAGGCCACTCAGTGCAGATGAACGTGCTTCCCAACTGAGACCAACGTTGGTTTTCAGCAGCATTTCCGATCGCTCGATTATTTTGGTAACTTCACGGGGCAGTGGCAAGGCGCGAATCGTGACTGATGCGTGTTTATTCGGAGCGTGCATAGTTATAGAAAGGGTATCTTTATCCGACTTGTCCGTCTCTTTTTTCTCGATAAACTCCACAAGGTCGTCAGCGATCTAGAAAATATACACAGTAGCAACTCGTGTCAGAATTCGCAGAAGCACTTTAACAAATTAAAACACGAAAAATGATCAAAACTTTTTTTCACCAAGGCTCCATGAGAAAATCACCCGGTCCGTGCGAAAAATCTCACAAGGAACAAAAATCCCGCGGGAACAAGCGTTCCGCAACTTGGTATTTTCTTAATATCAGGATCTTGAATTAATTTCAGAAAAAATATTTTTATTCACTACGATAAGCATTGAGTTGTACACAATAATCAAAGCCACTGTCCTGCTCAAACAAGAATTTTTCTTCGCCCAAAGTAAACCCAAGTTCTTCAGGTATACGTATACACAGTAATGCCCAGTACTGTACAGTAGATGGATATCTTGGAATGAAACATCCGGAACTTGTACACTACAGTAACATTATTTTATCTTCCAATAACTGCTTTTTTCTTGTTCCGCCCTTCAAGGCTGTTTCTGAATTAGCCCCCTCAAATCCCTCTTCAGCCTTCGAACTCAATGCAAAAAATATATACAGTATTTTGAAGCAAATTGACACTCACTTCAAGAGGCAAAGTTAAACCGTGATAATTACTAGAAAAGTAAACCGCTTCGATTGAAAGCAAATACAGTACAAGGATTATAGATTCAAAATGAACCTACATGTTTCTCAGGCTTCCTTTTGACCTTCATTCTGAGCAAATCCTAAAATTTCAAAACGGTTTAACCCCGAAGCAGACTTGTACAATTTTGTGATCCACAGGATTTTCGTTCCCGCAGGATTTTTGTACCCGGCGAGATTTTCATGCCTCCGGGATTATTGAACCTACGAAATTTTCGAGCCGAGGTATTTTATCCTGCCCCCTTTCAGCAAATAAAAGAGAAATCTACTCACCGGAGGAGGAAAAACTATCGTTTCCCGGAATGGTACGATCGGTGGAGATACGTTAATCTCGATCTTCGCGAAAGTCTCCCGCAAATCGGTGAGGCATCTCTAAAAAACCAATGAACAAGTTATCAAAATACTGTACCGGAAAAATAAAATTTACAGCGAATACCGTACTTACGCAAATACATGACAATCAAGCATCAGTACTGTGCGTCTTTACCAATACAATAAGTTGATGATATTTTTTTAAAAACCACCATGATTTTAATCCGTACATTTTCACAGCTTTCCCATGCACCAAAATTTCACTGGCGAATCTAAAAGGCAAATGATTAAGCTCCACTTGATATTATGTGGAGTCAAACAAGATTAAAATTTGCGTGAATACAGTATCTGACGGAAAAAAATCAGCTCCATCAACTTACTTCCAAGTGCACTTCACCGGCAGTTGCGATCACATGTTCGCCGGTCTCCTGAACAAAAACTCTTACACATGCATCGGCCTGATTGAGCAGCTTTAAACCTTCAACCAATGACGGCATGTCCTGAGGAAAAACATATACTGTACAGTGGTTCACAACCCGAACAACGATTCACAAATTTTATGAATGCCCTCACTCTCGGGTGTGCTGGTTCCAACGCAAAACGAAAAACCGGAATCGACGAAACCTGCGACTGGGAAGCAACAGACTCAGTGAATCCGGGACACGCCAGTGTATTCGAAACGGTAGCGGACTTGAGGATGTGTTCCTCTAATCCACCTAATCCTGAATTTGAAAATCAATTGAATAAAAAATTTTCAATAACTTCGAATTCTGAAGTACAGTACCTATGATTGATCCAGCGTTTCCGACTTCGAGAGATTCCAACTGTCGACCCATCAGCAAATAAACAGACTTGACAGTTGCACGCGTCACGTGATGTTCCGATTGCAATTCCAACAATTTTCCTGCCACAGGAACCTCGTCTGCTTTGAACTTTAAACCGGGTGGTTATAAAATAAATTTAAATTGCGATTTTTTCTTAAATAGCTTACTGTTCCATTGACAACGTAGCGACAAGGATCGTGCTTTGGTCCGAGAACGAAAATCTCTTGTCCGGGTTTAACGCAGCCGCTAAAAACTCTCGCAAAAGCGACAAAAGCCGTTTGATTTTTCAAATTTTCATCCTCTACTGCGGACCGGATTGAATCCTCAGCCTCGCCTACGATAGGGGCAGTTGACAAAGGTTCTCCTTTCGGACCTAGAGATCATTTCAAGTTTGAATACACGCCTTTCTTCAGCATGAAATTTGAGATAGTCATAAACAAATATATTCTGAGCTGAAATCGTCAAAAAATTTTACAGTTTTAGTGCAGAAGGTTTCTCCAGATTAAGACGGAAACAGAATTTGTGCGTAACTTAGGATCATCAGCTTGGAAGATTATGTGTTTTTCTATAGGAATTTTTTTGTCATGTAAAAAAAAAAACCAAAATGAATCAATATTTTGGTGATGTATGGATACTTCGCAGTTTTTCGTGCCAGCATTTTTTTATATTCGCATTTCTTTTTTTTAAGAAGCACGGTTTCAAGACGGATGGAGGAGAAAATCACACGGCTCAAAAACCCCGTGGGTTCGATAGTCCCGTAAGCCTAAAATTCTAGCTTGGTACAAAAATCCCGTGGATTGCAAAATTGTGAAAGTGTGTTTTTGGATTTCCCTTTCAAATGTTTCGGGACAGTTGGAACATTTTTCGAAAGTTTCTACACATATTTCTCAGGCTTCCTCTTGACCTTCAAGAGAAAGGTCAAGAGGAAGCCTGAAAAATATGTAGCCTTATTTGGAATTTACATCCCTCACCCTGCATTTGCTTTATATGAACTGTGTACTTTTCTACATATTCTCACAATTCGATTTTGCCTTTTGAACCGAGAAACAGGTGTTTCAACTCCAAAAATATTTTTATTGCATTGAGTTTGAAGAAGGTTTCGGGGTTTTGCTATTCAGAAATAATCCCCCAGGGTGGTATAAGGAAAGCAGATGTCATAAGATTAAATTACGCCAATCATTGAGTGTACCAAAAGAGACCCATCTATTGAGCATGATATAAAAATGCCTTCGAAATTATGGGCTACTTATTCAGGCAAAAAAAAAAATAAAAATAGTGGCAGTGATGAGTTGTCAGAAGAGGATTTTTTTAACTAAATTGGAGTGGCAAATTTTTCCTCCTGTGGGATTCAAGTACCCAGCGAGATTTACGCACATAACGCACATACTGGATTTACGAGCCGCGGGATTTTCTCTCTTACGGGATTTTACCTTACTTTACACCAAATGGATCGGATTCCACACCTGTCCGACTCATTTCAATTCTCTTCAGGGCTTCTTCCCTTCGTTGCATCATTTCTTCTCTACTCATGGGTTTTGGCTTATTTTCTGGTAAAAACTGCGTTTCCACCTGGAAAAAACATATACTGGGGTCAAATATATTTATACTGCCAACCTGCTTTTGATGAAACATCAAGTAGTTTTTCTAAATGTTGCCACACGCACCGGAAACATCTTGGAGACGTACACTATTACGGCATCATCTTCTGCCGCGCATTTCATCATAGCATCAGATAAACACTGGGTTTCTTTCGGGAAATGCTCAAAAGGCAGAACAGCAGTCCTTGAAGTCAGGAGTTGTTCCGCTCGACTTCTTTGCATGCCTTTCGGACTAGGCAATTGATCCACAACCATATCTGCAAAATTTCGCACAATTTAAAGGATTTGCAGATTTAAACTTCAGCATAGGAAAATACCTAATACTGACGACGCCAAGGGCAACCACTGATTCATTATTACAGATAGCTGTAGTCGATGATCAGTCGATCGCAAATCCTTTGCCGTCATCTGAAAAGAAACAAAACATTCGACGGATGCAGATCTGTAATCATGATATACTTTCCCATCAAATGGTAGCTCTCAGCTTTCGTAAAATAAGAAACTTTTTACGAATAAGCCATAACATACTTACCTTCAAATCAAGCGTTTGAATAATCTTGTCTCTCTTCTCTTGATCCTTCCGAACAACGACGGCTTCATAAATCGAAAAAATATTCTCAAGGACCAGTTGAACGAACAACGGCTTTTTTGCTTTCGATTGTGCTCCACGCATCACTCTTTTCGTCTTCGCATCGAAGAAGAAATCTCCCCACAGTGTTTTCGCTAATACCTCTTGCTTGATTCCCAGCTTTTTCGAAATCAGTGACGCAAATTGTCTTACACTACCGGGATGACAGCGCGCAAAAAAATGTAATATCCTCCAAAACTTCGTCAATCAATTGATATTCTCTCACCTAAATCCCCATCCATCAATCGCGCTGCAGAACAAAACATTTCCAGATTCCGGGGTAAAATAAAGTCCAGAATCGTCAACATTCTCCAACGGGGAAGTCCAGTCAAAAACAGTTTCAGAAGCATCTGATGTAGATTTTTCTCCGGATACAGGATCCGACTTCCTGTTTTCGTCATCTTCCTCTTTCTGGAAGATGTCAATCGCGAAGAAACCTCCGACGACTGCGTTAACCTTTGATGATACGAATGACGACGCTTTACTTCATCCACATACAGGGTGGAGCAGGAAGAGGACAAATTTTCAAAGCGACATCTCCTGCACGGTTTTGTCAACCAACTCGAGAGGAAATACCTTGCATTAAACTTAATTTAGTTTTCCATAATATTTTTATTATTCTTCGATTAAGCTTGCATTTTTCGAACATTTTTCACGTTGAAATGACACGAGAAATATAGATCTCGGTACAACTCATCTCTGCAAAACTGAGTTATCGTAAGACGTGGCTGCTATGCTGGAAACATCTACCAATATCACAGAACAAGTAAAAGCATGATCTAATTGTATATTTTCTTTGCATTAAGAAAAAACCACGAAAAGGGCCATATTTTGTTCCTTCTTCAAACGGTGATACAAATGGTATTACCATAAAATTTATTGAAAAAAGCTTAAATTCAACTCTTTTTGAGGTGATACTTGAGGCATTCACAAGATATTACTTCTCTAACCGGTTCACAGTCTTCAGTCAAAAATGGTACAGTAAAAAGCTACGAATGAAAAAGCATCGAACTTGTTCAAGCAGCTGGACCAATCGCACGTAAGCATCCATCGGGGAAAGTTTTGTTTCGAGAACAAGTCGATCGACTTTGTTGAAAACTAAAATGGGTTTGATCCCTGCATGCCAAGCTTGCCGCAACGTCGCAATGGTCTGCGGACAAACGCCTTCGACTGCATCTACCACAACGATGGCGCCGTCACATAGACGTAAGGCAGTGGAGACTTCCGAAGAAAAATCCACGTGACCAGGTGAATCGATCAGATTCACGAGATATTCCTCTTCTTTGTCTGATTAAAAAAGGAACATGAAAAAATAATTTCAACAAAAAATCCCCAGCACGTCGGAACAAAGTTCATTATTTCTTGATACTGTAATTAATTTCGAATAAAACAATTGAAACGAAACAAAAAATCGACAAGAAATTAATGAGGCAGCGTCCACAAGATCAAACTCGAGGGTATAATGAAATACCCTTTAAAAACTACACCAATTTAAATCAATTTTTACAAAAAATTCGGCATGCTTGATTTTCCAAAAAAAAAGGTAATCGTTCGGTAAAAATAAGGACCAAGGCATTTTTTTGTGATTATGAGTAAAGAAATGGGAAACAAAATTTCCAGCACAATTTTCAGACATAGCTCGTAAATTTTGGAGAAAAGAAAAATTAGACAGGTGAAACTTATTGACTTAATTCTCAATTTAAAATGGTACAGCACATGTTAAGGAGGGTACATTAATAAGAAGCAGATATTGGACAGAAATTAATTTTGAATTCCAGTTCTTCAACGACTATAGCTCTGTAGAGATTTCGCATTTTTTTTAAATGAGGCCAAAATGACTCAATTGTGTTTTTCTTACAACCTTGGTAAATGTCTCATAACTCTCTATTTATGTCACAGAACAGTACAAAACCAGACATATTTCTGTGGAAACTTGTAAGAAAATACGTAATGTGTACGAAGTCTCGTCTCTGTTTTCTCACCTTCCCTCTGAAATACGTGGAACAACGCAACCGCGCTACTCTTCATTGTGATACCACGTTCCTGTTCATCTTTTCTGCTATCCATGTATCTGTTGGAAAAATCATTCAACGCGCCTCCTCTTTAAAAGACGATCCCTTCTCTGATCTCACCGGAGTTTTCCAGACAATCGCTGTGATATGATTCCGTTGCTTGCAACTAGTGCATCAGCCAAGGTAGTCTTGCCGTGATCCACGTGCGCGAGTATACATATATTCCGCATATTTTCAACATTGTTCTGAAGCTGTGCTATTTTATCCCTACCGACCACTCTACGCGCCATTTTTTGCACACCTTTCAGCTCTGTTGAAAAATCAACAAAGGCACGAAATCCGTACGAAATAATACGAAACATTGAATTTTGCAAAGCGGGAGATCTAGTAACTGAATCACTCCCGGCTGCACGATTTTTAATTTTTCAGTAAAAAAAATATTTTTTTCATACTGTACCTTCTCATTCGACTTCTAACGAAATAACTCATTGCAATACAATATTTGACCTCGCAGAATCAACGATAATCATCAAAATGTTTGCGTCGTCAAAAGCCGAGGCATTTCAGGTTTCTAGGTGAAGTCCAGAGACACATTACAATTTATGAATTTGCATTTTCAAATTAAATTGGAGCATCAGTGCTGAACGCCAGGGTATCGATGCAGTAGCAGAAAAAAGAAACTCTTTGAATTTGCCCATAATTGGGAAGAGAATATTCACGATTGGAGGAGAAGCCAGGCAAACCTCGTAGTATTCCTAGATGACACAAAAACGCATAACTAGATTCTATACGCTGGTCGTTAAAATATGCCCGCCAAGAAAAGATGTGTGTTCTTCGGCCAACTGAGAAGTTGTATCACACTCCACACATATTACCCAGATGATCTCATTCAAGAAAAAAAAACCCAACAAAGAGAATGAAAAATCACAGCATTCCAACTGGTCATGCATGAAAAAAATCCTTCTCAGCCAATTCCTCACACGTGCAACTGCCGCGAATAGTTCCCCATAGACAGACTGAAGATATATGTCGGAATTAACTTCCGGCGAACTCCTTGCAGCGATCACTTGAATCAGATGGAACACAATGAAGTGTCACAAAGAACTCACAGGGATCAATTGGTAGGTAAGAAATGACATAAGTCACTGCTCCTTTTTCTCTTGACCCTCGTCTCCACCAGCAACAGGATGCCCAGACGACGGAGAGGTGTTCTCCGACTTTCCAGAAGCAAATGGGCAAGATTTCTTCTCATCAGTGGATGGCGCCTTTTCGGGCTCCAATGGAGGCCAGCCAAATGTGCGATTCATGAATGGTGCGGGATCCCAAAATTTGCACAAGAAAGGGTAAATAAACCGATACCAGACGAAAAGAAATGCCGGAATTATAATGCACGGTAAACACACCATGTCGATAATTTTTAACGCTACCTGCAGGAATAAATTCAACTATCAAGAAAACTTTTCCATTCCATGATAAGCGTGAAGCATTTTAAAAACATTTTGTTTGCATTTCTAGCAGATCACAATAACATAATAGCAGATTTCTTCCAGATTGGGAATCAAGCCAACACCAGCAGAAAATTCCGCGACCACGAGCATTTCCATCTTAAAATCGTCTACACCTTCCAACACTAACTGTCAAGTCATGATGTGATAAATGAAATTAATTTGAAAAGGTTTCAGGCGTAGAAAAACAGATAAACAGCATAGAATCAAAATGATTTGTGAAGAGATGCAGACCCCACGCACGCCCATCATGTTCAATGACACAAAATACCAGATTTCAATGCAGAAATCCCCTGGGATTTCCGTTGATAATACCGTTCAAGAGCTTCATCGAACAAGATGTCGACCGTCTGCTTTTTGAATAGTTCACGAACATCAATTTTCTTCTTCGGTGGCTCGACTGGCTTGTCCTCTTCAACTTTCTTCTTAAGTGGAACATCCGCGGGTTTCTTGAATGTATCGTCATCAGCTTTTTCGGAAATACTAACATCCAGTTTCCTTTTTCTCGAAACACTAGGCTGTGCACTTCGCTCTGCTTTGTCGACGATTTCATCGTCTTCTCCATCGTCTTCACTGATATCGATGTCGGAGTCGGCATCCACGTTCGACGGCACAGGTTCTGGGAAAATTTCAGGCTCGGGACTAGCCGATTTTTGACGTTGTCGATAATGGCGAGATTTTCCAGAAGTTCCCGAAAAGCAAGAAACTTGCTTTACGGAAGCTTCTTCTGGAGGTTTCACAGATTCTGTTTCCGACGGTGAAGGCTCGGCGAATGAGTCCTTGTACATTTGACGATAGAAACCCGTAATATCCGCTTGCTTCGTGACGTCCGAAGCTTCTGCTCAAAATACATTTTAAGAATAAAGAGACCAAAAATTTAAACCTTAATCGGCAACGTATTTTTTAAATGTGGGAAAAAATGGAATAAGAATTTTCTTGAGAAAAAATTTACTAATTACAGACGCCTGAATAATTTCCATTTCTTGGCCAAAAATATTTTCTGAAAAACGAGATAATAGATTCATGATGTTGGTAGCAAATTTGATGTACTTTAATTTAAATGATTACACATTATAAACTTGATATTTTTTACCATCTTCCAGTTGTTTCTTGCGATCTTCTGCTTCGTCAGCCATTAGTTCTTCCATCTTCTTGCGGTAAGCAGACGTTACGAATATTTCCTTATCATTAAATTGATCACCCTCTTCCTCTCTTTCTCTCTGAATTTTTCGTTCTTGACGACGCTCATACTCCTTCTGACGTTTTTCCGCCGCTTTCTTCAAAATGTCGATATAACGCGCCTGAAACCAGCGTGTAATCAAATAAGCGTCAGGTAATACTTCATTGAGAGCTTACTTGCGGCTTTTCAGTTGACCCTGAAGATGAGCATGCATCTGCTTTATCCTTCTCCTGTTTGGCTTTCATGGAATCATATATTTCATCGAACTGATACACGGTTGGATCTTCTTCCATTGCCTTCTGATATGTAATTCGCAGCTGCTTCTTCTTCTGCTCACAAAGGCAATGAATAGATGGATTTCAACACTTAACTTAACCACAAATGTGTGCCATGAAAAATTGAATTAATTATTTCCTTCTCTTTCATACCACAGTTTGTGTTTTCAAAGTTTCCGCAACCCAGTCCACGGCTTCGACAGGTTCATCCGAATCTTCCTTTTCTAATTCATCGTCAAATAACTTCGGCTTGAGACGAGTTGCTGCTGGACCAGAAAAGCCGGTTTTCTTCGACGGTAGTATCAGACCATACCTTTAAAAACGATAACAATTGCAATAAGGATCTTGAAAATGTCTTAAGGCTTACTTTTTCTTTCCCAGTTCTTCAGCCATCCTTCACTTAGAAAACTTTCTCTAACGTACGCGTCAACGCGGGAAAATTTACGCGTGAGAAAAGATCTTCTCCAAATTCAGCACAAACCCGCTTACCCACAGAAGATTTTCACACGAATTTCAATCACATCCCTATTTTAATTATTCTTGAATCACCAGTCCTCTCTGGTGAAAAATGCTGCGCACGAAATTCATGCAGTCTTATGACGTTTAGCCACCGCAACATCCGCGCGCACATTTCGCTTTACAATGCATCCGGTAGGGGGACGAATCCACCAATCCTCACACCGGTGACCGAATGACTCGCATACATGCTTGGTATCATAGACATTCAAATTGCGTATTGGATTAATGAATACAAATTACTGCATAAATATGCCTCACTTCCAGTCATATGTTTCATAGAATTGAGGGCGTGTAATGCATACGAAACCGCAAATAAAAGTGTGGCAGGAAACTTCGAAAAAACATCTTCATACAAAATGATAGTGAGTGCAATGGCGGCTGTCATACTAAAAGGCGCACCACCTCGCAGATTGTGGGTTGATTGAGTGCGAAAAGTCTGTTCTTCTGCTTATTTTATAGCATTGGATGGGTCTGAACGTTGAAATTATTTTCACCAGTATTTATCATTTAAAAAATTGCTGTTATCTTAAAAGTTTGTACGATACTAATTTTTACGAATTGATATTAATATGAAATGTTAATTAAACCGTGCTCAATGCTCGCTGTACGAACAACCCTATCTGGTGGTGGTTGAAACAAATTCAATGATTTCCGGTTTAACTTCGACGCTTACCCGCGAAGTGTTTAGTCTAATGTCAAAATCGGCTAGGAGTCTGCTGTCCACCGTGGTGGAAACGTGATCAATCGAGGCCTCGTGTCCATGGAATCGGTATTCGCTGTTGCTCTTCTGTGGGGTTGCACGAATCCATTACTTGGTAAACGAGCTAGAGTGTTGAACCATCGTGATTTTTTGTGGCTGCCTTCGTGGCTTTCGCACTTCATTTGTTTGATCACGGACTGGAAATTCTTGTCGGTATTTCTTGTCAATCAACTTGGATCCATTTTGTTCGTGTGGTCCTTGGGACATCAACGATTAAGTGTCGTCGTCCCGGCGTGTAACTCGTTGACATTCGTTGTTACCGCATTGGCCGGCGTGTTTTTGGCGAATGATCCTTTCCCGTGTAAGCGAAGCATCGCTGGCATGTCACTTATAATATTAGGAGTGGCTCTCAGTTGTTCAGATTGAAAGCTCCGCAAGATTCATATTTATAGAAAATGTCAGCATACAATATGTACGTATTTGGGAAGAACGGTCTTCTCCTTCACTATTCTGAATGGAATCGGAAGCGGAGGTCGAACATGACGCTCGATGAGGTAAATTTTTACCAAGATGTGTTTTCGTGCACTTCATTGAATAATCTGATCTTTGAAGGAGGCAAAGTTGATGTACGGGTCTTTATTCTCATTGAAAAATTTCTGCCGAAAAGTGTCTCCTTTGGACTTCAAAGATGGCTTTATGTGTTATAAAACAACAAGTTACATGCTTTCGGTGTTGGAAACATTGACCGGATTGAAGTTCGTCATCAATACTGATCTAAACCTCTCGGGGACTCGTTCTCTTTTGGAAAAAATTTATTCCGAGGTAATTGTCTATTCTAAATACAGCATTTTTGCGTTTTTTATGATCGTGCCTTGTTCTTCGGAAGGTTTTCGTCGAGTACGTGGTGAAAAACCCAATGTGGCAGATCGGTCAACCGATTCAAAGCGAGCTGTTCAAAACTAAGTTGCATGAAGTCGTGAACCAACATGTTGCTTCTGTACAGCGGTCTTAATTCCTTGCATCGCGAAAATTCATTTTTATTGTGATTTTTGAGAATTATACTCATGTAAAGCATTTCTGAGTTTTAGTGTGTATGTGAACATCTTTCTAATTTTGCGATTTGTAGAAGAATTGTTTTGTGCTATGAAACCGCGAAACATTGCGGACAGTGATCGCGGTAAGCAAGAGACAAAGGAGTGGAAGTGCAAATTTTGCCCGTCCGTGTTTGATTCAGTTGATGAATTCTGTCGACACGAAGTTTCGCATTTGAGCATGATATCTGATGCAACGGGCACCGCCACTTCAGCCTTGGAAAATATGCACAATCGACGAAGCCTGATAACGCGGAGGTTGTCTGCGGGGAACTTCGTTGATTCCCACGAAGACGATAACCTTTCCAAAGTTGGAGTCAGTTCACCTGCGCGGAGTCCTACCTCGCGGGTGCCTGTTCCTGCCAGCGAAGCCGATTCAAAAAAGACTTCCGTTGTATCCATGATCAAAGTGGTCGCGGTGACAAGTTCCGCACCTTTGTCTGATGGTACACCAACGAAGCGCAAGAGGGGTCGACCAGCGACACAAAATCCTGTGAATAATGATTCGGCTTCGTCCGAAGAAAATACAGCTCCGAAGAATAATGAAGATACCGTTGGAATCCCGTCGGCGATTTCTCAATCTCCTTCCATCGCTACCGAGGATCCCGAGGATAACCCTGCAGAAGTGACTATCCCGGACTTAGTGAAAAGTACATCTGAAGTGTTACTTGACTGTGGATCTCCTAAAGTTGGGCTCTCTGTTTTTTCGGCGGAAAATTCCGAAAACAGTGAACTTGAATCCCCTAAAAGCCCTCAAGTCGTTCCTCCCGGAGATATTCACAGTTCAGAAATTTCGCAAGTCCCTGAAAGTTCCTTATCCTACGACACCGAAGAATCCACTCCGCACCTCACTGATCTCGAACCTGCCAAGATGGATAATGAATCCCTGGCCAACACAGATTCCGTAGAAACGCTGGACGAAATTGAAAAGTTTCTTCGTGAAAGCATACCTACAAATTTTACCTCAGAAGTAAAATCTGCATCCATGCCAACCCGTCCGTTGAACAACGAATCGCGTAACCGATCCAATACGCTTGCCGAAGCTTTGAATGACGTTTTTGGAATTGATGAAATTGAAGCGCATTTGTCGCCGAAGCCCATTCGTGTTTATTCTCGCAAAAGAAGTGGAGAAGCGATCCACAATGTGCTAGGGAAAAATCTACGGAACAGCGCTTCGTTGTTGCACCCGCCCCTACCTGACCATGATCTCAGTGGCAGTCGTTCCAGGGGGGATATCATGATTCAAAGAAGACCTCCTCCCGTCATAAACGTTCGCCGGAAGCACATCTTATCAGCTAAGGATGTTAAGAATGGGATGCGTTGGAAAGGCACTAATGTGTATCACAGAAAATTCAGAGCCGCGCTTGAGATCAAGGCCTCTGAGTCTATCAGTTCACCACATTTAGAGAAGGCGCTGCCATCGGATTTGATGCTAACGGAGTGTGTCGCCAATTCAGGAACATGCAAGGCCTGTGACCGAATTTCAGATGCTCAGCTCGAGCGAGAACAATTCGACATGGAACCTGTGACGATTGAAGAAACGAAAACCGAGTCATTGATCAATTGGTTCAGTGAACGTGACATTGTGACGACTGATCCAATGGCAGAGTTTCGTAGTGTCAACGCACCATTGGTTGGGATTTATTCTCCGGATTTCTTTGCACTTGTTGAGAATGATTACGATGCGGAACAACACGAAGATGAAGATGTCGAAATGGGTTTGATGTTTTTGGAGTCAACCTACAACAACATAGAGAAGTCAAAAGAACAGGAGGATTTCCGACTCAAGCCAAAACCGCCTTTCAGGTGCTCACTTTGTGAGGCGTCTTTCAAACTGCCAATGCACTTGAATTCCCACAAACTCCTTTGTCACAAGGATGGATCTGGGTTTCCCTTCAGTTGTTCAAAGTGCCAGCTGCATTTCACGCGAAAGTAAGATTTTATTCATTTTTAATTACACTTCCGAGCACGATCACCCTTGAGGCTTTTCATATTCGTTCCCTAGTTAGCGTTTCGTTAATTTGAAAAATCTCAGAAACCTTTTTTTTTTACTTGGTTGTTGAAGCTATACAAAATATTTAGCATTAATATCCTGTGAACAGTCGGAACTTACGCGCGCAAAAATTAGTCGACGTAACGTTACTTCAAGCATTTCTCCGATAATTTCCTGAATAGTTGGTTTTATTTGGATTGGTAAAACCGCTAATTTATTTAAAAATAAAATTTTTCATGCAGAAAAGGTGCTATATGCTTTTCTACCTTGATTGTATTTTGATTGGAGCACTCATATGAATCCAAGAATATTGATCTGTTGTAGATTTGCTATCAATATTGGGAACACGAATGTGTTCCGTAATTTATAGAAAGGTTGTTACAGTATTTTTTTTCTGCTAAAATGGGAGAAAGAATTGAGAAAACTTATCCCACGCAGAAATTATTTGTTCAGGAAAATGCTGACAGCTGTTTTTCAAAGGCATAAATACTGTACTACGCTGTACACCTTCCCGGTTATTGTGGGGAAAGTTTTGATTTTCTGAATGTTAATTTTTCTCCACTCGATCATTCTTCAGGTCCATGATGGTGCGACATGTTATTGTGAAGGCTTTCGTCAAAGGATTTCCGTGCAATGCTGATAACTGCAAAAGAACCTTCGTTTCGTTCCCGACGCGTGATGAGCTCGCGAAGCATCGTCGTGCCCGACACGGTTTCACCTGTCATATTTGTGGGCAGTGGTTTGCGCGGAATATTTACCGAAAGGGTCACATGGCCCGTCATGCTCAACAATCTGAAAAAGCGAAGGTGAAGAAAGAAGTCTCCCTTGTCCGGGCCGCGAGACGTCCCGTCAAGCGACAGGTTTGTTTGGTTATGTTTCGGTTTTGAAATTGTTTCGTTAGCAAACACAAATCAAGAAGGTATGCTTCGTTTGATTCGATCTGAATCATTTTTGTGGATTGCGAACATAGCAGAATATTCGAGATTGGAAAGGTATTGATTAGAAACGTATTGTGAGGCCCTTACTGAACACTTGATTAACTTGCTCGTGATTACGATAGTTTTACAATTACGTGTCCTCGAAGTATTCGGTGCAATTTACGTTTACGGTATTTTCATCAGTTTTTTTAAATCTATATGTTCCGTCCATTCCGCGAAATCGAGTGCTGTAACACTTCATTTTTATTTTTCAACCCTAGTACATCAAAGTGGAGCATGATGAAAACTTCGACGTGGACGAGCAATACATTTGTGACCACTGCGGAAAAGTTTTCCGTAGTATGGCAGCATTGTCTCAACACATCACTATCGTCAAGCGTCTCGCGCAACGACACGTCGGTGCACATTACGATTCAGATTCCGAGTCAGAAACTGATCCTCGCTATATGAACGCGTACTCTGAAGAAGTCGAGAAGCGACGTGCCGTACGTTTCATGGAAATGCACTCCGATGAGTCCAGCATGGGCTCTCATCAGGGCACCGACGTGTTCGACGGTCTCGTTGGAAACGACGGAAACCTTCTCGACATCGCCATGAGATTATCTGGAGTCGAGGAGAATCGTCAACGCAAGATAAAGGAAGAGGAGGTAGATGAGGAAGAAGAGGATGAATTAACCCCGCAGGACTTGGCCTGGCAGCAGGTTGTCGAATTAGAGTCCGCTCTGATTGAAGCTGAGGAATACGACGAAGATACGTTGTACATCGATGAGAAGCCACAAATGGTGAAAGACACGGAATTGATGGAGGAAGATGAAGTTATGCCCCAAGCTCCGCGAGTGTTTGATTTTATTCCTTCAGAATTCGCTGTGGAAACGTTTAATCTGGCGTCTACGGAGGAGGAGAGGAAGAGTCAATTCGGCAGGCCAATTTGCATCGTGGATTTTCGGTCGTTTATGTTCATGCAAAATTAGCTTGTGCGTTTTCGGGTGTGACTAAACAATTCGCGTTTAAAGCCAAAGTTTTTTTTACATAACTTTTAGGTGTTTTCATAAAGCTTTGCTTAAAATTTTCAGGCGTCCTTCGTTTTCCCTATAAGCATACCAATCGTCTTGTGTTTCTTGCCCACCTCATTCGAGGGTATTTGTTTCTAACCACGATCAACATTAGGGAATGAGAGGAAATCGTCCATATTGATAACTAACACGGGTCCCGTGTTCATGATTTCTTCTCATATATTCACGGAATCGTGTGATCGTTGGTTTCTGTTGAGAAACAATTCATGAAATGTTTTTATTTCAGCGATAATTTGAGAAAAAAGCCGCATGCTGGTTCGGTGATTTTTGCTTTTCTATTGATCTTACCGTTTTACTGTGGGTGGCCTTCACATGTTTTGTCCTTCGTGTAAAATTCTTCTCTGATGGAAGAATTTTCTACCTTGAAAGAGTTGAAATGGTTTTTTCTGGCCTGAGGTGTAGCATTATTTTTCTAGTTTGTAATGAATTTTACCGTGTTGCTATGGTACAAAAATCGAGTCCTCGCGGTTTTCAAGCGTTTATTGGGCCATTCGTATACGGCACCGACGTGTCTTAGGGTGTGTTGAAATTTTTTGCATTTTGTACTCTTCTTGGTTTTTTGAGGAAAAAAGAAAAACAACATTGTGCTTTTCTTCCTTCACACAATTTTTCTCTTCGTTGTGGAAGTTCATAGTCCGTTGCTCTATTTTCGTGCGTGATCTCATCGAGTATTTTCTGATATTATTAGAGAGCTTTCAAACCAATGAAGTCTTTTTTTTATAAAACTGATCAATATTAGTTTTTTAACCGTATAAAAGAAACAATTGAATGAAACGCGTCTGATGCCTTTTCTTCATCGTTAGCTCGAAAACCCCTTGTTCTCGCGCATGAAATAAGAGCAATTTTGATCTTGTAATTGAGAAGCACGTGCTAAATCGTTTCTGCCCAATTGCAGACCTGAATTGTCCGCGGTACAGAAAATGTCAAGCGGAATGCTTCCCGGGAAGCGTCAGCGAGAAGAAGGTGAAGTTGACGACGTTTCCGATAATAGCGACGAAAATGCGAAGAAACGTTCGCGGGGTGGTGAAGAGGAATTCGCGGAAAATTTTTTGGATGAAGTAGTAGTGCTTGACGAAATTGTGAGCAGTGACGACGCGGGTGAAGTGATTACGAAGGATGAAAAAAAGAGGAAGAGGAAGAAGCGAAAGGAAATGAACGCGAAAGCCAAGCTTATTGAAGATGAAAATGACGTTGAATTCCGTTTTAAAACGTCGTTGGACGCGCTAGAAAAGGTGACCGATCCATCGAGAGGATTTATGAAAATCACCATGCCTTCTGCAGCTATTTCCGAGTGAGTAAAATCGCGGTTCCTTTTCGATTGTTGGGTTTTACACGTTTCAAGCCTGAAATTTGCGCTGATGCGGATAAAAACATTTCGCCGAGTTTCAGCTAAGAAAAAAGCATGAAACTGTGAGGAATCCTAAGCAGTTAAATTAGGTTTTCAATTCGGCTCAAGATATTCAATCTGTGTTTGAAAAAAAATTTCCAGGATTTTATGGGGGCCTATAAAGGAATTCATCTGCAACTTGGCAACGGAAAAACTCCCCGAAATCGTTTCGTGTTTGGCGAATGAAGAGGACGGAGATCCGGATGAGTCGTGTGAAAAAGTTGTGTCATTCGGGGACATAATTAGTGCAGCCTCGGGAAATCCTGAAATATGTTCTTCTGTTTTCGGTGAGCATTTTTTCAATATTTCCAAATTTATATTTTGAGATTCCTCCGTAAGTGCTGGAAAAAACCATAAATTAATCTGTTCGCGCTGATCAGCTCTAAAGGGACTTATTTTTTCGACGAACAATAATTTCTAATGAAAATGCGTTCGGTTTTACAGGGCTTGTTTGACATTTCACTCAATATTTTCCGTAAAATTATTATAGTTTCAATGATCTTACCATTCAGACGGATTTTTTTTTACATTATGGGGGAAAAAATTGTTATTCACCTGATTTTGCTAACGTAAAGGATGTAAGAAAAAGTAATCCGACATCAGTGAATTTCTTGCAAGATTCAACTGCATGCGCGTAGGTCGCACAACGCTCGCGGTCATTCGTGGCTACTCGAAAAACAAAGCAATGAAGTACAGTATTACTTTTAGATTAAAATAATGCTTTAAAAAATTCTTCCTTCTAGCTGAAGATGATGTGAGTTTCGTTATATGCGATGAAGAAGAGGCTAAGAGCGTGAATTACATTGAAAAAGCGTCGTATTCCTTGGTGAGGATTCGAAGAATTTGTTCTAACTCGCCAGAAATGAAATTTACTATTCTAGAACATTTGTTTCTTCAGAATGCTTCGTTAGTAGAGGGTATCGAAGAAGCAGAAAAGGGGTCTTCTCCTCATCCGCCTCAAAATAGGCGAAGCTTTTTTGCCGAATGCTTCAATTGTCGTGGACCGCATACAATACAAAAATGTAGAAAACCGCACAATTATTTAAGGATTGAGTTCAACAGAAAGAGAAAGGACATTTTGTCGGGGCAACGGTAAGTTTTTCGTAATTTCAATTATCGTCATTAGTGTTTGTGTTGAGAAAATTTCGTTTCTCTATTCCCCCGTTTTCAGGAAGCCAGAATTGATGTGCAATGTACAAAAACATATTGTACCTGGTAGAATAAGCGGTGCACTGCGTTATGCGCTTGGTTTGGGAAATAACCACCTTCCACCTTGGATTTATAGAATGCGGAAAGCGGGATACCCACCCGGCTGGCTTCGGGCTGCGGAAATAAAGCATGATTCGTTGCAGGTCATCAATGCTGACAACCCGGAACTAGAACAATCCGGGGTTGTTATTGATCGTAATAAAATAATTGAATATCCTGGGTTTAATGTCTGGCCTCCGCATGGGACTATTGATGTGAGTACCGTGTTGAAAAATTTTAAAGAGAGTTGAGCCTGGGCCTAAATCCTTTTGTAAAATATTTTAATTTACTTGATCCCGTTTCATGGACAATTTTAGTGGTAGGATGAAGAGAAAGTACAGTAAAATTCCTTCACAACGAATCTCGTTATAACGAATTTCTTGGTCCCGGCATTTTCTTCACTGGGAAAATAACAATTTCGTTATGGAAAAAGAGTTTTCTCTATAATCTCAGCATAACGAATTTTTGGCTTGATTATGTGCGCATGGTTCAAATATATATTTACCAATTTTCACAATATGGGAAAATCCAACTTGTGCATAATAGAAAACCTTTGAAGATGTAAATTTTAATCTTTTTAATACGGACAATTTTGCATTATAGAAAGTATGAATCTCTGATCAAAATTTATTCAGCCTCATTTTTAAATTCAGAAATGGCTAATTTTTTGAACGAAAAGTCAGTTTGATTTGGAGGAATACAGCTCTATTTCAGGGAACATGCAGTTTGAAATGATCACCGTAAATGCTCTTCTTACTTATTTATTCCCTGCTCGTTTCAGCTTAGAATTCAGTAGGATCACTATTTTTTTGGGAAACGAATAGTCGAAGATAAGAGAATTTTGTTTCACATCTTGAATTTTCTCCATAATTTCATCGAAAAAAGTTAAAACTGCAGGATGTTCTTCAAAAATCTGTCGTGGAAGTCCTTTAAAGAGTTTAAAGCATCTAGTACAAGTTTCACTGAAAATTTCAGTCCTACGTTCTCAAAAAGCCATGAATCTCATCATTGGAAATTCCTTTCTCAAGTCCCTGGAAGTTTTTTTTTAACGAGATTTTATTGAAGTTCGTATCTCTGTCTTAGATGTCGCCGGTTTGTTTGTCATGCATCGGTCCTCTCAAGAACATGAGCTATGAATTTTTATTTATTTAATATAATATTTACATGAGTAGGTCTGTCTGGTTCCGAAAACAATTTTCAACATAGAATATCTCCATAGATGTAATCGATGCGACACTTTTTTATGGTTTAACGTTCTGTCCTGACTGCAAAATATGTTGTGCACGTGGGTCTAAGAAATGGCTTTGTGTTTATTGCATTACAAATTCACCTTGAGTGAGAAAAATTACGCTCCATTTTTTTAGTTCTACTTTTGCGGTCATTCTGTAGAACCTAGTTAATCATCGAGAATCTTTTGGAAAAGCTTTTAATGCACGAACATAAAAACAGATTTTAGAGTTGAAACCAACCATGATTTTAGTGTTATTCTGAATCGTGTTTGATTTCTGCAGGAACCTGAAGACGGCATCAAACAAGGTGAGAACAGTTTGACGGAAAATTGGGGTTTGAGTTTCTCCACGACTGAAGAACAGGAGGCTGAGATGAAACAGAAGCGTAGTGAAAACCCATTTAAAATTCAAGATGCGGCGCTCCCTTCCACGAATGGCTTTGAGGAAAACGTAAACTTCGACAAATTGTACATGTTTAGACGCACTTATTGTAAAATTTTATTTTTTAGGAGGAGGAAGTGGAAGTCTCATCGACTGGTAATGTTTCTGCATTGGGACTTCCAGCGTTAGAAATCATGACAACTTCGCTAGAGGTTACGGAAGTTCCTGCTGCCAAAGTGCCTTCTTTGGACAGCTTCACGTCCGACATCACGGATCATATTCCTTACGAGAACTTGCCCAACTCCACGGGGCAGTACGACGTCCTCAAGGAATTGTTTAAGAAAGCCAGACAAAGTTCAGTTGGAAATTGAGGACTTACTCTTGGAAGTGCTGCGTCTTACTTCATGCATTGTTGAACTGCATCCGACATTGTGGGATTTTTTCACGAAATTCATGTACAAAAGTGAATGCTTGGATACTCGTTTGCCATTCACTTACGCCAAGAAACCTCCAACCCGAGAAATGGGCGATCGTGCTCTGCACATACTAAATTTCTGCCTCACGCATGTTCAAAGTTTTTTCATAGCTGTGTTATACAAATTGAATAAGCGTCCTTATTTTTTAATTGAAGGGCCCCTTCTGTCTCAGGACACTAATCATCAGGATCACCTTACTGATTGATCGCGTGTGACGTTTTGAGTTTTTTTTTTTTACTTATTATCCAGATCACGTTGAACGTTATGCTGGATTTATATTTGGACTGCCGAAAATATTGTATTCCAGTAAAACTCATTGTTGGTCAACCCCATTGCTTATCCCTTTTGCGAAGAATGTGTTTCTCTGTGCCAGAAATGTTTTTATGCAAGACATGGGTGGTTATCTGAACTAAATTCATTGCACAGAAAGTTGTTACTGCTTAAACGGTTTTTTTGGGGTTTATTGAACGTATCGAAAAGTTCGGAAAAATTACCGCGTTAGCGATGGAGCTTTGCTTTTTCTGCTTTTTAGGTAATTCCTGATGACGGTCTATGTTCGTGTCTGGTGATTTCTCGCGCGTATGCTTTGCAGTGGAGTGTTCTCCTTTCGTGATGATGTTTTCGCAGATCTCACCTGTCCAACATTTATGAGATGAAGATTTAAGGACCATTTTAGCCCCACAAAAAAACAGAGAATCGTAGGATGTACGGAGTTGTAAGAGTTATTTATCCAGAGATAGGTATCGTATTTCAGGAGGCGATTTGCGAAAGCATCACATGTGCGGTGTTGAGTTGCCTATGTCGATTGTGACGCCTCGGTTTGTAATTATATATGTTTTGTTTTTGTTAGACGGATGCAGTGGCGTGAATTTTATTCGTAGCCACCAATATTGAGTGATGCGCGAGTTCGATGACGATTAGCGGCGTCGGTAAGCCGCAGGAAGGGATGGCTTCGTCGGCGACGCCCATCACCGCGGCGCCAGTCGGCGCCGTGGATGAAGGTGCTCAGAGCGCTGCCGCGCCTGCCTGGCAGCTGCAGTTGCTCATGGAGCGGCTAAGAACGCGATCGGGGCAAATGAAGTCGTGGCAAGAAAATGCCAAGGCGTCTAAAGCAGTGCTCATGGTAAATTGAGTTTGTATGTCTTTCGCGCCGAAATCTATTCGATTGTTTTATGTAGCGGCATGATGTTTAAAAAATGCATGATTTACTCAAATTTTATCGGGATTTTTTCTTGATTTTGTTTGTTTTTAGGAACGACGAATATTGCCGGAAGCGTCGGAAAGGGCCCAAATGCAGCGATGTCTGGATGCCTTGCAAAAATCCATTAAAGTTAATTCGGTCGCCGGAATGGTTCAGCGTTTGGAAGCCCTGGCTAATCAAATTGGGTAAAATATAATTTATAATTTCTCTTGCAAATCATATTCTATTGTTATTTCTTCTAGGCTCAAATTTTCAATGGGAAGAAGCGGTCCGGAAGGCCTTGACGTCTTCTTTTCGTCCGACTTATTCTATGTGGAGATTTTGCTGGTGCAAAATGGTGAAGTGGGACGAGTGAAAATTCAGCACAATTCCGATCCAGACACCAAGGTAATTTTTCTAATCACTCTCGTTTTTGTTTGTACTGCATTTATTAAAATTGTGTTGCCTTGTGATCGAAATTATTCTGTGATAAACCGTTTTTTTTACAGACGGTACCGGAGTTGGTGGAAGTTTTGAAAACGGGAAATTTTGTTGAATTTGCTGCCCACATGGAGCATTTAAAAGCTCTATATCATATTCATTCGGATTCGAAGTATCGTGGCTTGGCGTGGGCAGTTATTTCCTCTTTGGAAGCCGATCTTGCCACGTTGGCCAAAATGCAAGACGCCTTCATCCCGGACACCTTTTCCTTGGTGCATAAAACACCTGTTGGCATTCTCGTGCCGAGAAGAGGAGGTTTGTTTGAAAATCTGTGTATAATATTGTACTCAATTGTTTTCAGATTTTGAAAGCATTTACTATCCGCCATTCAAAGTATTGTAATGCTGAAGAGTAATTCGGATATTTATAAGTTATGCGTTTCTTTTCTCCGAACTTCGAAATATTCAAAAATGGCATTTCGTCGAAATGAGAAGAACTTTCTCTAAAAAATTTTACAATACTGTATTTGATTCTTATTTCGGTTTTTTTTAGGAAAACCGTTGGAATTAACTTTTTTCATCTCACCGTACGAACTTCTCGATGAGAGAACAGGAGTTCCTACGTCACTAACGGTGGATGTAGTGAGAGAAAAGTCAATCGGCAAGCGTGGTTCTGTGAACTTATTGCCGTCAAGCAGTATGCACAAATTGCAAATCATGTCTCTGATCTCCATTTCTAAATATCGGGAAGGCAACAGGTGAGCGTTCTACTTCGTATTATTTTTGCATTTTTCTGCGTTTTTTTTCATGTGAAAAAACATGTTTGCGGATCGTTTGCTATATCCATGGTTTTATCGATTTTTTTTTAAATGGGCACTTGTAAAAAACATTTTAAATTTTTGTTTAGATTTGGGTGAACTAAATTATACAAAATTTAATTTGTTAGTGTTGAAGTTTTGTTTCTTCACTACATTTTCAGCTTACCGTCGTTCGTTGACCACTGTCAAACGAACAGCTCGTTGATGCCGGCTTGCTTTGCGTTCGTTCTGAAAGTACCGATTCCTTTGTGCGCCGGAGTGCTGAAAGGCATAAAGAAAGTTACTGGTCTTTCGTCTGAATGTTTGTCGCCGAAAACCGAAGTGAAACTTGACGAAGCCATGAAGTCAAAGAAAGAAGAGGATTCTGGAGACATTGATGAGGAGCTGAGGCGATCAGCAAAGCCCTTCCTCAATTTGTTGGTGGACAGCGTTGCTCAAGGGAAACTCAATCTGTCGTCTTCTGGTGGTGAACGAACCCCCTTATTTGTGGTAATTGAATGTTTCTTATTATGGCATGAATAAGTCGTTTTACTGCGTCAAAAGAAGGATTGCAAATTTATCATTTTTTCAGACTTTACCAGACCAGCAGCACTGTTATTACTTGAAAGGCCTCGTTGTTGCGGATACGAACGTTCCGAATCTTTCAAATGGTTCAGCCGCTGACTTGCGCATGTTTGGAGGTGAAGACGACGTTGAAATGACGACAGTTTATAATGGAACATTGTTGGGACTCATGGTGTCGAGATTGCCATTCACGCATCCCACGCACTTGCCACAAATTTTGCTGCTCTTGCGACAGCAATTGTTGCTGAATACTTTGCTGGCTTCTTGTGTTCGGACTAATTCTCGTCAAGGTTAGTTACAGATTTCGTGTTCTGTGTTGAGCCAGAAAAGTTTTTGACAAGAAAAATCATTCATAACATGCTCATCTTTTCGCTCAAAAATTCGGAACCAAACTGCACGTCATGCACGAATTTTTTCTTCCTTAAGTTTATCTGAAGTTTCATCAGATTTTCGATTGAGAAAAATTATAATATTTTTTACGTCCCACTGGGTGCGAATGGTACATGGTCGTGGTATACCAAAATTTTCGATGCTTTGTGGACCATTTCGCGTACTTCTGAAGTGCGGTACTCTTACTTCTTCGTGGGGTTTCTCATCATTTTTCTGGTTTATGATTTTCTAGATTTCGAGTCGTCGACAGTTTTCGAAATAGAGATCCCTAGTGACTCGTGGCAGTGTGTATGGGTGAGGTTTGAGCATCCGCTCAACCTGTCCATGGTTACGGCCGAATTCGACTTGACTGACATATCTCATCTCAAATGTCGCCTCTTTTACGACGAAACGATCGTCACACCAGAGGAACAAATCCTGTGTTCAGAAGAATACGCGTCGAAAGTGATACAGAAGTGAGTAACGTTATCATTAGAATTATCAAATAACTGTGCCCATTTTTCAGTTTATTTGTTTTGCTTTAATTGAAGTTGATTTTTAATTTAAAATGTTGCCTCTATCAGATAAAGAATATTGTACAGTACTGTACTTGAACTTCACAGACCTTCTCTGTCCCAGTCCGGCCATGGTGAACATGACATTTCGAAAACTTCAGAGATGTGGCGACATCTATGTTGCAGTTAATAAAATCATGAAATTGGAAACTTTATTTTTTCAGACATTGCACAAGTTTTTGTCATACAATTTTTTTTTTTCATTTTTCTAGAACGTTCTCCATACCAGTAACGATGCGAGCCATATTACGTAAGTTGTACGCGGGACGAAAAAAACCGGCAGAAGATCAAGCGAAACCCGCTATGGGTACTTTGGCTGGGCCTCAACAGCCGAACCTTCATGGTCCGAAGAAAACCGGCTCGGATATTACGTCCGATATTCAACCAAAGCTGTCCATTACGAAGAACGAATCTGGCAGTGTTGGCAGTGCCGTGCATGGTTCGAATGCCGGCCCTTCCCCGGTTTTCGTGGGGCCTCAGGGTCTCAAAAGCCCTGTAATCAGGGTAAGTTATGTCCAGTCGTGCGTTTTTAATTGTTTGAATGGTTTTTGTAAACCTTAACTTTGGAAAAATTTAATGAGTTCGAACAATTTTTCGAAAAAGAATTTGAAAAATTCAATAAACTTTGAAGTCAGGTTCCTCCATTGATTCATCTATTGAGGTAACATGCAAGAATTGTGATGATCATCAAGGAAGTTTTGGTATTTGCGAAGCAATTTTTCCTTTTAAACGAATCTATGGGGATTTTTAAAGCAGTCCAGCAAACAAAGCATCATTGAAGACAGACAAAACTAATTAAAAGAAAATTATTCCGTCGTCAGTATTTGTTCGGGCATGGGATTGCTTTTACGAATAAAAAATTTCAATTGAATATTCGCCGAAAAATTACTTGGTTTCCTTTGGCTGTAAGAAAATGTCTTTCGATTCGCTGTAATATCTGAAAAAACTTACTTACATCTTAAGATCTATTTTTTTAATTTTCAGTGCGTTCTTGCGTACCGTATTTCGAAAAGTTTGAAAATATGCGTGGGATTCAACTTATATTCGAAAAGAGTTCAGATCCCTGCATCTGTGCACGACTTTGTGAGAATGAAGGGTTGTTTTTTTTGTTGTTGCTGCAAATGGTTTTTTTTCTAAAATATTGTGAAATGAATTAGTTTCGAGAAGTTATGGAATCCGAAGCGTTTTTGAATGGAGAGATGAACCTTGATTTCGGATGGTTCCTGTACTTCATTTCCTTATGCTGTACTTTTGTTGAAAAAGGTTCCAAAAATCCCTGGTCCACCCCTGCCGCCTGTTCTGAAGCCAGGGTCGTCGGCGACCAACACAGTAAGCGCAATACTCCAGAGCGGCGGACACGTGACGGTCAAGCCTGGTTCGCTGAACGCGCGGAAGGGAGACGGCGCTTTCCACCCGCCGTCGGTTACGTCAGCCTCATCCCTGCATCAAAAGCTCCACGGTCCATTGATGCATTTTTTAGGCCCTGCAGCGTCGGGGACGGCGGCGTCGTCGCTGTCGGGCCAGGTTAGCCGTCGTGGAAGAAAGAGGAAGATCACGGCGCCGCCGACACCGTCGGCGCCGATGCCCCGATTGCCTGGTCGGAGCCCAAAACGATTTGCCCTCGATGACGGATTCGGTGATGATTTTGACGGCTCCGTATCGGCGCCGGCGTCTGTTGACGGATCATCGCCATCGTCTGATGATGGGAAAGGTGTTCGAAGCAATGTTCTTGCGGAGCACTTGAAAATATTTCAGGGTCCCGTGAAGAGCGAGGTCACTTTTCGGCCTTTATCGAACCCGGATCCGGATCGAATTGACGATGATGACGAATTGGATGAAGAGGAAGAATCTATTGGTGAGTTTTTCTTTAGTACGCATCGTTATATCCAGTGATTCTCTTGGGTTGATCAATCGACGTCCGTGAAACGTCTTTGATCAAAAGAAACAATTTTTAGGGGTCCTATTTAATTCATCGTGATAAATTCAAATGATTCTAGCTGCGATCTCAGCGGCATTGAACCGCGGCGCGTTGGGCAAACCGACTCCGGTGGTGTCCAAGAAACCAAAACCCGGGGCCTCGTTTTCGACGTTGCAACGGTCGTTATCGTCAAATGCGGATACGTCATCTATGCTGCTGCATTTATCCGAAAAAACTGCTTTGAGTATTACTCCTGTGAGCAGTAGCAGTGTCGGGTTGATGCCACCGACTGTAACGACGGCGCCAAGTGCAACGTCAACCTCAGTTTCTCCTGCGGCGTGTGATAGCGGTAATCCTCTGGCCAGGTTGGTGGTCTTGTGTTTCTTCTCACTGAGGTTACGTGCGGATTTTCCAGAGAAAAATTTAGAAGCGGAAAAAAATTTGTGTTTCTAGCGAATTCTAGATTTTTTTTCCCAGCGACTCAATCACGACTCTAATCGGTGACTTTATCATTGTAATTTATTAATTCAGAGACTTATTAGCTGGTAAGTACAGTACAGTGCATTTCTCAGTTTTATTGGCCTTTTTTTACATCTTTTTAGTTTCCGTAATAGCCAGGCTCACCGGAACCAAAATATTGTATTCGCCGCTCCGCTTCTCAGTCGCTCCCAGTGCAATAACCGCATTCCCTCTTCGATGAGTACGTATGAATAACTTCAAAAATAGTGAACTCAAATGCAGGTTTTGAGGCCTGTTCGACATGTTGAGTTGCATTCAACGAGTTGGTTCATTCTGGAAGCACATGCAGTGTTAATGGAATATACAGTAATTTGAAAATTATTTCATAGAGCAAAGAATTTAATCCATCACCAATTGAGTTTAATGAGTTTAGATGGACAAGAGTGTTCCACAGTATCAGTAAGTTTCAACAGTGTCAGTTCTGTGTTCTGAAACTCTTGTCAGGCGGAAACTGGTTCTTGCATAAAGCTACTGTATTTTCTTTTCAATATTGCCATTGTCTAAAGCTTGATCTTGTCCCTTCGAAAAACAGGTATTGTTGAAAGCCTTGAAACCTTTTGTTACTGTGGAACACTATTGTCAATCTCTTATCATAAAACCCAGTTGTTGAAGGATTAAATTCCTTGCTCTGTGAAATAATTTTCAAAGTCTATGAAATATTGCTCTATGAAATAATCCCATTAACACTGTGTGTGCTTCAAGAATGAACCGACTTGTTGAATCCAACTCAACTTGTCAAACAGGCCTCAAAACCTACATTTTTCAAACCCTGCATTTGAGTTCACTATTTTTTAAGTTGCTCATGCGTAATCTTAAGAATAAATTCGGTTGTGCTGGGAGTGACTGAGCTACTTTCAGATTTTGTAATGTTGATTTGGTTCCATGCGTCATTCTCTGATGATATCCTTCTGGTATTCCTGTTTTCCAAAAAAAATTTTTTTTTTTTGGAAGACAAGAATAACCGAGAAATCTCTGACTTCTTTTTCTCAGATTTGGCCTAGAACGCCGACCGGGTATCGAAATCATTCCTATATCCTCTTCATCAGCCGTGGCACAGGCACAGAATCCTGAAAACGCCGACATCCACAAAGAAGAGAAGAAAGTGAAGCTTCGCGACGTTCGGAAAGAGTCCGTGATCGGATCCACTGCGCTCCAGCCGACGACGATGAGTGCGGAGAAAAAGTCGGAGAATCGGAAGAAACGAAAGCGGGAAAAGGAGGCGGAGCTGGGTCAGTTCATGGCCGGTCTGCCCACAGCCAAGCTGAGCAAATACGGCGGCATGGGTCCGCCATTCTCCGGAACAGCAAAGCCAATGAACATTCAGGCGGCTGTCGCGATGGCCGCTGCAGTGTCGGCGTCGGGTGTGAACAAGCAGGAACTACCGGCTCCTGTCACTAGATCGCCAATTACCCTAAATATCAAACAGGGAACATCCTCCTTTAAGCGATCAACGTCTGATACATCTATCAAGGTACTGTGTGTCTTAATCTTATTTAATTTTTGAAATTTTTGAATGTTGGGTCTGCGAACGTGGAAAAACAGACTTGAGTTTCCATTTCTAATTTTTAACAGTGCTAGGTTTTCGATTGAGACTAGTTCGAATAACTCCGGAAAATAATCGTAATCAGGTTTGAGAAACTATTGTTGTAATATTGATTATTGCCATTGTTATGAAAAAAATTTAATTCGGATACTGTGAAAGCATTTATTCAGACAAACCTCTGCGCAACATTAAATTCCTCTTGGAAAACTTCGAACAATGGTTGCATTCCCATTTCTAAGTGCATTCTTCATTTAAAACAAAAATGCATTTTTAAGTTTTCCTTTTCAATAGTATTTTATTAACCTATCACTTTCGTTGAAAACGTAGAATTTCATATTCCGTTATTTTGATTGAAACGACTTCGTCACGAAATGTACGTGGATTTTTTGATCATTTTATGATATCTCTTCTTTTTTATTCTTGAAGGTTACTGGAAAAGTGAGCAACACAAACAGTGGTTCCAGTTCACCGACGTTTGTTAAAGCAGCCTCGATCAGTCCGAAGTTCGGGTCTTCCGGTGGACCCCCGGGAAAGCACTTTTTGCCGCCGGCGACGGGTTCGAGTCCAAATCGCACCGGTTCGCCGAAACCGCCATCGTCTCCGAAGCAAAATTCTTCCAGTAGTGGAACTGCGACGGTAGGTGGGCCACCTGGCGGGCTAGGCGGGCCACCGGGACTCAACCCCCTGGCGTTCACCCTGGGCGTTGGAGGAGTCGTCGGTGGCCCGCAGTCCATGTCCAGCTACAAGATTCCCAAATTGAAGGACCGGACAAAGGCCGGTGTTCCTTCCGCATCTGCTGCTACAACTACTGTTACTACGACTACTTCTGCGTCTGCTGTCTTCACAAGCACAGGTATGGAAGATTTCGCTCATAGTAATTTTTCAGTGATTGGAAGTCGTAAAAAATTGAATTATAGAAACTCATTTCCTCTTTTAAAAAATCATTTAAAATAAGGCGTCGACTAAAGTGAAGAATTAATTTTCATGATGAAAGCTGAAAATGATAGCTTTTCTTTTCAAAGGTGAACTCTAACAAAAAATTCGTATTTCATTGGTTTTTGAAACGGAATAGATTCCTTCTTTGCGGCACTGCTGTATTTTTATTTTTTCAATATTTTGTGCATGTCTTGGACCTTATCTTCTTTGCAGCAGCTTCAAATCCCGCAACGTCGAGTGCGGGAGCCGTAGGCGTAACTGCGGCTGCATCTTCCACAACAGTGACGCCAGCCATGATGTCAAATTCTTCGGAAACCGTGTCTGGAAACTCGCCGGGTTCAGTTGCGCCTGGTGCGTCTCCGCCATTGTCGTCGTCGGGCGTGTCCGGGGCCATCGGTGGAGGCAAAAACGCAGCTATGAAAAATCGCAAGAGTTCCTTGTCCGCCGTTATCGACAAGCTGAGGTTCGTTTTGATTTTATTGGCAACTATTGTGCCTATTGATGAACTCCTTTCATCCGAACGACGAGTTCAGTAATTTTAAAACGAGTGAATTTCGAGATCGCAGCGTCGTTGATGAATTTTCTACCCAATTGTGGCTAATTTTTGGAGAATTTAGTTTGAGTGAATACAGGATTCAATCAGTTATTTCCTATGTGTCATGCATTATCACCAGATTTTGCTTGAATGGCATGCTGATGTCGCCTGAATTGCGTACCTGACCGTGATAGCTGAACCTGATCTGAAGTAATTGACCTAACATGATATAATCTAAGCCGAAATTAACTAACCTGCTCAAAAAACTGAGAAGAAGCCGTGCCCCAATGACACCAAATGCGGGCGTATTATTGTGAATTGATGATTTTTTTTTAAACTTGATAATAACGTTTTTACAGTTTGTAGTTTCATTATTAAATGTGAAATTTTGGCGCGGATAACTTCTAAATCAAATGCTTTTTTTCTTTACTTCTTTGAATCTGTAACTTGATCAATTTTTGAATCTTCAGATCATCAGCGGAAGGTTCGGATGGCATCGGAATAGGCTCGACAACACCGTCATCCTCCAGTGGCTCGGATGACGGGATGCGTGATCCCTCTAAACCGTCCGACTCGGCAGCATCGGGTGACGAGGCTACCAACGAGAAGTCCCTGAGCAGCCCGGCATCTCCTTCCTTGTTGAGCGAGGCGGAATTCATCGTAAAGCCGTCCTCGCAGGGAATCAAACTCACTGTGACGAAGACTCGGTTGTCGGAAAGTCCTACTTCTTTGAAGATTCCGCGGGAAGTCGCGTCTCCGACTCCTCCGCCGCCACCGCTTGCGGAAGACATGCTCATGGAAAGACCGCTAGCAGAAGCCAAAGACGGCGAAAGGTCGCCGCGAACGGCGTTTTCTCCTGGTGCTATTAGTCCAGTGGTGGCCCTATCACCGGCGCCTTCGTCTTCCCAGCCGAAGTTGCTGCGACAAGCGTCGTTCGACGACTGCAAAAGTGTCGGTATTGATGAGGTGATGGAAAGTAAGTCAGTGGACAAGCCAGAAATCGAAATCAAGGGATCGGTCTCCGCTGGTCCATCTGTTGTCATGTCAGACGAATCTCCGATGGCAATGCAGGATTCGCCGGCATCCTCAAATGCCTTGATTCTTCCCGACGACAAGCCAGAGAATGATCCAATGGTTGAAAATTTGGTGCAAGTTGTTGAAGAAGATTCAGTAAAAGGGAAAAGCAAGGAGATGATTGGGGAGAAAGTTGAGGAAGACGTGGCCGAAGTGGTTCATTCATCAATGAGTGGAAACTTGCTGATGGAAATCGACCCGCTGGAGACCGCTGTTGTTATTGTCGAGCCAACATAACTGGTGGTTGTTCGCTGTGTTTGTTTTCACGTTGGAAGCAGACGATTGACTCTAGCTCAGGCGGCTTCGTGTGGATGAAACTGCGGCGAAACTGAGTGTCAATTTTATGGATTTTTACGAGTCCATAATGAAAGTATTACCAATGAAAGAAAGCTGGTTAATTCCCGGAGTTTTGATAAAGCAACGCGTTCCACATTCTTCACTTGGTTTCTTTCGTTTGCCGAGTAAAGGGAAAATCGTTCGTCAAAGTTACACTGGATGAGAAATGATTTCCGTTAAATTTTAGTACGGTCACTTTTTCGCTTTTCCAGGATGCCCTTTTTTGCAGCTTCTGTTCGATTTGTTGAATTTCAGTCTTTCACGAAAATTGTTTGAGTCTTCGTGTGCAGTGAGCTGCTGTCTTGTCTGTCGAAACGGATGTTTCATTGTTGCCCTATCGCTTATAAAAGGCGGGAAATCCCGATTTCGCATGATTGTGACGCCGAGTTGGAATACGTACGAGGTATTTTTCGAAAGTTCTGCAAGTCACCAGCATATTTTCTTTGGAGATGTATGGAACGTGGTAGTGAATTCTTAATTTTTTTACGGATGTGAAGAAATTACATCTTGTGACAGCCAGATAGAATTGAATAGAAGTGATAGAAGTTTTGTTTAATCGAGAAGAACTTTAGTAACTTATGGGAACATCAAGAAGACATCGACAATACAATTTTCCTGCTGAAGCTGTCTGGCGAAAATCCCCAATTCTTCTGGGATTTTTTTTTTTTTTTCAAAAATGTCATGAAGAAAAGATGCTACTCACTGAAGAAATTTTCAACGAAATATTACTTTTTTAGCCCCAAAAAAGGTTTTGATGATAAAAAAAAGCATCTGCTTCTCACGTTCCTCTGGCCGTCATGGGTTTATACCAAGTTTTTGGTTGACAATAGTTCGAGGAAAGGGATAGTTTTGTTTAATCCAACTGCATTGATTATTTGTTGGTGATTTGCAATAGTTTATTTTTTTAGCTCGTATTTCCTGTATTACTTGTGTTCTTCTTTAATTTCCTGCCACAGATTACGGGTTGTGTTCTTTTTTATTATCGATTAAAAATGTGTGTGGTTTTTGAGTGCTAAAAATGGTGACGAGTGTAGCCCTGTTCAATTGCCGCTATTGTGGCGAGTTGTTCGATTCGTTGGCCGCCACGGCGGTTCACGAAGTGCTCGAGCATGTCAAGGACTTCCAGTGCCTGGAATGCGGGCTTTCCGCCGCTGGCATTGTATGGAAACACATGATTTGCCATAAGAATTCCAAGCAAGATGCCATTCCGTTCACTGACGAGGATCCCACCGGGGAAATTGGGAAGTTTAAAAATAAATTAGAGGAATTAATTGGGGAATCGTCGGATGACCAGTGGCGCCTTGATGAACCCGATTGCGAAGAGGCTGACCAGCAGGACCAAAGCGGAATCCATGAGATACTCGTCTCGGTGGAAGATGATTTTGAGTTCGATGAAGACGATGAGGTGGAGAATACCCATTTCATTCATGGTGAGGTGTTAGTTTTGACAGTTCACTTTTTGAAAACCTTATAAAAACTTCTCTAAATTGGGATTTTAGAAGGTTACGATTTTCAAGTCAAGATTCAACGGTCGGAAACCAAATGTGATTTGGAGACAGGCGCTGATGCCCGCTCCTCATCCAGTCATGAAGAATTCAGCCCAGAGTTACGAAAAACTTACAAGAATCTCCTTTACGACGCCGAGTACTCCATCGAGCTTCTCCGCGAAATTGAGCGTGAAGTCTCGTCTACACCTAGTCTCATCGAAGGAGCCGTTAAAATCGAGTCTTCGGCTCGACCGAAAAGCCCGGCATTGACCGCGATTGACGCTTCCGTCAACAAATCTGTCGACTTTCTTGAGACTTGTTATGATGCCTTTGCCGGGATGCACGAAGGCAGGAAAAAGAAGGAAAGCCCGGTCGATTTGATGTGCGAATCGTGTTCTCTGTTTTTTAAAACCGCCGGCGCCTTGTTGGTTCACAAAATGATCGTTCACGGGGACTCGAGTGCGCGCAATTTCACGTGCACCAAGTGCGACCAGAGTTTCAAATTGCGTTCGAGCTTTTTGCAACACCTCCTGCGGTCATGTCACGGCAAACCGTACAAGTGCCAGAAAGAGGCTTGTTTCATGATTTTCCGGACGAAAGAAGAAAGAAAGGCCCATTACCTGGCATCCCATGAATTGACGAGATGCAGCGTTTGCGGGCAAGGGTTCTGCACGCCGCACAATGTCAAGCAGCACTTCGACATGGTTCATGGCGGGCCGTGCGAGGAGATACGATGCAAGTACGTTGCCGAGTTTTAAGTCTTATAAAAAGTACTAGGAGATGGGTTGAACTGAAAAAAAGGTAGTTAAAATTCATTTTTCCGCTATCCTAAACGTTGAGCTGCCAACCCGCAAGTGATGCTGGCCCAGTTGGGCCAGCCGAACGTTGGACTTGCTTCTCTTCCAACTTTCTGGCCTTTTATCGTCTGACTCAATTTTTTTGTTATTATCAACAGGTACTGTGGGGAAAGCTTTTACAACACCGCCTTATTCGTCAAACATGAAGTGAAATGTGGTCGATTTACCAGATCCTCCGAGTACGCCTTGAATGCTCGTGTCGGAGTCCGCGACTTATTCGACGTTGACACCGACTTGTCCCATGGTCAGAGGATCACTGTTCTCCCTGTTAAGCCCTATGACGACATGCTTGTAGCCGGGAACATGAGCACGACAATTGTTGGCGGGAACAAGCCATTTCAGTGCTGTGAATGCTTGGTGCGATTTAAGGATGAACAGATTTTGTCCACGCATACGTCCGAGTGTCACATCCGAACGGACGGCGGGATAATGCATAAGTGCGCCGAATGTGGGATCATTTTCAAGTCCCGAATTTCCATCCGCCGCCACATGTATTCACATCCGGATTTGTTTGAGCTACAGTGTCGCTTTTGTCCGCGGAAGTTTGCGTCACGGGATTCCTTGTCGAAGCATGTGCAAACGGTGCATTATGGCGACAGGCACACAAAAAAAAGATTTAGCGGACTGAAGGAAAAGAAAGAGCTGATTCGTTGTTCAACGTGTTTGATAAGGTACTACAGCATATCCATTTTCAAATCATCGCTGTAGTACACCAAACATGAAAAACAAAAATATTTACTTCGTTTTTTTCCTTCAAATGCGTCGTTTTAATCTGTGAGCATTTGTTTATTTTAAGGCATTTGACATCGTTTGATCATTCAGGGGTGTCGTAACTGTCGTTAATTGAAAGAATATATAATTCAAAGAATTTTTCGTATGATGTGGAGTTCGCAAACCTTGCGGTAAAAGCTTCGGTTCGTCGTAGTGATGAAATGTTTCGGTGCGGTAAATGTCGCTTATAGTCACGTTTAAATCTCAATTGTACACGTAACCATTTGAAGCTCATTTGCTTGTAGGTCTCTCTTTCAGTGAGTACGAGCATTTTCTGATAGCAATATAATACAGTAATAGATTAATTTCCAGGAGTACTTTGTTTAACGTTATGACGAATTGAGCTTCGTTTTTATGCTTCGAGCAATTCTTACCAAATTTTCTGTACAAACTTTGATTTACTTGTATTCGTGTTTCACCAAAGGTTCTGAACACTCCAAGAATTTACCAAAATCTTATGTGGAAAAAGGGAAAAACATTTTCATGAGCGGTTCGAAGGCATTTGCGATTGAAATCGCATGACGATCTATCTGCCGCGACGATAATTATTTTTTGCTAATACATTTTGTGGCTTTCTCCGGCGAATGCGCCATTCATTTCTTAGGTATGACACAGTAAAAGATCTGAACGATCATATTGCGCAAAATCATCAACGAGGAAAACGAGGCGGAAGTCATTTCTGCTGCATATGTCGCGAGGAGTACAGCAGTCCCAGGTTATTACGGAAGCACTTGAACTCGCATCCGGAAGTGGCGAGGCATAAGTGTTGGCGATGCCCTGCAAGATTCGTGTCTCGAGGATCCGTTCGGTGGCATTTTGAGGAGATGCACGGGCAAGGGAGGAACCGGAAGTATTTCGAAAGCGAAATGAATGATGACTGAGGTGATCCTCCAAAAAACTGTGAGATTTTTTTTTTAAGCTGTCATTTTTGTGTACGTGAAAATATATATCGGGATGATGCGTGTTGTGTTCTGTTCGAACGAATTGGGAATTCCAGATGGTCGTATTTTTAATTTCAGCTTTTCTTCTTCGACTTTTTCAGATTTCTTATTTCTGAAAATAGTTGCTTCGGTGAATATTTTTGCCGAAGCAACTATTTTCTCCGGTGCAACGCTTTGCGTCAGTGACGTTGTCTTAGTTTTTCAAATTTCACTGTGAACTTGGACAATTATTTATTTGTTATTTTTTGTATCCATTTATTTGGATCCATTTTTATATCAAGTTTTCGCCATCTTTTTACAGGCACTAAAGCTGCGTGTTGTCTGCAGGAGTTTGAATTCCACGTTTGATGTTTCAATTCTTGCCATTTTTTTATCGATGAGATGGTTTCTGCGATAGTCACTGATATTTTGTGTCGATACTGTGAAGTTTCTTTCGACTCGCCAGCTTCTGCCGTCTTCCACGAAGTCTTGCACCATGTCATACAGTTCGAATGCGTCGACTGCGGGAATTCTGCGGCAAACATAATCCTTGAGCACATGCTTTTCCACCAAACCAAAGAGATTGAATCGAAACCAAACTTACCTCGCGTTGATGGAGACATTTCTGAATTCTCTACCGAGTCCGAAGAGGCCCGGTTACGCGTTGACTTCCCTCCGAAAACAGAGTTGAAAAGAAATTCGCCTCGTCGAAGAGGACGTCGGAAAAGGAAACCTGTGCTGGATGCCGATGAGTGGCCTCGTAATGATCCATGGTGTTTAACGGAAGTTCAAAGTGAGATAGAAACGAAAGTTGAAGAGGAAAAAGTCGAGCTATTCGAAATAATTATCGGTAAGCAGGGTACCCGATTCTTGAGTGATGACCTGGAGATCGTTGATGAAACCGACATCGAATCGGGTTAGTACCTCTCAATTTCAATACTATTCTACAGCTATATTATGCACGAGGAAAAATTAATCCTTCGTGAGTTCGTGTGGTTATGAACGTTAAGAATATGAGATTTGCGTCGAAGGAAAGCAAGCAAATGGGGAAGAGTTTCTTTCAAAAAATGTACTTTGCTTTGAGATTGAGAAAATTGTTGTGCATTTCTATGGGGCGATCGTGATTCACGCGATACAGTGAATAGATCAGCACAACCCGAAATTTTCTGGAAGTTGGCGAAAACTCTAGCAGAAGTTCATGAGAAAATTCGTGTGGCATCCGGACCACAAGTGTTGGAAAGAAGGTAGAGTCTGGTACTTTTTTCTTAGATCTCGTGGCTGGAGGAAATAACTTGCATTCTGAAGACGGATGATTGCAGTCTGTCGAAATGGATGAAAATATGCGTCCTCGTATTTAAAATTATTTCCGACTTTTTATTGTCTGCCGAAGATAGAAGAATTTAACTCCCGGGATTTGCATTGGAAAGGCCAAACAATTTCATTTTCACTCGGAACAGGTTACTGACAGGCTACAAAGATATCCATTGTACTCTTCATTGTTCAACTTCTCTCTTTCTTTGACGCTATTTGAATACTGCAGTAACTTTCATAACTTCCTGAAACGTTGACTTCAAAAAAAATAGTTAGCGCCTTTATTACCATGAACACTGCTCAGTCCATTAAAAATAAGATTCGTTTGAGTGATATTTCTGTCTGCTTCAATGCTCGTGCGCACGATTTTTTCCTTATCAACATAACGAAATAATTGGGTGCCAGCTGCGTTTTTTTTTATGCAGTGAGGATCGATTTGAATTTCAATTTTTTATCGAATTCTCATCACACTCGATGCGGCTCCAATTCGATCCATTTATTGTTGTCTGATTATTTTCAATTACTGTCCAATGAAGAGCTTATTTTTCCCCTGCGTCGTAACTTGTTATATTCCGTGTGTTTGTTATAAAAATGTGTAAGAAATCGGTGCTTCGAAGCGTATTTTTCATGGCTCAATAAATTTCATTGATTTTCTTTTGAATTTTCTTCAGATGGCAACTTTTTTCGTGCTAGCGCATTTCGACCCGAAATGCTAGAAACGACTGTGATAGAAGAAGACGGAGTCGATGTTGAAACGGATCAAATTTCTTACGATCTGGTTCGAGACGCGAATCGTTGCATTGAACTTCTCGAGGCGGAAGACAAAGCAGCTACTTCATCCCGCGGGCTGCAATTGCGCACGATCCAACTTGACGAAACTCCTGTACAACGGAACACTGTTTTCAAAAGAACTGAGCTTGACGCTGAGGAAATGGCGAGTTACCTGGATTATGCGTTCGACTCATGGACGACGAATGGAGAACTCTACCTGGGCCATGACAGGAAACCCTCTGAAAACGCAGCAGCCGGGAATGTGATGTGCGAACAATGCGCGATTTTCTTCAAAACTAGCGGATCTCTTGTAGTTCACAACTTGACTGTGCATGGGTCTCGAAAGTTCAGTTGCACTACCTGCAACAACAAGTTTCTGCGAAGGTCCACTTTTCTTCAACACTTGGTCCGAATGTGTCACGGAAAGCCATTCCGGTGTCAGAAGTACCTATGTCACATGATCTTCGCCACTCGGGAAGAGGCAACTGAGCACTTCTTGGAAACGCACGAATTGAATAAGTGTAAATTTTGCGGAGCCGGGTTCAAAAATCCGATAAACCGAAAGGCGCACGAAGAAAGCGTGCATGGCGGGCCGTGTTCTAAAATGATTTGTAAATTTTGTGGGGACGCATTTTTTGAACGGAGTGAGTACGCCAAGCATCATCTGGCTTGTTATCGAGCGCGAAAAAGAAGGATGTTGAAGGATAGTGCCGAGAGAATCACCGTTTTTTGATGGCCGTCGTGTTCCTTTTTTTTTCAATTCTCCCAATTTTTGGATAGTAATGTGCCTTGTGAAGGAATATTTCATGCTGGACGTTAAATGTCAATCTTTTCTACTTTTTTGTTGTTCGCCAAAATGTGCCTACATGGATTAAAGCATCTGATATGTTGTAATTTTCATTTGAGCGCGGGATGTCCCGAATTCCATGATATTCGTTGCCATCACCTAGATGTCGCCTGAATTTTGTTCAATCACATTTCAAGTAATTTAGATTTTATCAGGTTTTGTCATGTCTGATCAGCGATTCATTCGACGTCAAGCTGATGTTCCCTGAAGCAAACTTGGCAGAGAAGAAAACCTATGATTCTCGAAATTTTTTCCAAAAAATTGGCGAGCTATACTGCTTTCCATCCCACTTTAATTTTTATCATAGGTAAAGTTATGCACGTCCTTTCTTTTTGAATTTCGTACCTCCCGTTCTTGCGGCTAATTTTTGTTTTCTTCCCTTTTTAAAGGGTTTTTGTAAAGTGAAATGTTGACGCCGAAGTTTAAATTGACTCAAGAAGATGACTATGTGATAGCCTGTATTCATGCCCCGTTTGGGTCATTGAAGGATGCCGAGGTACACATAGAAAAATGTTCGTTCACATTTTGGGCGAAACCATACTTATTGAAGTGAGTATTCAAATTCAATGAATTCTTCTTCAATTTAAACTGAGTTATGTTATGTCATCGATTATGTAGGCTTAAGCTGCCTTGTCCTCTGTTGGCTGACGATGAAGGCAACAGTGCCATCTTTGATGCGTCAACCGGGGATTTCACGGTTAGAATGAAAAAACAAACCATCGGGGAGTTTTTTCCAAATCTCGATTTATTGACAACTCTGAAACAACCGAAGGTGCAACGATCTAATGGAGGAATTTTGGAGGTGGAAGGTTCGTTTTATCCATTGTTGACGTATGACTCTATGGATAATCCGATTTATTCGTCCATGGACTAGATCTAACTGCTGTGATGGATGATCTCTTGGGAGAAATTCCAGATTGGACCGTTAATTCCAGTGAATGCGACGGAGGAGAAAATTTACCAAACCTCTCTGGACTGTCAATAGGCAACAAAAAGTACGGGTTCGCAAATATGATGAGTGATTCAACTGAAGGTCTCCAGGTTGGAACCTTTTTATTCTCCGTTTTTTTCGTGGTGTAGGTACTCAAGAACAGTTCACTTTTGCTCCGCGAACCAATTACAGTCTTCCTTTAATTTTCCCTTTTGTAATTCGGTCATTATAAACGAGTATTTCGTCAATCGGGCTGATGCAATTTTAATTGAGCCAGAAAATCTCTCAGAATTTAAGCCCGAAGTATTATAAAATTTTGCTGTGCACTATTGCGTGTGTATTAGGGACTACATAAAATCTCTGAAGCTTAAATCATGTTGAAAACTAGCAGCTTGAAGCATTAGTTGGTCCGCGAAATACTTCGATTGAGTTTACCATTCCCCATTTGAAAGAGTTTTAGGTGATCTCAAGAACACTGGTCTTGAAATGAAGTTTTTTTTGCGTTGATCTTTTAGGAAGAGCTTTTGGACATTTGTGATGTGAGATCTCCGCATTCCAAAAGTCATGAAACCCGGAAAAGAGAGCGGATCAAGCATGAGCAAGATAACTTCGACGAGGAATATTACATGCAAGACGCCGTAGAAACTGACACAATTTCCGTTTTGCTCGACTTCCGAACGCCGTGGCCTCAATGGCTCGAGAAAGTTTCGACTTCTTCCGGGAAATTAGTGAAGGAATCCGTCGGTAGGTATCTGTTCTGTGTACAATATCCTCTTCAATTTCTTATGTTCCGGATTTAGATTTTTTGCCTTTTTAAAGGTGTCGCTGGTTTCTGGGGAATTTAGCCGTGGGTAAAATCTGAAAAGATCACTTCTGTATCTGATATCGCTGCAACGTTTCTCAAGTGACCTTCGGTTCTGAGTAAAATGGAACAATTAAGTTTAAACTCAAGTTTAAACTTGGTTTTTTTTTTTCGTAACATTTTTTTACAGCACTGCACAGAAATTGATCTAGAATCTTCTGGGGTGCACTGGATGTTACACCGACAGCTTGTCGATCTTTCAAGTCGCGTTGTTTGAAAATTTTGTCACGTCATCAGCTTTCTCCTGTTTTAAAAATTGGACTTTCTCGCGGATTTTTCTTGAAGATATCGTACAATCACGTAGAAGCCAGCATCGTGGAATATTTTACTAATTACAAGGTTTGCTATTCAACAGTGGAGATGACGGACGGCGAGAGAGACAGAATGATGCAGTTGGCAAATCGAAATTACCTTTTCGATAATGCGGACGACGTTCGCCGGTGCTATCTCGGCCTTGTTGATATTCTGCTGGCGTATGCGTACAATTTTCGCGTAACATCTGGAGAATGCGACGTGGAGTCCCCGTGGAACATTTCTCGACTGAGTGCCACTTTGGCGTGGTTTAATGTACGTGTCAGTGAAGAATATTACCTACATAGAGAATTGATAGTTGCGAGGGTCTTACCTTAAATTTCGTGTGTCAATTCCAGCAATGATAGGAGTTTGTCTCGTGAAAAGCTTCTCTTGAACCCCCGTAATGACTCTTTGTTTTACTGAATTCAAATACCGTACAGTGATTGTCTTTCGCATTTTCTTTGTTACAGTATTTGAAAATAAAAAAATATTTCGTGGGTGCCAAATGATGTGTGTTGGACTGCACGTTCATTTTTCATTGAAGCTTGAGGGACACACAATTTTAGATTGCTCAAAAATGGTGAGGGAAATGGGAAAAAAAGTATTACTGTTGATTACGCGAAGTTTTTGAAGACCCTCGTATGCCTTGAATTTTTCGTGATTAAAGAATATTTTTCCAGGAATTCGACAGTATGCACGAAGTCGTCGTCACTTCATTCCGCAGAATGCTTTGCTATCCGCAATATAGAAATTGGGATTTGAACGAAACAATTCGATCTGACGTCGTTTCCATATTGCGATTAGGTGAGGGAAGTGCGTCATCGAGTTAAAATATTTCCTTACTAATTTTCTCCGATTTTCCTTTTTTGCCTTTTTAGGAAAGAAGGCCGTTTTGAAGTGCCTTTTGGATATCCTGGGGATATTTAACGGCCGTGAGCCGTACTACTTACTGAACAGGTTCTACATAAATCACTATGCGGTTTTTGTCCAACGAATACCCGAAGGACGCTTGGAATCGCTCGGAGAATTACTGCAACAGGTGAGGAAATGGTGCAAGAAGACTTAAAATATGTTCCGGGTTGATGCTTGAGTGTGATATCGCTTACAAAATATACCGTATTTTGATGCCTGGTCGGGCTGGTTCTCACGACGAAATCTATATCCCTGATCGTTTTTTATCCTTGAGAATAATTCTTAAACATTTCACTGATCAATAGATCAGTGTTCTTCAACCTTTTTTGCTCGCGGACCGGCAAATTAAAAAAAAAATCTTTAGCGGACCGCCAAATTTTACTAACATTTTCTGCGGACCGGCAAAGTTTCATACAATTTTGAAAACCAGGAAAATTTTTAAATAGTTGCCATTAAGTCCTTAAAACAAAACTTGTATTGCAAAAATTAAGTAAAGAACCAATAGGAAGATATATATTGGAATGTCTTGAAAAAATATAAAGTTGGGCTTCAAGAAAGGCTTCTCAGATTTGAATCTGAAAATAATCTATTTCAGACTGGTGAAGATATGTCTGACGCATGAAGTGTAATAATAAGAAAAGCCAACTTTCATTTTTTCTCAGATAATTTCAACTGCCATTTTTTCCGAAATTCCGGATAATTAACAATAACAGGCTTCAATACTATCTTCTTTAAATTTGTGATGCTGAAGAAATTTTTCCGCAAAACGGCAAGATACTTCTGCGGACCGGCGCCGGTCCGCGGACCTCGGGTTGGGGAACGCTGCAATAGATTATTTTTGTCGCACTCCAATAACTTCGTTTCAAATGCAGTTTTTAACGTTATTGCTCGAAGAAAATGTGCCACCTCTGAAAAAAAATGGGTGTGCCTATTTAGGTCCAACCCGTATAGTAACACCTCGATATCGACGTCGCACTTTCTTAAGATTGAAATCGCTGTGTCTCGTGGAACAGACTTTTGTTTGTCATCGAGAGGACTTGGAGAATTCTGATATGAGTGGTAAATGTTGATGCATGTTTTCATGTAAAAAAAATGCGGATCCCTCGTTTTTCTCCACTTTTCGATTGACTGTCAGACGAGCGTGTCGAAAGAAGACGTTGACCTCGGACTGGAGGCCTGTGACGCGGCTTGTCAGCTGGCTCTGGAGGAGGAAACAAACTCTCGTCGGGACCGAGTATCTGATGACGTAAAGCGCGGATTGAAGCGGCTGTCGCTGGGTGAATCCAAAGTCGACAGCGACGATGATGAGAGCTCGTCAAGCACGAGCAGCGCGAGCTACGTTATGGAGCAGTGCTGTCGAGACTACGACAGCGATGACGCTGGGGCTTGTCTTTGTGCACACCGTGCCCAGGGATCAGTTAGTGAGTGATTTTGCCCGAGGTTGAAAAAAGTGCGATTAGAAAACGGAGAATCGGTTTTTTTTTTAACGGGTGTGAAGGAACTTGTTAGCTTTCTTTCCGGATAAGATTTGGTTTGAATGCTTTGCTTTTCGTGAGCCCGACATGCCGTGTTCTGAACTTTTTTATTCGAAATTCGAAGCCTAAATGTTCCCCCGAAAACGTGGCCTGTTCGTAGGATGAGGGAGACTTCGATGTGCAGATTTTCTTTCACGGCGATATTCTCTTTACGACAAATTTGTTATTACTTGAATTCCTTCTTTCAGTGTTTTTGTTATGGGATTGTCCTGCACAACAAAGTCCCCTCAACAAAGATTTAGAGAGTGTTTACACTTGAAGTTTTTGTGACGTCTCTTGGATATTAGTGAAATTTCTTTTAAAATGTGAGGCAAGCGGTCAGAAGTTTCACTGTGATGGTGAAAAAGAAAAGTCGTGCAAAATTTAAATTGTTCTGCTCTTTTTGGATCCTGATCAATAATCATTATATTGCAGAAATAGATGTTCAAGAAGTTACACAGTACAGTATGTACATAATTTCCTAGTCAGTCGGGAAAGAACACGCAAAAAAATGAATGGAATATTGAGAAATTTTCAAGACTCGACATGTGGGAAAAGTTGCTCGCAGAATTTAATGTACGAAACAGCAATGTCAGTCTGAATCTCAAAATACAGGGAAGTACTTATTTGAAATTTTGGAAGGTGCCGTGAAGGCAATGATGCTGTAAAGAAGCTCTTGATACCCACCAATTCTGTATGGTTCTTATGGTGACCCACGAGATAAGGGAATTCTTCGATAAAATGATTTCCTAACTGGTGTTAGAATCATCTGGGGGTGTAGCTCAGTGGTAGAGCGCTCGCTTCGCATGTGAGAGGCCCCGGGTTCAATCCCCGGCACCTCCACAGTATTTTTCTGCGATCTTTTGACCTATTTTTATTCTCCTGTACCGGATTCTCACGCGGCGGTGTACTTGACTTTTACAGAGTAGACAGTTGAGCGAACGTTAAAATGCTCGAATACTGAATCTTAATTTATAAAAAAAATCATCGCAATTATTATTTTTCATTTACGTAATCGTACTTGCTAAATAATCGTGATGGAAAGAAATGCTTGAATTTGAAAGAATTCACCTCGCGTGTTGGCGTGTAAGTTGTATCCACAAAATTACTGCGATCCACATGTACTCCGTCGGATTCGGTGACTGTAATTAACTTGCGAGTTTCATGGTCGCGTATTACTTTTTCTTACACTTCACTGTCCTTCATCTAACTTTTGTCTGACGCTTGAATTTTTTTTTTGCTCTAACGAGTAGGGCCATGGTGCTGTCCATTGTTCGCTAATCAAAATCAAGTGCGGTTGTGCTTGCTGGATTTGGGAAGGCTTCTAAATACAGTACTGTAGCTCTAACGTGTTATTTGGGGTGGAAATCGATTGCAACTGTTCGCCAAAAATATTCGTGCTGTACGTGATCAACCCAATAAGATTTGACTGATGTGACTTCTTTACGCCTGCATCATGCCGTGAACATGAATACAAGCTGAAATTGACATGATTTGGAAATTATCTTATGGTAACGTCTATCAGTGCTAATAAAGTTTAACTTTGGTTTGAAGGAATTCAGTGGTTTACGCATCTGTTGAGACTTTTAGAAGCAGTGTGACGGTGGAGTCAGAAACACTACTTTGTCTAACGTCAAGCGGGCTCTTATCATGAGTAAATACTGTATATGTTCTAGTCCCGTTAATGGCATTTCACGATACCGAAGTAATGCTGGATTAAGTTCCAAGGTCAGACTGTTAACGTGATGGTCAGGCTCGCTGTTGATGGTCCATCGAATGCCACTCATTTTCTCTTCTGTAAATTTTGTATTGCTTAAGTTCCTTAGATTTTATTTCTTGACACTTCCTTCTAATTTGGTGAAATCGCTTAATAACGCTCAACTGTTGGTCTCAGACGATCTTTTTCTGTTAGTGTTTTGTAAATGTGTTTTTTTCCCATTGCTCGGGTAGAAATTTTCCTATATCCATGGTATCGAAACTTGGTGTGTTTGTGCTGCGCAAACTTGGTTTGAATTGCTAGTGATAAGGGACACATTTGAATACACTGGAATAACTTAAAATAGCCTGCTAATTCACTGTCCGATTTGAGCAAATTGTTCAGAGTGCAATTGGTTTGTGACTCCCTTGTTATTGGTGTATTGCTACAGATGCAGAGATCGCAGATGGCAGTGCGCGCGTGTGAAGATCTTTAGTGGTGTGTTGAACGCCCTTGTGGCGTTTCAGGTGTTGGTGAGAGATGTTTATTGAAGCACATCATCAACAACAGCTTCCGTATCCGGATGATTTGACGACTCTTGCAGCAGCTACAAAAAAAACCGGAGACTCTTGGACGATAGATCAAGATGCGAAACCTGAACAAACTGTGCTTCAACAAGAAGCCAAAGAGCAACACAGAATTGCAATCTTCAAATATGATTCGGCCTTGTGGGAATACAGAAACGAAGGGAATCAAAATCTAACGATCAGTTCACCATCGTTACAAGAAGTTATCCGATTGAGGAAGGGTTGCGAGTATGAGAGAAGTTATGATTCTATTGTTTCAAGGAGTCACGAGTTTGCGCGCACAGTCATGTTGCCCGTGCTAACACCAGCAAATAGGAAAGTTCCCTGGGTCCAACCGGGAGATTTGGTTGTGATTTCCCCTGAAGATTTGCGTTTGCTCTGTGCCGATGTTCAAGACTCAAGACCCGCATACCGGCGTCATAAAAATCCCGGTTGTGTCTATGCGACGAAAGCGCCTGATGTTACCGGATTTTCCCCACGATTGACTTCCCCGTATTCGATTTTTAGCTTTGAGATCAAACCCAAGCGCGGATTCTGCACGATGCGACACATTGCTTTTGATGCAGTTACCAAACCACCGATGATGATTTGCCGTCATTGTTTGAAGCAGGCTTCAAATGCTGCTTTGGTTAATGCTGTGGTCGGCCAACGTGATTATCTTTTTCAACCCGGAGAATCCCGTCTAAGTAATCATTCCTGCATACCAGAAGATACTCCAGTGCGCGTCACAGTACCTGGAGGTCGTTCGGTGAAACCTGAAGAACCTCGTCACAAGGAAGATTCCTCAAAAAGTTCTCAAGCTGTTGACGGGAGACCTTCTCACATTTCTGACACTCGTGTGGAAGAAGTGATTGAGTTGCCTGTTACGAATGGCAGCACTGTCCGTTCGCCTTTTGGAGTTGCGAAATGTAATGGTTCAAGCTTTGCCAAAAATGGCCAAGATTCATTTTCTACGACGACGGATTTCTTTTCTCGGTCTTCCGCTATTTGCGATGACTCTGATCTAGCTTCCAACTCGACTCCAAAATATTGCCCGCTGCGTTTATTTTCTGGTCACTGGAATTCCATGTGTGATGCAATCCGAAGCTTGTTATGCGATCCCCGAAATAACCTCAAGCTGTTCGTTGACGGGAAACGAGTGCCTTTCGGTGGCAAACATTCCAACTGCTATCTCACTGCTCCGGATTGGGAGCTATTCCTAGCGCATTCGGTGCCGCGTGATGTACCCGTTTTACTTCATCTCACCAAGCTGCTCTTCACGGCTCTCACAGAACCAGGCACATCGAGTAGCGTCGAGTTTGACGAATCGCTTGGTTTCGATGAAGAATCGAGCTGTCCTTCAAACAGAAGTGGGTGTCGGGCTGTGAATTGCGCCGGAGAGAAGTTCTTCGAGGTGGCAACCGCACTTCCGCCAAACTGTGTGTTGGGACGCGTTCTTGGGGTACAAATGTTGGATGTGAATGGGGCAGTGAGTTGCAAGGAAGCTCTGGAAAAGCTACGGGAAGAGGATCTGTTGGAGTTGGAGAAGCTTCTCGCCGATGGTCCTTTTTCGAGTTCCGTGTGGCAGAAAGCTGTGTCTTGTGCCAGTTCGGAATTGACTCACGGTGTGGAGACAGGAGGTTCTTGGAATCTGATTCCCGGGAATAATGTCCTGAGCCATCTCCTTGAAAAAATCATGCGGTTTCAGGTAGGATTTCTTGTTTTCCGTTTCGGAAGTTTCGGTTGTGAACTAATGTAATTGGTTTTCGCGCTGTATTTTGATCATTTTAATTGCTGATCAGCTGAAGTTTTTCATGCATCATATTGGGTTACAAATCTTCAAGCTACTGTACTCTTTTTTAATTTTAAAAATTGTCCCCACTTCAACATTTCTTCCAATTTCTTGAATTTTTCTATGATTTGGATGAGACAAAACATCAACGTTCAATTCAAATTTTAATTTTTACTCCATATATTTTTTAGAATATGTATTTTTTGCAACTTGAATAAGACAAGCATCTCATGCAGGGGGGCATATTTTTCAAAATGTTAGCATTTAAAAAAAGGAAGGTGCGCATCTTGCTTGAGGGTGCATGCTACTTGAGTGGATGCAGTAATTTTTTGAAAAAATGACATAAAAAGTTCCTTCAAAGCCAATTTCTGGTTTTCGCAGATTTGGAAGGACTTCGTGAGAAAATCTTGCAGGCCTAAAAACCTCACAAGGTCCAAAAATCCCACAACCTTAATTCATGCATGAGCAAGAGCCTCTTTTGGTACTAAAGTAGGCAATGGTGTGTGGACAGATTCTGGATTATTAAACAATTATAGATGCAGTTTTGGAGTCAAATTTCATCCGCCAGGTTTTCATGTTGGAATCCTCAGTCATTTTTAGGGGTGAAATTTGATAAAGTTCCAGAAAGATTTTCAGGAATGCTGAAGCCCAAATTGATTGAGTTCTACCCTATTTGTATCAGTGTTACAGCATTGCCAAAAAAAAGCAAATGATTTTTCGACTCCAGGGGTAGGTCCCACAAAATTTTGGGTATACTGTATGGGGTTTTTGAACCTTTTAATTTTCTCCTCGGCACCCTTTTTAAAGAACATACTGTACTGATAGATATAAATTTGGTCCAGAATCTCAAGGAAGTTCATATTTTACTATTACTGGTGATACGAAAATTATTAACCGAGACCTGGTATAGTTCCTCCTCCACTGAACTATATTGATTTTGAGGGGGACCTACGAAGCATTGCAGAATTTGAGCGACTCCCCTGTGTATTGAAAACGAAAATTTATGAATTCTGAACTCCGTGCATCGAAATGAAGCGAAAGCCGTTCGCCAATGTGTCCTCAGAGATTTCGGTTGTTTTTCTTGGTGGTACTTACGTTCAATATACTGTATCTTGGTCTAGGTGTCGGCTTCTAGCGGGGACTGCTCAGTGTTCTGTACTTTCCAAAGGATGCCGCCAGACTCTGACTGTGAGTCGCTTCAGAAGCAAAACGGTATATTTCTTCTGAAAGCCGACGGAGTATCCTATGCTTGTCGAATCTCCATTGTTGACGTGGACCCGAAATCACCTAGTCATGTTTTCAAATACGTCGAGGACGCGCAAAAGGGATTCCAAGCTCTAATTGACCGAGGGTAAGGGATAATAGATAATTCTGTTCAAGCTCTTGCCAATCAGAAAAACTCCTTTGTAGTTTCAAGGGAGTTTTTGTGTCCTTCTGTGATAAGTAAAAATATTGAAATATGCGTTCATATTTTTAAACTACAGTACGACGTAATTTTTCTGTTACGGACAATTATAGAAATGATCATGAAGGACAGTATTTATATCTCGTTGACTGTGTGCGAATCAGAGGATGAATTCCGAGGAAAATTGCACAAATTAGAAAGCATCAAGAAATCAGCTGCGTAAATGAACCAGTGCTCAAAAGATCTTGTATCTAATTTTCATTAACGATTTTATGTCGCAAGATTGTTTGCGCTCCAACTTTTTTTATACGGTTAATTGTAATTTATGCGCCTTCTCGTTTATTCCGGTTTTTCAGTGTTCTCCAAATTTTTAATTTCAGTTGGTTGCCTTGAAATTCACGGACAATATTTCTGCGCTGTCCACATCGCAGGGAATCCAATTGCATCACTGTTTCCTGCCGTATACCGAATTTTCAAGTTAGTCAGAAAGGAAACAAATTTCCTTGAGCTTCTCTACGACCAGAAATATGTGTGCCTTTATCAAGGAGATGTACGTGTTCTTTTCAATTTGAGTCGAATACATGTCAGAAAGTTCAAGCCATTGCACGAAGCAAAATATTTTAAACTCGAGATTCCTAATTTTGCTTAGTATATTCGATTTAGAAATTCCGGGTTCTGTGGGAAACTGACTTCCTTGCGGGTTTTTGTAGTGTTTCGGTTCGCGAGTTTGTGGTGTTCGAATTTTATGAGAGATTAAAAAGTTTTGGTTTAGTGGACACTGTTTATTTTTTGAGTCCATTTTTTCCCTTGATTAAGTTGGTCTTTTGATTTGACCGCAGTTTTGTGTGAGTTATGTCGTAAGAGCAAGTGATGGGTAAATTCAAAAAGCTCAAGGTCTCACGGCGTGAAACACAGCCGACTCTCGGTGAACAGATCAGGCTTGAGAAAGAGGTCAAAGCGTCAACCAGAATCAAGGAAAGAGTGCGACAGGATGAAACCGAGGTAAAAATCTCGTTTCTTTGTGAATTTTTCACGTACTGTACGTACTATTGTATCTTGAAAACGAGATTTCTGTTATGAAAATTTCAAGAAGGGGTATTATTAATTTTTTTTACTGAGCGATGATTCATTGAATAAAGAGAATTTTCTCAAAGAATATGTGGATTACATTATTTTGAGGGAAAATCTTCGTTTACGAAGAAAATGGCTTTTTACAGAATGTTAGATAGACAATTCAATTTGTATTCTTTCTGATCAAATTTCACTTCATTCGCGTGCAGGGCGTGTTGTGTGTAGTGCAGTAGAATCCCTCTATGAAGAATAAATACTTACAACAAGTTTGTTCTTCAGTCCCTGTTAAATAGCCACAACGTTATTTTCATTTCGTTTCAACGAATTTTCCGTTTATAACTGTCTTTTTCAAGGTCCCATATGCCTCGTTTTAATGAGATTCTTCTGTATTAATTTATTCTTATGTAGTTCGTTGAGCCGACGATTTCGAGGTCGATTCTAAAAGCAGCTCAAGAACAACAAACCGAAATCGCCCGCGAGGAACTTGTCAGTGGAGCAGGAAAGGGTCCGTTGTTGCTGCCAAAGCCACCTGTTATCTGTTCTGATGACGACGAGTCGGACGATGAAGCGTCGGAAGTTGGTTCTCTTCCCGACATGGACAACATCGTACGTGATTCACGCGGAAAACAAAAACTTTGATTTCTTGAAAACGCAATTTATGGGGCTACAACTCTTGTACAATTTCCTCAGAAAATATCCGAAGATGACGAAAAGGCATTCAACGTTTTCATGAATAAAGAAGCACCGGCGAGAAGAACAATTGCCGATTTAATTCTTGAAAAGTTGGGAGAGAAGAAGGATGAAATCGCATCCCAGCTGAGTGATGGAAGAAGTGGGTATTTTTATTTTTTTGCCTCCCAAACCATACTTGGCGTATTTCCGCCCGTATATGACGCGTTTTTATTTTTCTTTCAAAACTCTACTCTGGGAAAATCGTAGCTTTACCTGAACTGCTTGTACTGTACGGTATTAAAATGGAAAATTAATCAAGATCAAAGCATTATTATGCTGCTTTTGCGCGAGTTTTAAATAATAAATTCCTTGAAGTTTCTTCCATTATAAAATTTTTCATCTGGAAAATCTACGCGTTTTGTCGATATGACTAGTTTTTATTTTATACTGTACTGTTTTAATTTTCTGAAATTTATGTGCAAAATCCGTATACGCGCGTGAATATAGTTAACTTTTCATTTGCGGCTATTTGAAAATTTATTCTAAATAATTCAGCGAGGATCGAGAAAGACCTGGACCCGAGGGTTGTGGAAATGTTTCGCGGAGTCCGAGAAGTTTTGAACAGGTATCGAAGCGGTAAATTGCCGAAAGCCTTCAAAATGGTGCCGAAATTATCAAACTGGGAGCAGATCCTTTACCTCACTGGTGAGTGAAAACTGCTCTTATTTTTCTTATAACAATATCTTATTTTTATTTAGTCATGGGGTCACTTCACAGTTCGTAATTTCCGGTCACGCAAAAAATTGAAAAAGAAAGGAAATTACGAATCGAATTAGAGAATAATATCAGATTTTGTAAAAGGGGAATCCCGATGACCTGCAACTTAGAGAAAAAGAGTTGGTATTCACATGGGAAAAGAGAAAAGTTTGGATGCGCTGTGAATCAAGCGTTTCAAGTACATTTCTTTTGTGGGTAAATAAATTTATGATCGAAAACAACTGAAATGTCACTTATGTCTTCGGGAAAATCGGGTTCGGTTGCAAGAATATCAGCATTTGTAATGCTTACGCCGTTTCTTTACTTCCTGCAAAGATCCTGATGGTTGGTCTGCGGCGGCCATGTACCAAGCTACTCGGATATTCGCTTCTAGTTTGAACGAGCGCATGGCGCAGCGGTTTTACAACATGATTCTATTGCCACGTGTTCGAGACGACATCGCGGAATTCCGAAAGCTCAATTTTCATTTGTACCAGGCGCTGAGAAAGGCACTTTTCAAACCAGGGGCGTTTTATCGTGGCATTGTTCTGCCATTATGCGAGGTGAGTGTAACGATTTTTGTTTTCTCCACCTCCTATCCAACAGAGGATGAATCAACGTGTGTATTTTGACAACGTGCGTTATTTCTCGTTTCCTTTTTCAGGGCGGAGATTGCACGTTGAGAGAAGCAATCATTGTAGGCAGTGTTTTGGCAAAGAACTCAATTCCGGTCATCCATTCGGCGGCTGCGATGAGCAAAATAGCAGAGATGGAGTACAACGGAGCGAGTTCGATATTTTTGCGCATATTGTTTGACAAGCGATATGCTCTACCTTACAGAGCCATTGACTCGGTTGTAGTCCATTTCCTTAGGTAAGGAGTATTATATCCAGTATCTTAATTTATCTTAGAGGCTATTTGAACTAACTCTTTTGGGGTTTTAGGTTTCAGATGGACACCAGAGAGCTCCCGGTATTGTGGCATCAGGCTTTACTGACGTTTGTGCAGCGGTACAAGGAAGACATTTCGAGTGAACAGAAGGAGGCAATCATGGATCTTGTGAAAGCTCACTGTCACCACAAAATTGGCCCCGAAATTCGACGAGAGTTGATTCATTCGAAGTGTCGAGACATTGAAAGTTTCGAATATTCAGAAGGCAGTGAAAGGATGGATTCATAAACGGTCGTTTAAGCTGGAATACTGCATTATTTTTCACCAGCAGATTTTAAAAGCTAATGCTTACTAATTAATTCAGTTAACAAGGGAATTTTGAATTTGTACCCTTTCAACTATCCTCCAGCACGTTAGGAATAAATTGTTCACGCTGTCAGTCAGCAGACCTTTCCAAGACACCATAAAAAGTCATTTCACTTCTCATAATTATTATCCTGGATTTGCCACAGAACCTAGAAAAGTGCGGATGGCCCCCTTGGGATCCTGCCAAGCAGTTGATCGTTTCCGATTCTCTAAATTAGTCAAGAGATTTTTGTGCAACGGAAATTAGGATAGAATTTTTTTTTATTCGTGCACTTGCTATTTTGATTACTTCTAAAAATTTTCAAAATACTAAATTTTTGGAGCCCCTCTCGTTTACGATGATAGCCTTCTTCGATGAAGAAAAACATCGTATTTCCGGTGAAGACAAACGTACACATCATTTGACAACAAGAAGCTGCGGTATATTTGTCACAATACTTCATCATTCCAAAACCAGCAGAGAGCTAAAATGTAACTTCCATGCCTTAATCATTGCTTGAAATAAAACGTACATGAGAACTTCGATTCAAAGACAATCCTGATTTAAAATACAAATCCGAGGACTTCGGAAGTCCCGTTCGCACCACATGAGTTCCAACGACTTGACCACAAAAAAAATCTTCCTCACAGCAACGAAATATCCGCAGAAGAGCATTTGTTACAAAATGAAGCCCAAAAAATATCGGGATCAATGTCAGAGCAAAAAGTTTCCACAAAACGTTTGGCAGGCATCGTTTGACTCACTGAGGCACAAGACGGAAAACATACGGCACACGACCGCAAGCTCATACCTGGCGTCAGGAAGGCGGCCGTCCATCCTCGTAACTCAAGAGGGTGTCCAAGGAACACCACCGCCACTTCCTCGCTCCCGCGTCGCAACAATGCGGCTCAATAAGGAAGGCAACGCACAGAAGAAACAAAATCGATACTTGGAACAGGACGGAGGAAAAAAGAAGCAATCCTGTTCTTTTCCGTCGCTCTCTTTTTTCTGATATTGAAATTTCAGCCGCCTGTAGTCCCCGCACGCCTTGTACTCTGAAAATAAGTAACAAATTATTCGTACTACTGTACCTGTACTTATTTTTCTTAAACCAAAAGAAACTTTCAAATTCGATTAGCTTTCCAATATAACAAAGAAAAATTCTTCAAGCTTGAGAAGAATTCGTCCATGTTCACGAAGTTGAATAAAACTCGTTACAACAAAACTTGATTTCAGTATTCCGTTCAGCAAATCTGAGCGGTATTTTTTCATGCTTTTTTCGTACGTTCGCTCATACATTGTGTACTTGGGGAAATAAACAAATACTGTACATTTTTACTAGAGAAATGTCGCTCATGTATTGTACGAACATAACAAGTATGTACGAGTAATTATTTAAAAAAAAAGTTTAACAGCAGAATACAGTTTGCCCATCTGCTATAAAATCTAAGGGACCAGAAAAAAAACAGAAAAAGTGTGCTCAAGTAATAATTTGAAAAAAAAAAGTTGGCCAGCAGAATACAGTTTGCCTCTCTACTATAAAATCTGAAGGACCAGAAAAATGCGCTCCAGAGATCCCCCATAACATGGAGAGAACCGTGAGGGAGCAACAAAAAAATAATTCATCTTGTACTAAACGAACAAAATCGTGGTAGAAAACCTTTCCGTAGCGAGAGTTCACCTCTAATACACTTCTTTCAAGTATGTAGACACCTAGATAATAATTCACCCGTTCAAAGAAAGTGATCTCTCATTTCATAAAAAAAAACTCTCCTTGGTTTTCCATGGGAATCTCTATTTATTTGGAAACCTAAAAAAGGTGCAACTCAAATTTAAGCATTCCCGGCTTAAATCAGTGGATATTTTCTCTAAAAAATAGTCAAATCAGCAATCAACACTGACCTGATGTTTTCGCTGCCAACATTATTCACGACCTTGACGTCTTCGAAAGAATGACGCAGTTCTTGCACAGTGACCCCGATACGAAAAGTTTCCTAAAATAAAAAATGAAGAATGAAAAAAACTTTCCTTTTACAAACTAATCTTTAAATTACGACTCACCTCGACAAATTTCAAGGCGGCTTTCGGGCCACCAGGCAAAGCTGCAGCTATTTGAGCGCTCAAATGATTCAAGCTCAAAAGTTTGTCTTCGCAATCCCGCAACGTCCCCGCCATTCCAACACCCTTCTGTTGAAGGAGATTCGACTCGCTGGAAACCTGCCCAAATATAAAGAAAATAAAAACGTCTTTAGTTCGAGCAGACCGCAATTATTTGCAATTTTTGGAACACTTATGGAGCTTCCGAAGTTACTGTGCAACAGAAAATTCTGCCTTTAGAGTCGATTCTTTGTGAAAATTTGTCAAAAAAGTAGAAAACTTGAAATTATTCTCTATCTAGTATTCTAGAGCATCACCTTCCCTACATCTTTATATTTTCAAAAATTTTGGACTGACCTTTCTTGCAAGGAACGAAAACACCGAACATTTGGGGAAAGCTGCAATGGCATGGCGTTAATTTCCAATTTTCACAAAATCTAAGTGATCTAAGTTTATGGATGACTCAGTCGTGAAGCTCATTGTAAAATCGTTACCAATGCCGGGGAAAAAATCACAGCTCTGTGTCAAGTATGAAAAATTACGCAGATAACGAAGTTCATATTTGCGCAGCACTCAGGAAACAGAGTAAAATTCCTGCACAATGCAATTCATCACCGCAAGTAAAAAGCAAATAAATCGTTTCATATTGATCAAAAGCGTTTCACTGCGCAATGACCTTTCGCAAACCCCGTGTTTCGCAAAAAGTACCGGGTTTAAAAACAACCAAAAAAAGGCACCGAACGAGATGAAGCAACTGCCTCAAAGATGCGCCGCGAAATGATTTTCGCAAGCAGCGCAACGAACCACGGGGATAATCAATCTCTCCGAGAAAAAATAAGGAAACGTGACAAAACTGACGTTCTTCTTTCTCCACCCTCTCTCCTTCAAAACACGCCACAAAAACAAACAGCAACACGGAAAAAAATAACCAAATAACTTGACGAACCTGAGCCACCATATCCACACCAGCTGCCGTCAACCGCGCCTCTCCGTCATCCTTTTCCAATCCCAATAAGACACCAAACGCCGCCGTTCCGCCGCCACTCTTACCTACTTCAACTCGCTCAGGTACAATGGTCACCAGCTTCCCAGGGTCGGTCCTGGGATCATCCGTCCTGTTGACGCCGACGTTAGTTTTGGTGTGGCCCAGACCGGAAGCAAGGTGGGATTCCACAGCACTGAAAGTCCGCTCCCACACATGCCAGTCTTCAGAGGCCCGTTGAAGTCGCAGGAGCCAATTCATCGCGCTGTAATTAAAAGGGCATCGGGTTACGCGGAGGCTCCTGGTGTTTCTTATTTCGTTTCCTGGTCACAGGAATAAATACACGGAATCGGGTTTCGTTCCATCCCACGGGGGGGGGAAGAGGGGGAAATGTGAAGTTCTGTCAATTCGTAGCGTCTGATCATCAAGGAGGAAGAACTTGGGCTTTGGAAAATTTTGAAACATTTAAAATATTTCGTGGCGAGGTAGGATTTCCAGCTAAGATAAAATTCAAATAATTTTCAGATTGAATGAAAATTTTTCATCATAGAACCCACGACACACAAACACAATTTTTACTACATTTCTGCATACATGCAAAATTAGAAATTGCGGTTTGTTTCCACTTCAGCCCCAATTAACTTTGTACTGCACAATAATTACCGTACTTGTTACTCACAGCACAGGGTTCAGAAGTTAGAAAAATATTGCTGTCCCCAAAATCTCAAGAATACCTCCAGTCGCGTTAGTTAGAGGACATTGAGTTTCAAGGAATCAACAACGAAGAAGTCTTAGTATCTTTTATGCGTCAATAGTGCCAGAAATTTAAGTACTGCATCAGACCATCACATTCAAGAGAATTTACATCAGACCCTGAGGTTGAAGATTCAAAAATCAACCCATCATATTCGTTATGCAGGTGTCACTTCAAGCACATTAGTTAAACTTTTTTATTTTTATTTGGTTTTCCGTAACTATGCTGATTCGAATCACGTTAGTTTGAGTTGGATAATCCGTGTCTTCAACATGTACCCGAAACATTCAGACTGCAGTTTACAGGGGCTCCGCGGCTCACACAATGAAATGAAAAGAGGAAGGTATAGAATAGAATGAAAAAATCAGATGAAAAGGCACAATTCAACCAGTTGTCACTTGTGTTCATAAACAAATGCCAAAACAAAGGAAGGACAACCCCTCATCCCAAAATATAAATCTAAAAGATTATTCTGCTTATTTGTGGGGATTCGCCACAGAAACGTATAATAAACGGGCTTTTCTTCTTCAGTAAGCTGAAAAATTCTAGCTCAGTTCATTTTTTTCATATTAGTGATTCAGATGCCTGACAATAAAAAAAAGATCGGATAACGGAATACACAACGTTAGTACTGTACATTTTACTTTTACAACAACGAGAGACTCAAGGGAGTCAACGAAACACTGAAACAGAACAATTGATTCGAATCTGAAGAAGGAACCGGTAAGAAACTCACGCACACTGTGCTGCCCACACTCTATGCTGCCCACAGATCCAATCGCTGAGGGGCTCAGTTATTATATTTTTACCACAGTCTATAATCACCCCCGCGCAATCACTCACATCGTCAACTCAAATCTAATAAAAAATGTTTTTCACGGAAGCTGACGCTTAACGCCTCAAGCGATGCGAGTACTTGGGAAGAAAAGTACGGTAATAATCGGGGCATTTTAAAAATTTTCCCCGATTAGCCCATTAAATCACAGCAGTGAAATTTCAAACCCTTTTCTCACATTACTTGAGACTACATGAGTAAAAACAAAATTCAAAGGAAAAATATTTCTATTCAGTAAAATCATGGACAGTTATTGCATCAGTAGTAAAAGTGATCAACCTCCAAATCAAATAACTTTATTGAGAACCCCACGATAGCAAACAAAATTTATTCAGTTTTTCATCACCTCAAACAAAGCGCCCAGAGCCCGGAATTTTATTTGTTTTCCTTTTCAATTCACGCACAAGATAAAATTACCTTGAGATTATCCTACTCTTCCTCCCGATTTAATTCGCATTAGCGTTCGCATGTGGCAACCAACGGCACTCACCTTTGCTCCAGGTCATCCCATTGTTGATAGACGACATCAACGAGATTTTTCCATTGATTCTTCTTATCGTCACTCGCACATCCTTGTTCGGAAGCAGTGGTTACCACAGAATGAACAACGATGTTCACGTCGAGCAATCGGTGCTTTTGATTCCCCATCTCGCGTAGAAAAGCCTTCGAAATTAAGAATTATTTCTTTTGAACATACCGTATTTACTCGAGTTCATGAAGTTATCGATTATAAGACGAAACACTGCCTATCCATCGCTCACAAAAAAAATAACAGCATAAATAATTCGTGAATGGTGTGCAAGGTTTATTTTCATGACATCCATTTCATCAATGAAGTCTGTAATTACCGTACCTCAATTACCGCCTAAATCGCAAGGACTTCCAACAGAAATCATAATCCTAACGCGGTGTACCCTCGGACTAAAAATGGTGATGATAATTAATGATTTAATTCAAGACTACTAATATTTTGTTAAGCAAATAAAATATTGTGATTCCAAGAAGACCTCAACTACACACTGTACAGTAATTGTAATTGTGTGAACTGGGAAACTCCATCAATTGCTGCATCTTACAATGCGTAACCTGATGCTCGTAAGCCAAGTTCTTCAGGGGAAAAACTATGTCTTGCATAATGAAACGTAAACAGAAGTCATTCAACAATACCTGTAATAAAATGATGAGCTGTTTCAGATCACTCGGATTCTCGACGTCCTTGTCAAATAAAATACTCTTCAGTTGCAATTCAAACCCAATCATTTCATGTTTCAGACTGTCCATCTGTTGATCGATCTCGAGTTTTTCTTCACATTGGACCACCCCTGTCGAATTTTGTGTCGAGTCTAGTTTGTCAATCGCTTCAAAATTCAATGTTTCGTCTGCATCTTCGTTGTCCGCAGAAAGACTTGTTCCGCCATTTTCCGATGACTAAAAATCAGCAGCACAGAAAATAAAGTTTGAAACTTACATTCGAAAAAAAAAGGTACACAAAAGGGAAAAAAGATTTCGCTCTAGGATTCTAGAGATCGACATTTTTATGACGTCTTGCAGAGTTCTGGATCTCATGCGATAAATAACAAAAGTCCCCTCTTTTTCCTTTTTGAACAACATCAAGTTAAAATTTAATTCTACCTCGAAGCATTTTTTGTAAACCAGTACACAATTTTAAAATATTTTCTTACAAAAAATCAGCTTGATCCTTCATAAATTTTCGCTGGATTTCGAGACGAGTTCTTCAACAATACGCAGATGAAAATTGTTCTGATTTCTTCAGTTTGTATCAAAGGATTTGTTCAACTATTCATTCACATTTAAATCGAAAATTTCCTTTTTTCACATCAATGGAACATTTCCAACTAGAAATGCATAAAATTTTGGTAAAACGATCCGTTAACAGAGGAACTATGTTTCATGAAGTCGACATGTTCCACCATACACCAAAATTCTTACAGAATGAACGTGAAAACTTTAACATCCTGAACTCAGATTCTTCATCCCGATTTCAATACCATTAAGAAGACAGAAACCACTCTGAATATCCCGATAATAGAGGACGGTTACTTGAAAAAATCATCCAAAAATGAAAGAAATACGAGCTCGAAAAAATTGAAAAAATCCCGGTTGTAAAAAATTAAAATGAAAAAAAAATCTGACTTTAAAAACACAAGGTTTTTCCTTGCTTTATTTCAAGCTTCCCGGAAATTTGAGACATTATAAGGAGTATACCGTACCTGGAAAAATACTTCTTCGTTTCCTTCGATGATTTGGCAGTTGATTGAGGTAGTGGCACATGGGTCGACAGATGCTCGACTGTCTTGACTAGATGCTGCAGCCAGGAGCAAAGCCGACGCTTTGCGCACCAGCCGGTGGTCGTCCTCCGAATCCGACTCTTTCGAAGCTTCACTGCTTTGCGACGACCGTGATTTCTACAGAATTCATTCCCCAAAAGAGATCGAACAACATTCATCAAATGCAAAGAATTCAAGGCAGCGGAACTCTATTTTCGATATTTGACTACAATAACCACGCAAACCTCGATAAAATAATTTTTGTGCATGGTGGACATAATTTTTCGATTAATATCTGATAATTTCCTGGAAACGGTTATAATTCTGGCTCATTATGAAATGGAAGTTGAAATGCACTTCATCAACGTTAAAAAAAATGTTAACCTTCCCATCTTACATTTTTCGAACTCAAAAGGCAGATAACGCGTAACCCAATATCCTAAAATTCTTCTCGGTGACTGATAACTTTGTAAAGATGATATAGCAGATTTTAGAATGTTTTAGACAATTTCTGGGTTCGTAATGCATTGCATGAAGGTTGTGCAACATAAATTCGGCACTGTATCGTTAATTTGTGAGCAAGAAGTTCAAAATCCAGGCAACGATTGAAGAAAATCAGTAATCAAATGAACAGGAATTTGCTTCGGAACTTGTTGAAAATTAAATTTTTGTCTGTAGGATTTCGACTTATAATATTATCCCTGCTAATGATCGGCTGCGCTTGCCAGGATGATCAACAATCCAGGATAATTAAATGCTGTTTATTATAGATAATTCCGTCCACTAACAAATTCAGAAGCATCAACTCATCATTCCTAACCATCCCAAAAATATTTTTTTAAGTTCGTCAAGGCGAATCAAGCTGAGATTTCCCTTCGATGAATAAAAATATGAAAATTGATTCTCGACTATCCAGTTAATTGGAGTTATTTTTGCAAGCAAAAAAAAAGCGAAGATATCCCTCAGTGAGAAAAAGTCGATGTTCCCAAACTTACTTTCTTCTTTCTCGTTGAACGTGGCGGACACTTTTCGCCACTGCCGTTCCCACGTCGGCGACGAGGAGCAGCAGACGACGTGGCGTCCGACAAACTATCCAAGAAATTGCGGTAATCATCCCAGTCCAGCAGTTTCCTCACTGCTTCCGGATCCATCCCACTTTCGCTGTAATTCTCGTCAATGAACACGGGGACCTGAAACGCAGAAGACATTTTTCCATCATTCAAAGTTCAGAACAGGACTTGGCTTCGTGAAACCAACTTCAAGGTCGATTCATATCCCAACAGCCGGGAAACGTCCCGAACTGTGTGGCCTTCAAATAATCTTTCTTCGGTGATTCTATCATTTCTTCATCAACTTAATCCACGGGAAATGTCCAGTAAACTTAACAGAATACCCCCATAATTATACCAGTTTTTCAATGCATGCATTATGATGGTCATTTACAACACACGCAATACAGTATAATCTCGTTATAACGAATTCTTGCTTACAAAAAATTCTTTTTTCAGGTCCCTGTCCAATACCCAGAATGTTATTCAACGCGCTTCATAGCGAATTGTGTCATTACTGAATAACAATATTTTCCAGGGTCAAAAAGCTTCGTTGCAATGAGATTTTACTGCATCAGTAACAAACACAATTACTGTGCGGTTTCTCAAATTTCGTGAGAATAACATTTCCTCAACTTCCTTCGAATTTCGTTTTCGTTCCTTTCGAATCTTTTTCAAAGATGGGATTTTCTAAAATGGTCGTAGCAGCCATGAAATGTTTTTCGAAAAAGAGACAGCACTAAAAGACAATTGAATTTGAATTGAACTCATAATTAAGCTGTCATGGATCTTTTCAGCTTTTGTAATTTCTTAAATTTTGTTGATTGAAAATCTGACCAAAATTTTCTGGACGACCCGGAGAACATAATCAGATTATATCATATGAAAACTGCTCCATATACACTCTGAGAAACTTTTTTCCAGCAAAAATGTATCTTCCCAAATAACGTCTGCTTCTTGATCAAGAATGTGTTTCATGTCCACCATAACTCCGATTTATTTCTGAATTATTGAAAAATCAGCCTAAAAAAAAGAAACTGCCAGCTTCGATTTCGTTCCAGTCACAGGAAAAATAAGCGACTGTGAACATTCGTTCAACTGAAGCATTGTACAGTACGTGCCGTACAGAATTGCATAACTGAAGCATTACTACGTTTCCTTTTGTGTTCAATGTACCAGACAGACAGCAAAAAAAAAAACGCAAGGACCCAAAAAAAAAAAAAAGAAGAGGGCAGTGAGGCAAGAGACGTAAAAATGTATGGACAAAAAATAAATAATTACGGGACTGCATGCAACCGAAAGACACAAGTGAAAACGTTAACAAACCTGATAGGGATCCCAGGCCTGTTCCGACATTGAGCTCGTCTCTTCGACGTGTGACAACGCTGCTTCAATGCCAGCGTCGCGTTCCAACGTCAGCGCCGGCAAGATGTCAACAAGCTCCGGCGATGAACCGTGACCCGGCCACGTTTCAGCCGCTCCGTTCACGTCATCATCTTCACACATTCTCATCTTCTCACGTCCTAAGGCAAAACAATTAGTACATTGAAGTACTTTTGGCAGACATCTACAAGAAAAAACTGCTTAAACTGCATCAAAAAATGAATAAAATTGACGAAGCATCGAGGACAGTAAATTCCCATGAAGAAATTTCGCTGAAAATAAACGAGCTAAGATCGGACAGCGAATCCAGAAAATTCATCCTGTAACAACCTGATATTCTTATGAAACATCCGAGTTGCACAATGGTGCACTCATGATACTTTGAAAGTTTATCAAAATTTTTGCTAAAGGAGAACACTTTTCGTTGATTCACAACTACATTAGCTATTATCTAGTATGCCTTTGCTCGATGGAAAACTTCGTCAAATTCGCACAGTTACGCAGTATTTTGAGTTTCTATACAGGCAAAAATTATTTTGGAATCATCAATATCGAGACCGATGAAGAAATATGCTAAATTATTTTTCAACCTGCTGTCATGAAATCTTAAAACTTCAATTTTCGAGACAACACGGAAATCCAACTAACCAGAGAATGATTTTGACTTTTGCAGAGATCCTCGTTGACGCTTGCCCCTGGCTCGGCATTCGTCCTTGATTCTGCTGGGCGTCGCCAAAGTGATGAGGTCTCTCCTTGCGTGTCCCGGGCTTTTCAACACCTTCACGGCGATGATGAAAATTAGAAAAAAAAAGGAATTTCCTTTCAAAAATTGATTTTAATATTGATAAAGTAATAAAAACAAAGATGATAATACGGAAATAATTTAATGTAATAGGCATTTCAAGTGTTATTAGACCCACAAAAAAGTTTATGTCGTATTAAAACGGTTACAAGCCGCACATTGTACAAGTAGAATGTCATACAAAAATTCGGATGCGGCGAACTTTCGAAATACTGTCCAGTATTCCAGTTCATTACCCTTCCGCATTTCTCCTAATGCGGCAAAGACAGTACTAAAAATTAATACCGTAGTTTTCTTCCTCACAAAAAATAAAAACATAAAAATACACCTCACACAGCCTCAATTCATTCAACTTTGTTTCTGCCACATTTTCGTGGTCTTCACATAATTGGTGCGTGAGAATTAGTTCCCTCATCCATTTTTTTCGAAAATTCCACCATGAAATAATTGCAGGTTTTATTATTTCCCACAGAACTTCGAAAAACTTCATCATTTGGCGTCCTTGCAGAGTTCAAAGCCAGGAAAAATTTTCACATAAAAAATATATTTGAGTCTTACATTCCATTGGGGATTTACAATTAAAAATCGCTTAGATACGCGGGTACAGAGCAGGGTTGCTCCTGACCAACATGTGACCTTGAATGAAATCAGGTCTGAAATTCAATTGAAAAAATCCCTGAACTTTTTCAGTTCAAGGTCACAGTCGAAATGAAAGTGTTCAAGGAGATTCAGCTGATAACTATAGCAAGATTAAAAGGAAGAAATTTCTAATTCCCATGAGATTGAAAACACTGTCCTACAATCGTTTGCAAAATTACTTAAATTTCACTTTCAATAGACGTCGTCTTGCATTCGAGAAAAAAAGGTGAGAGTATTCTCTCACCTTATTTCTTCGAAGAAATTCGAAGAAATAATTATTTTCGTGGGTCTGGTAACACATGTATACCATCATTACGCTTCATAACAACCAGCTAATGGTCGAGATCATCAGGTATAATAGTTTCAGGTACATTAAAGTACTATCCCAGGAATGAAACATGTAAACGTGCCAGAGGTCACATCGACAACATTGAAGAAGAACAAACAAGACAATAACCAGAAAACTTGGGGTTCACAAAAAAACACTCACTCGGATCCGGTGACGAACACTCAATTCCGGAGTACTAATCGAACACGATCCATGTCGCAATCGCGACGAGGAAGACGAACTAAAACGATAAAAAAACACTCAGGCTACCGACCTTGTAACAATTTCGCTGAAATCGCGTGGGTAGAGGGATGTGGGGGGATACATGGAAAAAATGATTTGGAACACACCTGTACTTCCGTCTGGAATTGGACAAATCTTGTTTCTTCCGCCGCTTGACGAGCTTCACGTGCACGCCACGATTTTTGCATTTTTTGCAAACGTTCGCCGAATCCGGGTCAAGACAACCTTCAGACCTGGATTTCCACGATCTCTCAAGCGGCAGTTTGAGAGAGCTTTCTTTCGACGCCTTCTGAACACGCTTGTTGTCTGACGCTGGCGCGTCGACAAAAGCGGGTTTCTGAAAAAGCAAAGAAGGGAAAACAGACATACTCATACCATCTTTACAAGGAATGAACGAGCATCAGAAAATTCGGTTGTCCGTGAATTCATAACACAATTCCTGTAGATTAAAAGGCCCACATTCCGTTCAAGAATAAATAAAAGGACCTTTTTCAAATAAAAATGTATTAAAAGAAGCATGGAATAATATTTTGAAACGACATAATTGTGACAGTATATATTACACGGGTTCTTCTAATCAAAAAATGATCCCACATTTCGCTGTATTACGATTGACCATCGAACACTTCGCAGTAGCGCTCATGCTACGATTACAATACTGTACTGTATATTGTACTGTAATAACCATAGAAATACAGTATACAATACTGTATACTGTAAAACGATGATAGAAATCAAATGAAATACCAAGGAGCGATTTTCAGATGGTGACAAATTTGTTAATGGATTTCGAGGTTTAAAACGCCGAAACAAAAAATATGAGGTGGAGAGGATATTTTTCAGGGGCTTACTCCTTTCGTTGAGCTCGAATCAAATGGCGAGAGATTCGTAATTTTTTCTTATTTCTCCCAGAACTGATCTAGTTTCTGGACGATTCTGACTCAAAACCGAGGGGACCCTAAGAGTGGGAAATTCCAATCAAAATATTTTACAGATGTTTTTCTTAAAAACTTGCGATCACAGGTTTAAAAACACTTTCTACAGCTTACTCACTTCGTGGACGAAACACGGTATATTTTTCACGAATTATGTAAATAGACTGTCGTTCCCAAAAACGACACCGCAATAAGGAATCACTAAGAAAATGTTATTTTTAAAAACTCGGACATAGAAAAAATGATAAGGAGAACTAGGGTTTAAACATAAAAAGCTTTCAGTTCCTTCAGCGAATCATAAATCGACCAAAGCGTATTTCAGTTAGTCTCGAGACTCTCGACACAGGACATTAACCATCTTTATGACCTGGAGTCATTCCCAGTCCCCCAATGCCAAATTAACTGGTGTACCTTTTCTCTCGTCGGGGTCTTCAACGAGCTTTCTGCTCCGGAAAGCACGGAAAAACTGGGTAGCCATTCAACCACGGGCGTGTCGAGGTCTGAATCCCCAACCCTAACCAATACATTATGTTGCGCTTGGCAAGTGGCGACGCTGCTGTTCCGTCCTTCCGACTCGGAATCCGAATGTTCCGACGGTGAGTCGTCCGTTGTGTATTCGCCACTTGCGTCGCAGCTGTCGGTCACCTAATGTAACGCAAACAAGTCTATGACGCAGGAACTTCCTCGTAGTTTTACTCATTGCGCGGTATTTTCGAAAGAATAGGGAACTCATAACCGCTGTAGTCTGCTTACATAACATGCAAATTTCTTTAAAATTAGATTATCCTCATTTCAACGCATAAACTAGCTCTGCAGAAAGCAGGATAAGAGTCTCCTGAATCATTACCCTGAGCAGTTAAATCCATCTGAATCTGAATTACCGTATCCTAAATCAGGTGTAGTCGCTAAATTTAAAACTTGCCTTGATTGCTCAGTCCCTAAAATTGGTCGATATTTCGCGGCAAACTTAAATTTACTTACCCTTACATTAAATCATTTCGGAAACTTAATAGCACCATTTAAATTTGAAAAAATACTCATATTCTCAAAAGCGAATAATTGCAACGAACTCGGGCCAATTTAAATTCTCTTTCATTCGAGGTTCATCTCGCAAGAAAATTAAAGGCTATCGTGCCATAACTGTATTAGTTGATGAAAAAGATTGTCAGATGCTTTTTCACGTTGATTCATCATTTTTATAAATTCAGATAAAAGCACAAATCGAATGTAAAATGCATTTGTAAAAATTTTAAATGACTGCATATGAGTTAATGAGGCATAAACAATCAAGTTTAAACAAGCCCATATCACTTGCATAGAATTGTGCAAGCGTTTCGCATGCAAACCCAACATGTACCTACTTTTTTTAGCAAACATAATTTGGAAACAGTGCCACACGCGACTACACGAGCGTAAAAAATTGAACTTTCACTTGACTCATCTCGATTTAATCAAGTGTAATGAAAACTAATTTGCCATAACAGATAACCTTGACATAACTATAGAAAATCCGGAGGACACTTATACAGCATAATGATGACAATGAACTCGGTTGCTGCAAACGTCCAGCGTTCAACTGAAACTCTGAGATCTATACAAATTACATTTTAATAATTTTAAGCTTTTTTGTCCTTCGGACGTAACGAGAGGCTCGGAAATGTGTCCAAAGTTGAGCTATCTAAAGAATACCCACGACAAGAAATAGATTTTTAACAATTTTTTTAACATTCAAATCTCAAGATAACTAACCTGAGAGTCGTTCAAGGTGCCGGGTTTGACAATGATGTCCAGTGGGTGGTTCACACGGGCTTCTGCGGGTTGAGACGCCAGCCAAGCGGCGATGCGATCAGCCTTATTTCCTGCCGAATCCCGCCCGCTGGTGCCCATACGCAAAATGAGCCCTCTCGTCGGCCTAACCACGCTACTCGGAACCACCATAAAACTCGCCCCTTCTTGTCGCACCATTTCCTCGGCGGCGTTCACCAATCGATGGATGGAGTGCTTGCTGCACGCTCTACAGACAGCAGTTAGGATATAATTAAAACGATTGTTAGAAAGTGAACATAAAATGAAAGCATCGGCATAGCTTTCTTGGGCAAATTACACGACTCAAGCTTTGCGGGGCGACAAGAAGCAAATTTTAATTATTTTCCAACGAAGAGTCCTTGTTCAATGTTTATATCTATCAAATCACCTTATGATTTGAACTACAGTACTTTGCCGAAGTATTCAACAAATTTAATCAAGTTGATGCAGGAAGAAAAATAATGATATCATTCGGAAAACCGCAAGTATTCAGCGCCACGCAGAGGAAAAATAATTTTCGGCCTTGAACTAAAACTTGAGGTTGGCATTGGAGAAATAACAAGCAAAAAAGTAAAAACTATATTTTTAAAAATTCCCCAGATATTACGATGTTTGTGCCTCTATTAGCGTGTGAAGCGCCCTAAATTCAACATTGAACTGATGAGTCTAGAATCAAATCAACAATTTGAGAATTACATAAAATTTGGATTAGTTTTGACGGAGTTTGGAGTTTCATAAAAAATATTGTCACAATGAGATGGTAGCGAATTAGAAAAGCCGAATTCGATTTTGAAACCAATATTACCTGTGAGGACGCTTGCTTCCGTCGGGTTTTACCCTCGGGATCTTCGGCGGCTGTATGTCTTCATCTCCGGCATGTTTTACCGGTTCTTCACAACCCCAACCACTGCCATCACTGTCAGATAGTCCTTCGGTATTCAGCCAGTCGGAATCAGAACTCGAAGCGAGCCACCAATCCTTTTCCATCTTCCGGGCAGCAGCCTTCAAGTCTTCTTCATCAAAACTGACGTCAAGCTGAAAATTGTTTGAAAACGTGAACAATTATCAGAGAAAATATTAAACTTCAATCAACAGAAAGTTGTCCAGATTTACCGAAGAACCGGCAAAATAAACTATAACCCTAATCGGGAACCAAATACAGTAATGGGTATTTTCAGTTCTGGGAGCGATGATGAATGCACAGATATCAAATTCCAGTTCAGCTTCTCATTTTTGTTTCAAGATCTTCGGAAAATACTCGTTCTAGTTTTTTGTTCCATTTCCCGGGATTACCTCAGAACATTCGAAAATACTGTAGTAGTTACCTGAAGTCGTCGTTGTGGACTAACACGGGCAACAAGTTTTGGTCCAGGTGCATTCGTGAATCGATCGGAGCGTTGAGAAGGTAGAACAGGGCAAACCTTGGTGTTGTCATCTCCCTTTGCCTCCGGCACTTTGTAATGAAAAGATGCGCTATTCGGACCAGTCCATAAGGCTCCACACAATTCTCCTGGACTATTGTCAATCTGTACGCTGTCTTTTTGAATACCTGGAAAAAAGCGATATACAGGCAACAGGAAAAAGAAAATTTTATTTTCTGTCACATACATAACCTGTAAAAAGTCTGAATCATTTCAACAAAAGGCGCAAGATTTATGTTACCCTATGTTAGGTTTGCCTCACATTTTGATTATTTCAAAATTATTTCCAGTGCAATCCTTGCCTCTCGGAAATTCTGAAAATGGCGATAAAAAAAAGTAAATATCATTGTTTTGGTTGACTTACCGTCAGATAAAACGTCAACAGGGTGTTCTTCAACCGCGGGCTTTTCCGTCGAATACACTCCATTTCTTTGATTCTTGGCATCATTGTCCACCTGTTTCGTCACTTCAAAAACGTCCTCCATAAAGTCAACTTCCACGCTCACATCGTCGTCTTCATCCTTTAAAAAAATACTTGAATGAAGTCGCGGGAAAATGTAATTTCCGCGCAAAAATATTTACGTTCTCCGGTTGATCCGAACACTGAGAACCTTGATCTTCAACGAAAAGACGCGGATATTTCGTCACTGGCTCTTCGTCTCTATCACTGCCGCTCCAACGATGTGACGGTGGACCACCCTACAATAAATACATTTGAAAAATGCTAATATGCTTGATGCAGCTATTTTTGATGGAAATCCTTATCAAACAAGATAAGATAAAATCACGCTGAACTGCTTCTCTGGTGCTTTCTGGGACTAGTTTAGGTTTATCCATACCTTAAATTATACTTATTATAGGATTGACAATATTCGCAAAAGAAAATGGGACAAACTTCAGGATCATAGTAGATTGGATCACGTTCAAAAAATGTTGAAAACTTTTATTCTTTATTAAGGAATACAATTTTTTTATTCATTTTACATTCACGTCGTTCGAACTCGGTTTATTGTCTAAGGCCCCTTGTTATTAGTTAAATGTGCTTCAGCTCTAGTGAGTGGAAGATATTCAATTAGTTGAAAGATTAATCATGAGGTTCATTTCTTCTGGGATCAACCCATGCAGAATCGCCACGCAGGCAAATAAAAGACCTTGATGATTCTTCAACACGCCAATTTTGGGTAGACGGGATATAAAAAGAATTCATAGTTTCGTTTGAAAATTATTTTAAATATGGACCTCGTTCGAACAGGGGTTTGCAAGAACATTTGTGACAAATGCATTACATACTTTGTTCATCTTCATAATTCGTTCTTCCAAAACACACTGAAGCTCAAGTGATTCAAGCCATAAGCGATGCCAGCGGTGTTCCAACGTTGTAGCAGCTAAACGATAAGCAGAAATGTCCTTCGGCGACATGGGTCTTTGAAATAGTAGCATCTCTTCGCCATCCAAACTTTCTGTAATGGAGTCATCAGCATAATCCCGCGGGGGAGTTGATTTGATTTCCGGCGATGCTTCACACAGTTTCAGCAAAGCCGATATTGCTGTTCCTTGAGACTGGATGCTCGCTTGAATTACCTGCACACATCATTCATAGGTGAATTTGAAGAAATCAAATTTTGAATTACAGTATAAAGCTCATCTTCAACACGATCAAGTGAAAAAAAATCCAATGACAATTCACGAGACATTACGAACCGCATGATGCCGAAGCTTTTGTTCCAAAGCGTTCAGTGATTCCCCCATCAAACTTTTGCTCATGACTCGTAGCTTATCTTCCATGTTGATCAACCAATCTCGAAGATGTTTCACTTGCACTGAAGGATCTGTAAAATTGTAACAAATGAAAACCTTATACGTTGAAAATAACGAAAATTTACGATACCCTTTTCGAGTGGCAAATTCCGGGTAGGCAGCCGTTTTGATCCTGATGGAGGATTTAAAGTCTGGTCTAGCGTGTCCCACTTGCTTTGCAATTGGTCCAACCTAAGCTGAACTTCCTCGCGGTGCTTTGGATGTGTAACAAGAAGATTTTTTCCTTGAAGAACAAAGGTGTCTCTCCGCGAAGCCTGCTGGCTCAAGGCAACAGCTTCCGTCTACGATGGTAGATATAAATTAATTCAATGAGAAATATCGGCAGGCAACTTATGTCACGAGATTCAAATTAGCACTAGGCAGAACAAAGAAATTCACCAGTCGCACTGATTCCGGCGCAAGTTTGCATTCATTTCCAAAAATCGCTCCATAAATATCGGCCAACCATCGACTCAGATTATCGTACTCCGCCATGAACTCCGAAACCGTCCAGTCGGACGGAGACGGATAAACCCGCGGAGCTCCGTGATAAACTGACTGCGAGATAGAACACTTCATGAGTATAAAGCTTCGCTATTAAGATTTGCAACTTACCGCCATGGAAATCTACGACGTAGCAAAGGCTTGCTTCAAGACACACGTTGATACGGCGAAATTCTCGCCCATAGATACACGGGCGACGCCCGCGTACCTGAGTGAATTAATAAGTCATTTATCAAGCAGCGGTACATTTATTAAGCATCACACCGCCACAACAACAAAAAATCAGCGGCAATAAAAATTGCTGGCAATTTAATAGTCACTCTTGAAAGTTCCAACTAGGAATCAACATTCGAAGAAATTGCCTCCGTAATCATGAACCCTGAAACGCAAGTCCTTACTGCGACGCTCCTTTAGAGGAATTGACCATTCCTGAATACTCAGCCTCGTTAGGAACAAGCATTTTTCACCTTCAGAAACTTTACCGCACAACACTTCGGCCTGTTTACTCGACACATATGTTCGCTGGGATTCAGGATACAGGGCATGGGACTGTCAAGGGTATTTCCCGAAATAATCCAATTCTTTCAAGGCTCAACCCCCGCGCTCCCCTCCACCCATATAGTAATTTAGCATTTCATCCTTAGCTTTTTTGGGTACATGTTTAATAAATTTCTGGATAATTTTTGCTCAAAATTTATTTAAACATTTACAGGAACAAAGAAATTTTAATTTACCTAGCCAATAGACTAAAAATCAATCTTAATAACAAAAATTGATCAATCATAAAATAAGATAACCTAACCTATACATATAAACTACCTGCAAATAAAATAATCTAACACCATCAGAACTATCCAGCAGAGAAAAATGACCCAACATAAACTATATAACCAAACCAAAAATTAAATAACCAAATCGGAAGTAAATCTACCACCTTTGAGCAATCTTATCTTCAAAAAATAATGCATTAAACTCAGCAGTTTTCTCTTTATTGAAAGGCATAATAACAAACACAGGAGATATCATAGTGAGACCCCAGCACATGATGGAGACACATTATGCAGACAATGCAACATAGGGACATTTATTTTTCAATAAAATGGGCATGAAGAAGGCCCAATACATTCAGACACTGACTCAACATGCAGACATTGCATGATAAAACTGTCAAAAATTTTCAGGAAAATTTTATTTTATTAGGCTTTATTGCACAGAAACATATTTTCCAACCCTAAGATCTATATATGCAACAAAAATTCCATGGTATTTCTCCCATCATTTTCCTATCTATTCAGCTAATTTAAAAAGTACCTAAGAAATTCACGTGGAAAATAAAATTGTTCATGGAATCCTGAAGAATATCAAGACTTGACTTAGCAGGATTGACTTGAGGAAACTCTTGATGCACCAATTAGCTCTGCTGTTTCCAACTGATTTGAATCAATTAAAACCAAAATCACCCTTCTTGCGTGTATATATATATTAATCAAGTGTGAATTGATTCTAATATGCCAAAGAAAAACCTTCAATATTGAAATTTTTAAAATCTCAACATCCAAGCCATTTCAATTATTTAAATAACGTTAGTCTATTGTCTTGTTGCTGCTTGGAGGATTATGCGTAAGGGCCATCACAATGCTGCAGCAATTTCAGATTGCTATATGTTCAGCTATCTACAGAAATAGCAAAATTGATTGAAAGTTCACTCAAATAGAGCAGGATCATACAAATTTCTTTTAAATCAATTAGCAGGAAACAGAATAACGCCCATCGTCAGCTTTGGTTGCGGAAAAAGACGTGCGAAATGAGTGAGTGCACGAAGCAACTGCACTACGTTATATACGTAGCCGTAATCGGACATTATTGTTTTCCGTGAAACCGTTACCAGTGGTCGCTTCGCATAGACAGTGGCTCTGTGATACGAACATAGATTTGAATACTGTTTAGTAACATGTCGACGCGTTCGTTTCTTATAATATCTGAAGAGATGGCGGTTGGCGCGGAGTTTCGATCGCGGTCAAATCAGGTGTGTTGACCCTGGCGCTCGGTACGTGAATACCGTTGTGGCCTTTGCGAAAAAGATACGCTCGAGTTCGGTTAGGTATTTTGTGCTTTGAGAATTGATTGCCGTCTTGTGAAACCGGTTCTTGTCAAAGCGAGTTTATAAGCCTGACAACCCGATTGCCCGAACGTGTTCCGTATTCAATATCAACGGGTTTTTGAGATAACTTGGAATTTTTTTTAGAAATTGTCTGCTTCCTCCTTTTTTTTTTTTACGCCGGCCTGTCAGCGCGATTTAGATCTTCGGTGATAGCCTCGGTGTTCGTCGATTCGATTATCATTTCAAGGTGTGAGCTGCCGTCTGTGGTTTGGTGTTGAACGAATGCTCGATTCATTGTTCGATTTCAGTAATGGTCGTTTCCATTGGTTGAACACGAATTATTTTCCAATTTAGATCAATTTTGACCCTTTTTCCAACGAAGACGATGGGACCCATTCGCGCCACCCGTGCCATCGTCCAAAGACCTGTCGTGAAGTCTGAAAATGAGAATTACGCCGTGGACAAGAAACAAGTTGTACCGAGAGGAGCCGTGAGCAAATTACCTCTCAGCAATCGCGTTCTCGGGGAAGTGACTAACAATGTAAGTTCAGGAAAATTCGTGAAGAGTTTTCACTAAATGTTGTTTCACTTTTCAGGGACGAAAAGCAGCGAATTTGATGAGCAAACCTCCAGTCAAGGGTGTTTCAACTCGCAGAGCAGCAAAAGAAGCAGCTCCCGTTTCTCCTCTGGTGGTGAACCCTGAAATTAAGACTCCTTCAGATGATCAAGAATCCACCTCAGAGTATATCACACCTGGCGAAACCTTCTCTGAAACGAAGTACAGTATTTTGATCTTCTGAAGTTTCTTTACGTTGTGTGAAACATTTTTATTTGAAAATTAAGTTACGATGGAATGTGTTCGCTGAAATTAAAAAAAATCTTTCGACTAACTCTAGGTATGACGATGTGGAGGAAATGGAAGTTGATACCTCTACCTCATGCTTCGTTGGTTCGAGGGGGCGGACCATCGATCTGAGCACAGGCAAAGAACTTCAGTATGATCTCTCCAAAGTGATCGATTATGATTCCCAAAATGTGGGGAAGATTGAGGAGTATTCCTGCTACGTAGAAGATGTGTTCAGATACTACCGTCAGCGGGAGGTATAATCCGCTGTCAGCCTTCAGCATTTCAGAATCCCTACAATTCGTCCTTTATGTTACAGATTGATCCGCAGTTCGCCGTCGATCCGCAGTACATCATTCACCAGAAGAACATAAACTGGGCAATGCGGTCTATTTTGGTCGACTGGATCGTAGATTTGCAAGAGTCTTTCGCCTTGTGCCACGAAACATTGTACCTCGCCGTAAAAATTGTGGACCTCTACTTGACTAAGTCACAAAAGGTGTTGCCAATGGATAAGCTGCAGTTGTTGGGCATTACATCCGTGTTCATCTCTTCAAAGTTCGAGGTGAAGTATCATTCGTGGTGATCCAGTTTATCCCTTCTATTCAATTCCTGGACGCTGTTTAGGAGACGCTTCAAGGTGGCAATAAAAGGTTTATTACGATTTATGCGTGGCCTATCGAAATGTTGATACCCATGTAGTATGAAGTTGGGCTTCTGAACTTGTGCGATTTAACCAGAAAGAATCTACAGGTTTCCGATTGTATTCTAAACCCACTGTTATCCAATTTAAGAAATGAGTTACCTGGCGTGTACGATTCTTCTGTTTCTGAAAACACAACACAATAATCAAAAAATTAGACACTTGAACGAATGGAGTGCAGAAAACGGGAGCATGTTGTACACATGAAAAAAAATTCAATTTCCCTAACCAGTTTAAAAATTTTTCTTTATAAATTTTTCTTTTTTTTCGCAGGAGAGAACCTACACTCGTGTGGATGATTTGGTATACATGACGGAAGATTCCTACACTGCGAGTGAGGTGTTCACCATGGAAGTCGAAGTTATGCAGACTATAGGCTTCCAACTGGGATTCCCGATGTCGTACAGGTTTCTACGAAGATTCGCGAAGACGAAGCAATTAACCATGCAAGTCCTCACGTTGGCGAGATACATTCTGGAGTCAAGTTTGCTCGACAACGCTTTCTTGGGCGATCGAGAGTCTTTGCAGGCTTCTGGAGCTTTGTATCTTGCCATGAAAATGACAAATCCGACCGCAGATCCGTGGGACGATACAGCTATACACTATTCTGGAGTAGACAAGGAGTCCGCCAAGAAGCAGGCGATCAAGTTGAATGGGATGCTGAGAAGACCGAAGAAAAATTGTAAAACTGTTCAAACGAAATATGAGCATGAGTAAGTGTTGAATGAGGCATTTCTGATAACGAAATGGGTTGATCATCTTGGTTTCTACTGGATGGAATTTTTAATGTTCTGGCACGGTCTAGACCTGTTCCTAAATAATTTATTCGGAAAAATTTATGCAGGAAGCGTCAAACTTGTGGACGGCACTTACAGCATTGACTTGGTTTTAAAATATGTGCAATGCTCCAACTTCCGGATTGTTCCATGAAAACTTCGGGCGTCATGATTGCTTATTTTCTCTCCAGTTTAACTAACTATAAATTTACCATTCTTTAGTCGAGTTCTTTAGTTGAGTTTTGGTTCTTCTTTTTAGTTACTGCGGTGCGTGCTTGTACACATAGGTCGCACGAGTTTTTGGGGCTAGCTGTTTTCAATTGCGCTAAAGCGGTAGAATTGTTTGCACTGATTTATTTATTTCTCAACAGGGTATTCATGAAGGTGGCGCTTATCACGAAGATCTCCGACGATGTCTTGTGAGAAACTGACTGCTTTACGTCCCGAATTCCATCAGGGAGAATTCACAAACCCAGCAAGGATTATGTTATATAAGCCTATTTGTTGCCAATTCTATCCGTTTTTCTGACGGGATGAGGCCTCACGCGATAAGATATATTCGGTGAGGCTGTGACTCGGTTTTTTTTTTAAATCTGTGAAAACATCTGATTGTGAAAAGACATTAAATTATGTATGTTTTTTGAAGCTGATTAAAACGTTTGACTCTTTATGATTCTTGTCTTTCTGGAAATGACTCGATTTTGGTCACGTGGGCAAATGGCGTGTTTCTCGTTTCGATCTTTGGGAAAAGCGTAGTGTGTGATGCCTCGATAAGATTCATACCGCGGATTCCTTGATGTGTGGTTCCATTTTAAATGTATGAGAATATACAAGTCGGCATTGTATCATGATGGTGAATAAATATTTTGACCTCATGCGTGTGTCCTTTTCTTGGCTGTGTAAATGTGCGACATTCAGCACAAAGCTGTATTTTCGCCCATGCATTTGATTCGAACAGAAGTTTTTAATACACTGTACAGTACCGTACATGTTCGCTGAGGCTGTTCTGTGGAAAGTCCCGGTGCCAATTTCGAAAACGATTTAAGGACTAAGCGATCCTACATTTTTATTTCATTATTTAGGTGAAGAATACAGTAGATTTGTAGAATCTCATGACAGTGACGAAGCATTTGGGGCTGTTTAAAAGAAACTGCGGCATCATGAAAAAATCGAATTGATGTAACATTCTGGCTGTTATTTGTCTGGGACTGAAATAACTGACATGTTCTTAGCTTCAATTCGTTAACTGAAAGATTTTACTTTATATAGTGTGTACTAATTGATTTTCCTTCAACAAGAAAAATAAACTAATTTTACTGTTGTTGCTGGAATTTTGTAGGCGTTTGACTATTATTTTTGTATTTGGTGTCCCATTTTCTGAATTTCGAAATGATCTGAATGAATTGAAGGCAGAATGTGCATACTGGCTGACATCACTCTTTATTTCGGCTCGGCGTTAAATTGGATTTCTCTTATCCCACGCGAGATTTAGTAGGCTTCCACTCTCCTTTCCACTTCCCTCCCCCCCTCCCGGCACCCTGATGAGTAGTAAGGTGTTACATACGACATCTAGCGCCGATCAAAGAAACTCAGCAAGCATGTCCACCGCAACTACCCAGAAACCATAAGTGGAAGCTGGAGGGAGTGATCGGAAACGGAGAGCGGACGAGGTGGCGTGGTAGAGATAGCGGCTTTCTGATCTTGATTACTGAAGTAATGACTACCGAACATCTCAATGTTGTGACGCAAGTTTATATGTGTTGTCAGTGAAAATAGTTGTTGGTGATCGTGAAGTAAACGCACACGTAGTGATTGAGGAGACAAGAACAGCGGAAAACTTTATTGCGTGAGACCTCGTGGCACAGATGCAAAATTCGTAATGTTCTTTAGTTTTAGAGTGGAAGAATCGTATATATTGCGATGTTGAATCAATCACACTAACACTGAACTACAGTTGGAAACGAGTTTCGCAATCCGGGGAGATGTGCTTAGAATTTTTATCAACAATGCGGGGAACAAAAATTCCTCTGAGGTTAATATTCAAGTTCTCCGGAATGGGAATTTACGTAATCATCCATTCATAACCGCATTATATGAAAGGAAAAGTGGTCTTTTATAAACATGCAATGTCCTCTTCTTATTGCAGAGATCGCTGTGCTAAATTTTTTGACAGCCATCAACAATGAGTTCGATTGGAACTGGGGTGAGTCGTCCATTGATCGATTATTTTGTGAAGAAGGTTAATTTCATTACATCGTTGAATGCCCTTTCAGTACGATTTGTCAGCATCTCAGTTTTCTCCTGATGGCAGAGTATTCCAAGTTGAGTATGCCCAAAAAGCAGTGGAGAACAGTGGGTGAGTTTCGGATAACGCGAGAAAAAAAAAGCGTCCGCTATGATTATCTTGTTTTGCATATGCTTTAGAACTGCAATTGCTATGTGCGGCAAAGATGGTGTTGTATTTGCGGTTGAGAAACTTGTGACCTCTAAGCTTTATGAAGCCGGTGCGAACCGAAGAATTTTCCACGTTGGCGAGCACGTTGGAATCGCCATTGCCGGTTTGTTGGCGGATGCTCGTCAGCTTGTTGAAACAGCTCGAAAGGAAACCGCCGATTTCAAGTCCAATTATGGAACCGTCATTCCACTTCGATACCTTACTGATCGCGTGGCTATGTATATGCATGCCTACACGCTTTACTCAGCCGTTCGGCCGTACGGTGCCGGTCTAATGCTGGGATCTGTGGAACCTGATGGGCCGAAGCTGTATGTTGTCGATCCATCTGGTGTCTATCATGTAAGTAAGAATAATTCTTATCTCCGTTGGATTAACGTCTGGTTTTAGTCTCATGAGTTGTTATCCAAACTGTAATATGTCGTCTCTATCAAAACTCGCATCTGAAAACCGTACAATCTTCTTCCGGCGAAATGCTAAATCCCGTGGGAGAAAAAGATCTCGCGGCTCGAAAATCCCGTGCGGCCGATAATCCCATAGACTTGAAAATCTCGCAGATTACGAAAATCCCGCAGCGATGAAAATCACGAAACTTGTATGTATGCATCAGAAATCCCTTTGGATATCTTCAGTAGGTAATGGTATATGTACAATTTTCGAATTTTTTGATTAAGTTTAAATGCAGCTTAATTTAAAGATTTCACTCCATCAAATTTAAGAATGTACAATGTAAATTTCTGAAGTTTTCCACTTCAGAGGCAAAGTTTAACTGTGAAAATCGTTAGAAAAGTACCCATTTATACTCAAAGCAGATGCAAGGATGAAGTAGTGAAGGTTGCATATCTCTCAGGCTTCCTTCCCCTTCCTCAGAAACACATAATCCTGAACCTTTCCAAACCGTTGGAAGAAAACCCCACACGCTTCTACAATATCACACTCCACCGGATTTTCACTCCTTTCAAAACATTTTGGTGGAAAAGCCAGACACAACTTTACAATTTCGTAGTACACGGGATTTTCGTTTCTGTGGGGTTTTCGTACCCCGCATGCTGCATGGATTTTCTGCTGCACCCTTTCTTGAAGTTCTTTCAGCTTAGGAACTTCTTAGGGTGAGTGAGGAATAGCTTCCTCATCCTGAACATCTGAACACCTTCCTATTTTGATTTTCTCCATAAAAGAAACTTTGAAATACATGTACGTGAGTGTATGACTTGGGTAATATCTTAGATCGGGTGTGATTTCAAGAATTTTCAAAATTACCGATGTGAATTCAAAAGATTTGAAGCTTTTGTAGGATTTATTCTTATTTTCCTTCTATTCGTGAACTATGAAGGAATTGTAAGACCAACTGTCTGATTTAAGGGTTATACTGGATGCGCAATGGGAAAAGCTAAACAGTCTGCAAAAACTGAGCTCGAGAAGCTCAAAATAGGAGACATGTTCTGCAAGGAACTCGTGAAAGAAGCTGCAAAAATGTGAGTCGAAAAAAGGGTTTGATGATTAGTCTATTGTTCCTAGATGATTATGTATTTCGTCCTTTCCAGTATTTATGTTGTCCACGACGAAGTGAAGGACAAGGCCTTCGAACTCGAACTCAGCTGGGTCACTGAAGGTATTATGTGAAGCTATGATCAAGGTGTGAATTTGAACTCTACCCTGGTATTTTTTTTAAATTCCTAGGTACGGGAGGAAAGCATGAACTAGTCCCCCCAGAAGTTTACAAATCCGCCGAACATTACGCGAAGAGTTCGTTGGAAGAATCAGATTCCGATGAGGAAATGTGAACATAATAGCGGATTGCCTTTTCTTCATGAATGTTTTGCTTCTTCTCGCGGCTCGTTTTTGGTGAATCAAACTGATTTTCTCCAGCCAATTCGTTTTTTCTTATCCATTGGCAATGTTGGCATGTTTTTCATCTGCCGATCGGCGGAAACCTTATCTGTACCCAGGAGGTCCTCAACCTGTGCTTCGCCACATGAAAGAGAAAGTAACACTCGCCTCAATACTTGATAAAGGTTGGTGTATGATTAATTGAAAAAAGTAAGCATCGCGATTGGAAAAATACTGACAAATTTCGCATAGATACTGTAATTTATTGTTCCACGTGAAGCTGTAAGGGCATAGTGATTTTAATTTCCATCTCTTAATTTTAAGGTAGCATTTCGCATTTGCGGTTGCATCGGTGGTGGTGTTCATCAAAGCCACTGATGCTGACATTTCCAGCTTATTAAATAGGTATTCTGAGCCTCCTAAGAAACACGTTCCCAGGTTATACCGTATACGCTCAAAGAAACGACTTAGCATTTATTCATAATTTTGCCCCTGGCCTTTAGTAAGAGCCTAGCAGCAATTAGATACCAGCGATTATGTCTATGAAATCTTTTCATTTTGTGATGCAGACCAGCAGAAGCACTCTTGAACGAAGGTATACTGGTAACCAAAATAGAAAAAGAAACTCCTGCAAAAATTTCGGAATGAAAATAAATTACGCAACAGTTTAGCTCTCAAACAAGAATCAACAAAATTTTTTATTCCAGTCCCATACGAAACGTAGAAAATTTTCTTTCCAAAATGAACGAAGGGAATTTTCATTAAAAAAACCTTTTAATGAGCCGATATCTTTCCATTCACTCAGTCATGGAAATTAAACTCGGAACAGTATCATGCGTCAACAAAAGAGCGTTAGAAAATTTTCGTCAAGTAACATACTGACAAATTTCATCGTACGAAAGCTTCGCTATTGAACCATGCTCAATTTGAACAAAAGCTATCAAACTCTCACGATCGAGCTCAACTATGCTACCAAGACGACCCCGATGTTTTCCGGTCACCACCATCACGCGATCTCCACTATGTCGTGGAACGACGGTCTCCAAATACTTCGGCTTCACATCGTCTAAAATTTTTCGGTCTTCGGTCCGACATACGCAGTAATCCGGACTGGGTACGTCCTCAATCAGTAGCTGAAACGAAGAGTGTAAAAAAAAAATAATTGATCAACTACGATATAGTAATTTAGAGAAAAGCCCGATAAAGTTTACAAGAGTATGACCTATCTACAGAAAAAAAAGCGCTAGACGATGTTTTTCTGACTTCTTGATATGAGCCATCGTCTGCCATTCTTGATATGAGCCATCGTCTGCCAGAAGATCGAACGTATAGCGGTGAAAATTCTGGGAAAACTCCATTTGACACGTCCACAAAATCGTGACATGGAGAGAAAATCAGGCAAATACAAAATTTTCAACTTCAGCCGCTTACCCTCCGATTGACTGGAATGGAAACGTTTAAAATTTTGCAGTGAAGCTTCGTATCACATCAAATGAATTACATTCAAGAGGTAATTTTTATTCTGAAAAGAGAGTTGGTTGGATTCAATCACCCAGTTTTCAAATCGAAAAGCGATCGAACATATCGCGTACCCATTAAAAAAATATAAAGTATTAAATTCAAGTGGACAGTGAGAGACGTCATTTTCTTCTGGATAGAGGAATGCAAGAATCCACTCACTTTCTCTTTATAGTATTTGCCATCTCTGTAGGATCGGCTGATCATGCGAACACGAAGTTGCGGATGAACCCACGTCCTAACTTTATCATCCCGTCGTGGTTCACTTTGTTCTGCTCTTCGTGAAGATGAAAGAATAGTGTCGTCATCTTTAGAGCTTCTGTGCCTCGCCTCTCGACCTGGAAATAAAAACCATTTATGATCATGGAAACGAACCTGGCTTGGGAAACCCCGAAGGTCACTTACTCGGATCACGTGTGTCTTTCGCCAGCTCTCGTTTATCCCTTTGCTTGAAATTTTCGCTACCTGGAGAAAATCAATAAACAAACATGAATTACTGTAGTATGAAAAGTGACTGGATCAACTCACTCCCATTCCGTTTTTCTTCTTTTATCTTCAATGAGATTTTCGAATGCTCTTCTTCCTTGTACTTTGAATAGGTTTCCTTGTCTGTAATAAAAGCTCAGTAATACAATATAAGAAGTGACTGGAAAATTAATGAACAGGTAACTCACTTATAACTCTTGAATCTTTGTTGTACACATCTTCACTGACGACGGAAACACAACCTTCGGATTTGGTGATGATTTCTCCATCAATGGCAAGTTTGATTATCACTTTTCCCCCATCTGCATCCAATCCCTCAATCTATTTGATGAAAAGGGTCGGAAAGATGTGGACATGGATGCATTACTTTCAAATCCTTCCACAAATAAAAACAGCTTTTATTAACTTATTTTTAAGTCGGTAACTTTCCAATTAAAAACGTGATTCATTTGAAGTGAATATCAGCCATTGGTTGTCCATTATCAGATTTATCTTCATGATGTTATCACGCTATATTACATTATTCTTAATTCTCTCAGCCTTGTAGATATTTCAAGTATGAGCAAAAATATAAAATCTGTGTTTCCTAAGTGGCTACACATTTATGAACATCGAGATTTTTTCTGACATACAATTCAGCGAACAAGCCTACCTTTCCATATCGGCCCTTCCGTGATCCAGAATCGATGACTACGAATTTCCCGGGTTTCAAAATGAGACCTTCTTCGAAAGCGAGACGATTTTTGCGCGAAAATTTGCTAGATGCGCCCAAACCGACCCCAACTGGCCAAGGTCGAACTTCAGACGGTACCCTGAATAGCACGATTAATCAAATTTCCACGGAACGCGCACTGAAGTCGAACAGACGCATAAGATTTACTTTAAAGTTTAAATCAATGACTTATTTTTCGTAATAAGTTTTAGCGCATTTTTCCGATAATATGATCCGGGAATGAGAAATAGCTTATGAAAAAAATTAAGACACGAATTTCAATACAGTATTATAGATACCTTACACCCTACCGTAGTATCGTTTCAAAAATGAAACTACAGCACTATATTCTGATTAAAACGTCATGATACAGCAGCAAATTTACTGAATTACATATCAGTTCGCGTCCACCCTGTTTTCCCATGGTCGAACATAATGGGATAATCTGACAGTACACCGCACGGGTTTTGTTTTACAAAATTCGTGAAGCACAAGGTAAACCTGATTTTACTTTCATAGTATAAAAAAAAAATTCCTGAACTCACTTGTTCCTGATCTCCTCGTATTCCTGTTCTGACATTCCCATCCCTCGTAACATCGCCACGCCAAATTCCTCTATAGGCACGCTGTCATAATCATCCATCGAAGGCTAGAAGGTAATAATGTATAATTAAGAATAAAATGTTCGTTGATGCATTTTTAAGCCGCTTACCTCAACACCCAGGTCACTAACTTCTTTGAGATTCAGCGGAATAGCACCGGTTAAAGTCTTTGGTTGATTTTCCATAAGTTCCAGTTCTTCACGAGACTCTGAAGAAGTTATACAATTTTTCTTCAAAAAGCATAATTAAACAGAAGATATTTCTCACCAGCTATTAATTCTTTCATGGCGAGTTCGTCATCTTTGCTGAGACCCTCAGGAACGACGACAGTAGCATGTTCAGCTTCCATCTTTTTGATCATCCTACCCCAGTTCCCATCTTCGGGCACAGGAATCACCAGCTTTTTGACAGGCGGAGCTTCACTGGAAGATGAATTACTTTCAACACGTGATCAAAGGCGCAGGCACAGTATACCAAAAATCCTTACACTTCTCCTGCTTCATCTTCATGTTTTTCATCGTTCTTGTCGAACCTCTCATGACCCGTTTCGCTGAGATCTCTTTTTTCGATTTTCCTCGCGAAGGAGAAAGACGTCTTCGCGGTGGATTCCATAATCATAGGAATCAATGATAATGACGTTCAACTTCGTGCAGCGGCACTTGCCAATTTGGCATAAATTCTGTAGTGCAGTATCTCAAAACTCACTCAGCTATCCCGTGGATAAATCTACCCCTGCGAAAGACGGCAACTGAATCAAAGGGGGAAAGAAAAATATTCGGCACGAGGAAGCCGGGATCGGTTCATTGAGTTCTACAACAGAATGTCACGAGATCAACCAATATTAAAACTTTCAAAACAGAACGCACAGAAACTTACAACCTGTAGCCACTTTTTTTTCAAACGTTAACATTATGTTTCGATTTAAGTTGCAAAACATAACCACTCTCGTCCCGAAGGACTGAAGTTTTCGCCCTTTATCCCGACAATTAATGAACATCATACATTTATCGACCTCACACAGAGCGTCCTTCGATGCCTGTTAAAAACGTCACGGTCTGCGCCAGTAAACATTACAATGCCGGAGATTTAATCGAACTACAGCACAGTCCAGCGGAAATTTATAAATCCGCTTCATGGCAAACCAACTTCATGAAAAATTTACTTCCATGTTCTAATCAGAAATTGCATCGTAACGTTTTTCGTTGAATTCCTCTTACCGAGTTCACACAGAATCAAAATCGAGGGATTTTAAGCCAGGGATTCCTCACGTTAATTCGGCTTCGCGGAGTCCGACGTTCACCCCGCGCACTCCAAGTGACACAGGAAGACGCTGTAGACAAATGAGCACAGGTGAGTTAGGGACTTTTGGTGGACCCCTTTCTCCCCATAGCAGAACTCTTCGCCGGCGAAACTCTATGCCACTAAGTGTAGAGCTACATAGAACTATCACTGAGCTTGGTTGATTATTCTTTAGTCGGCTGAAGATAATTGTTTTCACAGCATTAAAATGATTTAATGGGTTCATCCAATTAGGTTTTTGAAATTTCAGGATCCACTGAATTATTTAGTTTGACAAGTTCCGTAATGTCTGCATGTTCGGTCCTCTTGACTACAAGTCTGAGGCATAAGCTCTTTGATACAACTTTTACTGTATAGCAGGAACTCGCTAGTATTGTTCTTGTGATTTTGTCCGACGCTGCCCCGCATCCAGTGGGGGCTGAAACCAATTCAGATGAACTTCATCAAGATGTATGGAAGTTTATGAGGGATTACTGCAATTAGGAGCCATCGACGAATGGGTGCTGCTATACCAGTTTCAGTGTTAAATTATTGCGCCATGTATATTTTCGTGCACGCGTGTTGTTTTTCAAATTGTATGTCTTCTGCAGTTGAACGCTGAAAGTATCAGTTCAGTGTCGATCGAGTTCGACGGTGAATTTTGCTCATGCAATTTTTTTTAAATTTAAAGGTCTATAAATGTCTCAAGAACCTCAGAAACGTCGTGGCCATCCGACTGCGGCGCAAGTCGAATTGGATAATTTCTGGCCAAAGGTGTTGGAAGATATCAAGAAGTTGACTCCGGTGAGTTTACCGAAGTAGTTCGCCTTTTTAAGTTCAGCAATTCACGGCTCCTTTTTCCACAACTCAGAATGACTATCGAGCGCAAGCTGATCTTCCCCTCGCGAGGATTAAGAAAATCATGAAATTAGACGAGGATGTAAAGATGATAAGTGCTGAAGCACCCGTTGTTTTTGCCAAAGCAGCGGAAATTTTCATTCACGAACTTACCCTGCGCGCATGGATTCAGGCGGAGGAAGGGAAACGGAGAACTCTTCAAAGATCAGATATTGCACAGGCTATAGCTAAATGTGATCAGTTCGATTTTCTTATTGATATCGTACCCCGCGAAGAACCGAAGCCACCGAAGACTGAAACAAAATCAAGCGCTGGACAAGAACAAGTAAGATTATTTGAGTCCTCACAGGTTTACGTGATCTTCTCCATTGATGAATTCTCACAGATACTGTACAACCTCCCTGTTACCGACGGCGCAGTATTGACGCAGCAAGCGATGCAAGGAGCACAACTGCAGCTAGTTCAAATTCCTGGAACATCAGGGCTGACTGCTGCTTCCATGAATCAGCAGCAGCAAATGCAAACTATTCAAATACTTGGTGCGAATGGGCAAATTCAAACCGTCGCTCTTCTTGGAGGAGGAGCCATGGGAATTCCAGGTCCTGAGCAGGTACGAAAGTTGCTCGATTTTCCTTTCTCTGTAGGATTAATTTTTCATTGTTGCGGTTATTTACGAAAATGTAATCCCTTGTTTGTAAACCCATCCCTCGTTTATAATCCCTTGAATTGTTTAGAACGGCGAACAACCAAGGACGGTGCAAATTCCTGCGGGATTTTCCGTGCTGAACCAAGGTTCCGCGCCTCAAATACAGTTCCAGCTACAACAACCGACTGCTCAAAGACCTTCCGAGAGTACTTCACCGCAACCATCTGGCCAGCAGGTGCAACAAAATATTCAATTTCTACAACAAATTGTTGGTCCTAATGGAGAAATTCAGACCATACCGGTAAGTCTTACTCTCTTTCTAAAATAGTGTTCACCGTTTTCACCCCTGTGAAATGGTTAATTACGTTAGATGCCACACTTAGAATTGAAGACATGGATGCTCCATATCTGATGTGTCATTTCTTAAGTTCACAGCCTGAGCTGTTCGGAAATGTGGCTACTGCCTCCATGAGTTCATTCTGCTTTACTTATTTACAACATTTTAGGTTTCAAAAATTAGGTCTCTTTTCAAGGAGTCTAATTGTGTGAAATATATTTACCTGATGATTGAATGCTTTGTTGTTTTCCAGATAAGCTTGAATGCTTCCCAGCTTTCTGGTTTGCGAACCCAGTTGTCGAATCAGCCTTCTGCAGTTGTCACTCCCGCATCAGCACTTATGGCGCAAGGACATCAAGTAATTCACCTGCAGTCTGGTAGCAATCAAGCAGCATCTGTTTTTGTCACACAAGCGCAGAATGGAGACGCCTGATGAAAATGTTCTTCTTTTTTACTTTTTTATTTTGTTCGGAGGTGGACCCCTGTTTCACCGGAACGATACTAGCGAAGCAATTTGTGTTATTTAATAGTGTGAAACTGTGTTGAAAAGCGTTCCTGGGCTTCTTGAATGAGGGAATCCTGTGTTGATTGGAAAAAGGTTTCTTCTATAATGGCAGAAACGGGGAATTGCGTGGTTGACTTATGAAAGAATTAGATGCATAAATCCGCTTTCCTTTGCAGGCGATGCATCCGTGTTTGTGGAATTGAATTTTTGTGCACCCGTCGTCGCAAACGCTAGTATGGACAAAGGAATTCTGTTTCGTTTCGCGAAAAACCTGGCGGTGTTCGTGAATCCATCGTCCAATTTTCACCGAACAGCAACTGTTGCCTTTGGAGGGCATTGGAGACGTGCTCGCGGTCAATGCCAGACGAGGAACCGATACGGTCCTTTGGCAGACCTGCCGGATTGGTCTTACATTGACGGACGTCCAGGTCCGTTAACCAACGGCCAGAGATCTCGTCTGGAGAAACAGAAGGCTATGGCGGACGAAATCTACAAATCTGTGTTCGCCATCGATTCTGCGACGGCAGAGGTTGAAGAATTACGGAAAGTTGGAAAGAAGGGCAAACCGTCGCGACTTCGTGAAAAGGGTTTCGTTCCGTCGTAGCGAAGTCATATGTCCTTGTTGTTGAGTGCCAGTTTCTATTTTGGGAGCCGTGTCGTGGCTTCGTCCACGTAAGAAAGAACAAACTACTTCATCGCAATTCAGGTTTTACTGTATTACATTAAATGTACTTTCCATGCAATTGAAGATACCGAGCATGATAAAGTGGTTCGTTTTCCCCTCGAAGTTGGAATCCTGCTTGGCTCACTTGAATGATTCTGATGCCGTTATTAGTTTTGGTAAGATTGGAGAAAATGGTCTCAGCACCACGATTCGCATGTTGTCCGTACCTGTTGAAAAGCGAAAATGTGAGGAAGGCGACGTGGCGATGGTCATGTGTACGGGAGCTGGGGTAATATCAGTCTGTTTCAAGAAAACAAATTTATAATTCGAAAATTGTGCCGTCGGTCGCAGGATATTCATGCCCTGAAAATTCAACGAGTCGTTTCAGATTAGCTTTTTCGCCATAACCTTGAAATTTTGCTGCACTTGGTCTCTTCGTGAAAGGACGCCGTATCCTTTTCGGGGTTTCCCCATTTCGTTTGTTCTTATTGCCTTAGGCCCGGTTTCTTGTGTTAGTTCAGTCGTGGAATGCATCGGCGTCGCTCAAGTTTGAGATTAAAGCGACACCTGTCTGACGCTCCAGAAGCCTTTCACAGTGCGTTGAGGGGTTGATGGGTTGTTTTTGTTATCTCAGCTCCCTGGTCTTGACGTCCGATTTCTGTGACTGCGGGAGCCGCGTTCAAAGTAAGATTTGCGGTTGCATTTTGTGCGTTCGGAATTTTATGAAGGAAGGAGTGACTTGACTAGGTGATATACATTTGGTTTTGAAAAAAAATTCAATTCAGGCAAGATATTGCAGAGCCAGTGTTGAAAGGCTCAAATGCACCCCAATGGCGTGCCTGATGCGCTCTTTGGTACTGTTGGTAAGTGCGAGGATTGTGAGTGCGGCGTACGTGACGCATTGCCGGAGTGAATTGCGCCCAGGGCAATATTTGTGTTTAGACTTGAATATCGACCCCGCGACGCAACAACCTCGCGGTTGCACGCCGGAAAACTGGGCGCTAGTGAATTGCACAGCTGCCGACGGAATCGTGTGCAACGAAACCGGAAACAGCACGTTTGAAAAGGAAATCCCATGCGAGTGGACGAACGGCTATTCGTTCGAAACAGCCCTGCTCTTGTCTGTGTTTTTCGGGATGTTTGGAGCGGATCGGTTCTACCTGGGATATCCGGCGATCGGTGTGCTCAAGTTTTGCACGCTTGGGTTTATGTTCTTTGGGCAATTGGTGGACGTGATTCTCATTGCGACGCAAGTTTTGCTTCCGAGTGACGGATCGCATTACGTCATTAGTTATTACGGACCCAAGTTGAAGATTCTGGGGGCGGATAACGAAACGTTGATTTATTCTCGAGAGCTGCGTTAATCGTTTCCGATTTTGGATCTCTCCGATGATGGATGCAAAAATTGAGTTTGGATGCATCTCCGTTCTTCTGTTGAATTTGCTGGTCGGCGGATTCTTATTCATCTCTGGATTTCTTCCTTATTCGCCGTCGGCTCAACCTCCATTGCCTGCTGATCTTGACAATATCACGATGTGAGTACGCAATTTTCCATTTTCGTTTAAATTAATTTTTATTTTTGAATTCGAACTAGAGCTATGGTTTACTTTTTCTCCCAAGTACACACAAGCAATGGCTCAAACGTTTTGTTAGCACAATACTGTAAATCAAGGTAGGCTACAATACTTCAGGTACCTGGATTCCCGATTCAGAATCCTCGAAACCACTGTTATATCAATTTTGAGAGTGGAAGGAAGCATGTGTTCATTTGCCAAGGATTTTCTTCAGACGCCGTCTTGACATGAGCACTCGTTTTTACGGATGGACGTGTTAAAGTTACTCGATGTTCAGCTTCACTAATCTAGGAATTGTCAAGATTGAAACAATCCTTTCTTGGAACGTAATTTCCAGTTCTGAAGTATAATATTCTCTACGATGATTTTTCATTCCCTTTAATTTATAATATGCGTGTACAGTATTCCGTTGAACCGCTGAGATCGTCCGCCAACTCATGAAGAATTCAAGTGTAGCAATTTATCAAAGATTTCCTCACAGTAATGGAATGTACCCTCAATTTTTGCCTTTTTCCATTACGATGTGGGTGAACAAAAAAATGACCTGGAAAGAAAGAAATATTTCGCCTGAAAATATCCACTGCGATGAACTTGCAAAAAAGAGTAAAATCTTACAACTTTTGAAACAACTCTTCTAGATTGCCGTAATGTTGAAGTAGCGACATTATCTTTGTGATGTGGCTTTTTCCAGTCCGTCTGATGCTGCGATCGGGAGGGTTGTGTTGATGGTGATCGATGCCCTGCGTTGGGATTTCATATACCCTTGGGATCAATCCGACATGCGACGTACCAAAAATTTCGTAGATGATATGGGATTCTTATGGAGAGCTCGGGCAAGTTCACCGACTGTAACACTGCCGAGAATCAAAGTAAGTCTAAAAAAGTCTGTCGTGTTTAATTTTTCCTAATTGATTATGCTGAAAAATAAAATCAGAATGGAACAATGGAGATATGTTTCTTTCACGAATGTTTTATCGACGGTTGAATGATTTAAAATTTCCCTCCATTAAAGGTGGTCATCAATTGCATTTAAACACTTGCATCTAAACATTCGTGTTGAAATCAAGTTTTTCATCCTTGCGGCTTTCCATTTTTCTCTTTTTTGTCATTTCGAAGTTAGGTTCGCCAAATTAAATTTTAATTCACAAGGAATTACTGGTCTTCTTCTTAATGTCCAACCTTCCAGACCAAAGAATGTCTTCGCCGTTGTGTAGATGACACCAAGATTTTTTCTTGACTAATTTTTGAGTTTGTTTTGGAATCTGTCAAATTTGGTTGCGTTTCTTTAGTTGAGGCTTTTATTTTTTGTAGTGAAATTAGTGATTCCAGCGTTATTTTAGGAAGCAAAGTCCAAAATTCCAGAATTCTTTCGCTGGATATTCTCAATATTAGTTTTGGAAGAATCGTGAGTTTTTGATGAGACATGGTACCGCGTTGGTTTTTTTTTAGAGACGCTGATTTGAAAATAGTATTTTGGAATTAAATTGAATAAGGCAGATTTTTTCTCGTACTCCGGTTTTTGTAGCTTTTACGGGCTTCATTTTAGTTCACTAATACAAATAGAGGATTATAAAACTATCCCTTTTTTTATGAACAATACAGGCTATTGTGAGCGGAACAATCCCCGGTTTTGTGGACGTGCTAGTCAACCTGAACAGCGGGATGATGGACAAAGACTCCTTTGTATTGCGTGCGAGGGCTGCCGGAAAGGTACTCACATTTTTCGGAGACGACACCTGGCTCAAGTTGTTTCCGGACACGTTTGCGAGAAGTGACGGAACATCTTCCTTCTACGTAACCGACTACACGGAGGTGGACGACAACGTGACGAGGCATTTGGATGACGAGCTTATGAGAAACGATTGGGATTTAATGATACTGCATTACTTGGGACTAGATCATATCGGACACACTTTCGGCCCTTCGTCACCGCTGGTGCGAACGAAGTTGAAGGAAATGGATCACGTTGTAGAAAAGATTGTGACTTCTTTGACGGAGGTAAGTTTAATTTCATCATGACAAATGCTTGGCTTCTTCCTGCCTGAGGGCTATTCACAAAGAAAAAGCTGTCGGATGAGAAAGTCCGCATAACAAATGTTGAATTGATACGCTCGCGTGAAAATTTTTTTCTTCGAAATCTTCTGCCGAATGCCGAGAAAACGGAGGATTTCATTTTAATTTCTAATCTTTTAATTAATAACCTTTTAACAATACAGTTTCAAATACAGTATTGAAAATGAGTCCATTAGTATTGAAAATGAGTCGATTTTCGGGAATCCTTATTTATCTCATTTGTTGAAAACCTTCTATTGCGTACTCCAGGGTCACGAGGGTTTGTCGATCCAGGCCCCTCCATTGTTCATTTTGTGCGGTGATCACGGCATGAGTGACGGTGGAAGTCATGGGGGATCCTCCAAAAACGAAGTTATGACGCCACTCCTCTTCATCAGTCCCCTATTCAGAGGTGTCAACATCAAAGACCGTGGGTGAGTTTATCCGTTCTTCACAAAAATAATGCGCTTTTTCACCTGTTTATATAAGATGACACTCACATAATTTTTGAACGAGAAGCCTATAAAAGCCGCCATCCATCTTGAATTTTGTAGCTCTTGAAAACAATGCTGGTACTTCTCACGTCACTGCCCGACCTTGATTTTTGGAATCTCGAATAGGCGTCTATTTTATCGCTAACGCGAGTGAATTTAACATACGCTTATCTCGGTGAACTTACCTGAAAAGCGTGAACAAAAGTATGATTTCTGAAGTGCAAACTGAATTTCGAACCACATCTATGCTGTAGCTAAGGGAGTAAAGACATTTAGGACGGTCGGATTAATACAGAAAACTAGAATTCAATCCAACGGCTCATCCACTTACGACCCAATAAGCGCACGAACTTTAGGTAGACTAGAAAATGTTTCTCTGTGCAGTCGCTTAACAAATATTCGACTCGAGGACGCTTGAAAAAAAAAAATTCTGCCAAACATATGGACCATGTTCTGAGATCTAACCCTTCGTCAATACTTCTTGATAATGGAAAAATTTCATGTTCCAAAATTCTGAAATCCCTTCAAGGATTTAAGCTATTCCTATGAATAGAAATTCAAAATATCCTCATTATAACATTTAATCTTATTCTTAAACTCTCTTTAGACTTTTTTAAATCTTTTGACTCCTTTTCATTCCAAAAGGGAAGATCATGTAGTTTTCTTTTTGGGGAAATTTTTATCAATTTTTTGACCGAGAAGTAGAAATGAATAAAAATGTACCCATTGATGTCTACGGGAAAACGTGATTCAAAATTTGAAAGTTCTAATACACTATAGTGACCAGTTCCAAGAACCCATCGTGTCCGCATCTCGGGGTCCTGTTCGATGGGGAATTTTTTGGTCTCTACCGATTGTATAGACTGATGGAAGTTTCCTCCAATAAAACTCTCTCTGGAGTCTCCGCAACGCATTTTTTCTCTTTCCCTGTATTTTGTTTTAGAGCGAGTCCTTTTTTTATAGTACCTGTATTACTTCTGCGGGGTTGTTCAAAACTCAGTGAGCCAGGCTTCTATTCTCTTCTATCTCGAAAACCTTTGCAATATTCCGAGTAGGATCGTCGACGTTGAGCAAGTGGACATATCCCCAACAATGACAGCCGTGTTGGGGTTAAGCTACCCATCTTCGAGTGTGGGAAGAGTGGTGACGGAAGTTGGAGAGTCGTTGAGCCCTGTCTTGAGGTACAAGATTTTGGCGGAGAATTATGAGCACTTGTCTAAGCTGGTTGAGGAACAGTTGGGGTCTGTCCCAGGTGAATTATACTTTCTGTCCTCGAGTACTGTTCGCACTGTCGCGATTTACGCACGAGTCTCCTTTCAAAGCGAACATTCGTTTCCTTTGCATTCAGCCGGGAGGGTTTTCCGAAATGCACGATTTGCTGAAAACGTTGATGCTAGTACAAGTATCCGCCATGTCAGAGATTAATTTATAGAAGGCACAGCTTGACGTTCTCTGCAGTCGTTCTTCAAAAGTTCCCTCGCGAAGCCAAGCAAAGCAGCGCGTTTTATTATTTATGTAAATTTTTACGAACTTTTGGCTGTTGAATATGTTTAGCTTTCAACTTTTAAACGAGTTTATGGATTATTTACTTTCTACGTAGATGAATGTGTCGCAGACATGAGCGGCGCGGTGGAGGATATTGAAATGGCGACGAAATGTTTGCAAAGGCAATTGCTGTCGGTTGCGGCGGATTATGATTTGTACAAGATGTTTTTGGGCTGGTGCTTGATAGCCATGGTAAGTCGAAATAGTGATTTCGTCCCGAAGTATTGAATAAATCCTACTATGTAAACACGAGTGCTACTGTAATCTGAGCAGATTTTGTACCAAAAAAATTTCAAGTTCCGGAATCCCTTTCTAAACTTGATGAAATTTAATGCAAATCACTTTTTGTTATCTCCGCTCGTTTGTAATTTTAAAAGCCAGTCAAGTGTGGCCTTAATGTCGAAACATTCCAATTCATCTTTATTGCCACCTAACCTGACCATTAAATCTAAAATTAACCGAGCAAAGTGTGAGAAATTTTCCGTGATACAAAAAGTAAAATCACCGACTAAGCATAAAGGCGGGTACAGGTAGACTCTCTGGGACTATTTTCTTTATTCTCATTTTTTTGGTCCACGATGTAATTCTTTCTACTAAGAATTTGTTCTGGTCCACCGAATTTTTTTTGCGGAGAGAGTCCACCTGCGTATTACGAAAAAATCTGGGATTATATTCCGCCTCTAAGATAAATTAAATCAAAAACTTTATCGCATCGTCTTGCATATGTTTCTCGGGTTAAACATGTTTTTAGAAGGCTTCATATGTGAAACTATGTGTAAGAGTTGAGCTATTAAAAGAACGAGTTGAGCGGTTGATGCGGAATCGTGCAACGTATTTTTTGTAAACCATAAAACATTCTTGATGTACTCCGTGAACTTTTCATCTGCTGTCCTATGTTGACAACGACAAGGATAAATGCTGGTATATTTAGAACGTTTGTCGAAAGATGTTCTTTCGAGCAACAGCAAAGCTGATTATTCGAAGCGCAGTACTTGGCTCCTGTAGAAAATGATATTTCACACCAGATCGGGTTTCTCAAACAGAGTTGTTCGGTGGCGATCGTCAAAGTTTTGAGTCTGGAAATCCCTGCTTTGAGCGAAACATCGTGGGGCTTATGGTGCTCGGACCCGAAACGAAATACGTATTTTGCCTGGAAAGCGCTTTTCGGAATCACGGGTTGGTCGTTCGTTTCGTTCTTCCTCTGTCGCTGGATTCCTTCGTTCACGTCGAGCTCCTTGTGTCCGCCGCACGAATCAGGATTGTCTGCTTTTCTGTCCATTTTCACGTGGACTCTTATTGGCTCTACCCTGGTGGAAATATTGGTTCGACTGTGGTACTTGGAGATGGAAAAATTCAAGTTAAAGGTGAGTTTTACTTTGTACTGCTTGTTCATCCCGTAGAATTCCTCTATTTTGCGGTCGGAATAAGCGTTACGAAATTCTAGCAATCGAAGTTGTTTCTTCAAATTTTATTGATTTCATCTCTTCTTCTTTTTACCTGTTTCTTGCGTGTAACAAATCTTTCACTTTTCATCATTCCCATTCTGGTTTGAAATTCCGCACATGTGCGTATCGATGATTGAAGGTGTTCTGGATCTATTTTGTATCCGATAGGGTCATGTCAGAAGATTGAATACATCCTTGAAACTTGAATTTTACTCCATTCAGAAAACTTGATCGCCTCTGAAATTTCTAGTTCCGTGAATCACGACTGTGCATAAGCTGGTGAATTTCTGAATTGATTGAAGTAATTTTTTGAAAGTAATGAAAAACAAATCGATCCGAATTGTAAATGAAATACATTGCAATGGAATTTCACCTCTCAATGCGAATAGAAAATACAAGTAAGTAGGCATTTTATTTCTTTTTTTTAAATTTAATGTCATGAAAAATTATTTTGGAAATGATCGAGGATAAAGGGGGTTTACTGATGGATTTGAGACAAAATCTCTATTCGATTTTAATTCGAAATGCAGTTTTGAGCTTTCACTGAACTGCATTCACATCGAAGCAGGTACAAAAATTATTCTCGTTCAAGGAATGGCCTTGAAAAATTCATTTTTTATTTGAACCTTCTTTTGAATTGATAACCAGTTCGTGAAATGACTTGAGAAATCATTGAATAGAAGATTGGTCTCGTTAAACTTCATTGTGTACTATCTTCGTGAAGAAAACCAAGAAGAGAATACTGTTCGTAAAAATGAAAGAATTTAACTACATGGTGGGGAAATATTTTATTTTCATAGATGCATTATGTGGTTTTCTTGGTTCCTGCCATCCAAGCTTTAAGTTTCGGATCTACGAGTTTCATTGAAGAAGAGCACTTTTTGTGGTACCACCTGGCCACGACACAAGTGGTAGCGTTGGTTGTCGTTCGCCTTCGAGACATACGACTTCAGCCGGAAAAACAAATAGGAACTCTAAAAAATTATCGAACAACTCGATCGTCTGCGCGCGACTGTGTCTGTCGAGGAACTGCGTTGCTGGTGTTGCTACGGATATCCCGGGCCTGGAACCAGACCGGGGACAAGTGGATGCACCTTAGAGACGTTAGCAAGTTTCTGAATGAAGGTGAGCAGCGCGACGCGTTGTTCTTGGCGGTTGTGGCGGGTTTGTTGGCCATTGGATCGTGCGTCCGCGTCTCTGGGGTTTCCGGCGTGGTCAAGTGCCTTGTGTGGACGTGTCTTCCTCTGGTTTTCGGGTTCCATGCGGCGCATTTGGGCCTGCCTTCATCTAGTTGGTGGTCGAGCAGGTGAGTTTTTTGTTCTTATGTCATGTTTTGTACTGGGTTGTGAACTTGCATGTGTCCTACAAGGGTGACACCGAACAGTTCAGAAGGATTTTTTTAAAGCAAAGAACGCCAAACATTCGGGATTAAATGGAATTCACCTTATTTACGCGATTACCATGCCTACATTTTTTTTTCGAAATTGAGATGAAAAATTGGGTTCGTGTCGTAAGAGGGGATAGAATTTTCAAAAAATGCTAAACGTCTAGGTGCGCATCACACTTGATTTTAATGGGCAATTTTTGACAGGAACTTTAAAAAAATCTAAACTATTGGAAATCACCGTACTTCTCGTATTTTGGAATATTTTGTTTTCCAGGCACAGAAATGGGGTTTCGATTTCATGTAATTTAAGGTGGAAAACTGGGGCGCGGGTCGTACGTCTCGGGCGCGTGCTACTTGAGTTCTTTTCGTACAAAAATATCATGATACTGTTATTGTTAAATACCGTATCAGTATACGGTACATATTTTATCTGTGGTACTTCGTAAGCTGTGGTCATATCAGAAAAAAACTTGTCAAGTATGGATTCAAAGTGCAATACCTCGAGCTAGAAATGCTAAAAAGTTGCTTTTTGCTCAGAAATACAGTAACTCCATGGGCTTTTGAATGATTCAGAACAATTTTTTTACCGTTGTACCTTTTTAAAACTGTAAATTTGGGGTTTAATTCTTAGTAAACATTTTTCCAGCATATTTTTGAGCGACATTAAAAAAATCTATTCAACGTCAACTGATGAGCTACATTAAATTGGGTTTTCATTTTCGTTAAATCTTTTGAATTCCCTTTAAAAATTGGTCTGACATTGTCCGGGCAACCCTGCATGCAGGGTAAGCCTCAAGTTCAATGTCGAATTTTTCATGCGACTTTGAATGTGATACTGTACTGTACTTCATTCATTTAGTTTTTGGTATTTATTGGTTGTTCGAGAATGTAGGAAAAAAGAAGAAGCCATAAAATATTTTTATTTTTACATTTTTGGTATAATATGAAGCAATTCCTTCCTTGAAAAGGGAATGCGTGGGATGAAAATGTGCCTTATGAAGTACTTCAGAGCGCCTGACAGCTTTTCAATAGCCCCGTGTGTGCCCGGGTTTATGGAGCAAACTCTCAGCGGCAAATTCCCCAATACCAATATTCTCAGCATACGCGTACCTTTTCTCTTTAAGGCGATTTTCTTTATCCCCTTGATTATTTTTTGATTGAATTCACCAGCAGCTCTTTCTTCATAATCAGAGTAAGGAACTTACGTGTTCTCTCTCCTGGTTTCAACATTCATTTCGTCACTAAGAAAGAGGGAAAATATGATGTGGAATAAATAATAACGATGTCCGAGAATAAGGATAGAAGAAAAGCCAATTTTATGGCACAAAATACCAAATTTTCTTTCCCATTCGCTATTTTTCTCTTTGAATGGCTCCATCAACGTCGGTTGTTCATAGGTATTGTTAAAGGTATGAGAGAGATTTTGATGCTTGATCGATTCTAGAAGACCACTTTGCGGATGTTAAGTAATGTTAGTTTAAATTTTTGGCGAACGGGTGAACTTTATAATAAAATTTATTGCTGTATTCCGTTTTGGTTCTTTTTACTTCGAAGTCCAACATTGCTTTTTTGGAATGTCAGACGTGTGTTCCTTGAATCCTCGCCATTACAACTCTTTTGAGAGAAAAAACTGACAATTTTAAAATACCGGTACTGGTGGACTTGCTCTTCAAGGAAATTCAAGGGACCAGGAAAATAATTCTTTGAGAAGATTTCTTTGTTGAGAACCCCTTTAACATGGGCAAAGAACTCGACGGACAGGAAAATCCTCGGAGGAAATCGTTGTGCATGAAACCGGAGAAATAAGCTGCATAACCTTGTACTAAATACAGTCGGGTCTACAAACTTAATTGGCTCCTGACCAAAGTTTGTTGGCCGAATAGTTTGCAAGTCAAATCACATTTTCCATTGAGAAAGTATAGGAATAATTTTAATTGATTCCAGAACCTTGAAAATGCCCATGAAATTGAGTAAAAAGCGTCCTAAAAAAATATTTTCAGGCCTAAAATCCACCAAATCTTCACAATACAATATACAAGAAATTAATTGCAGTAAAACAATCCATAGAAGTGAAATTTTAAACTGAGTTTCTACAGAGTTTTCTTCTTGAAATTTTTAAATGCAACACCACAAACTTCCTCAAAGACCAATGACTTGGGATGGAAAATTTTGATGCTAAAAAGCTTTTGAATTTTAACCCAATTAGAATGCATAAAAAATTTCATTAAGAATTGGCCACTAAACTTTTGAGACATTCTTATATGCATTTATGAATAAGTTTGAACATGAATCCTTGGATTTTGCTGAAGAAACTTCTTTTTTTAAGACCCATGAGCATTAGGAGAACTGAAAGTTTGTCAGCCGAGTCATGGTTTGTTAACCGGGGCAGCTGAGGCCAAAAACAAGTTTGTTAGCTGAAAAGTTCATAAGCCAAGACCCCCCTGTATTTGAACCAACGCATTTTAGATATAAGGAGGCATTGCAAAATTCAGGCCTCACACATTTCATAGAAAAATTGTTTTGTGGACGCCGGCGTTAAGATGGCGGAAATTATTTTTCTTTCGAGTTGTTCTTCAAAATCACCGTCGACAAATGAGAAACCGGATTTTGTTTTCTTTCAGGGGAATACTGGAGGCTAGGTTCACATTCCTGCTCTTGTCGGTGGGTTGGATAGCTGCTTTAGTTGATCACTGGTCCCAAAGGGGGAATGCGTCCCGATCAAACGCCACTCTGTGGAGGAAAAGTAGGTTGTATCTGTTGGTGTTCGCCGCTCTGACGGGAAAGGCGCACAACATCCCGTTGCTGGCCATTACGTGTTTCATCCAAGATCTATTTTTCGGCTTGGTTCTGAAAGTGATCACTGTGGACTCCAGTTTCCCGAAATTCATCTGCTACTGGATTTCCGCTTTTGTTATGGCTTTTGCTGCTTTCTTTGCGCAGGTGAGTTTGCTTGGGGGTTTTAGTTTATAGAGACATGCAACAGGAAGCACAGATGGAAGCATGTTGGCCACGTTTTAACTATGCAGTACCACTGTACCTGGTGTAGACGAGAGTTTTAGTGCTGTGGGCAGATGTTGCCGCAATCGTAAAGATGTCCAAATATAGCATAAGTCAGCCTGGCCGACTTGATTCTCACTCAGACCTTCTCAACTTAAAATCTGCTCTTAGTTGAGTAAAATCTCTTGAAACTTGCTTTTTAAAATGGATGCGACACCTGCGTGACAGAAAGTGAAGTAACGACTAGGGGTATGTAGAGATATAGCTTGAAAGAATCTACGAGTTGTTTCGGATTTCTTTCTGACGCTTAATATGGTTTTATTATGTGAACGCTATTGTACTCCATGAAAAGACGAGACATAATATTTTTTTTTTGATAACGGTTTCAAGAGACTTAATGTTATCGGCTGACCTAACGTAGCTAAACCAACCCTGAGCTGTAGTTCTGAAGCTTGACGAAATGCCAAACTTCAAGCTGAACCTGTGTGATAGAAAGTGAATTCACTGACTTGAGACCGTAGCAAGATCAACCGAAGATAACATTAATTGACCGCTTATTTGTCTCTGAATTTTTTTTTCTACAATGTCGTGATTTTATTTGCCGAAGATTTCCTCCTCAGTTACAATTTTCTGTAATTTTTTAAAAGGGGAATTCGAATAGTTTGGCGACTGTTCATCTCGCTTCCGGTTACGCTGGGCTGCGTTCGCATGTGATCTACATCACTGGGCCAATGTTGGTGCTGAGCACATACTCGCATTTCATCCTGTGGATTTTGAGGGCGGGCGAGGTGCTGCGGTATTCCTTTACTCCTGCGAATCCATCGCAGTCATCGGAGTTGCAAGTGTACGTATGACTCGTGTGTTCGGTGTCATAAACAAAGAAGGCATCGCCGGTTTTTGTTAAGCGTGATAATGAGCTTCGTTGATGGTTCATTGGATATTACGTTTCAGGAAATCTCCAGAGTAGGGAAATTTGAGCGGGGACCGTATTTTTTCTTTGAGCTTCGTGATTAATGCCGGAAGAAAGTGCTTTATGAGCTTACAGTATGTCAACGTACGATTAATCGTCTGATATTATTTGGAGTTTTTTTTGCGTATGCAAATTTTAAAATAAAAATTATTCTCACATTTCGTGACAAAAATAGCTCTAGTGCAAGCTGAAATCTTGGATAAGCTTCTAGGAATCATCGAAGTACTGTATCTCAATTAAAAACCTCCATAAAAGCTAAGCATTGAATCTAGCAGAGTTTCACGTAAGGAAGGTTTGCAGAAATTGTCTGAGTATTTTTTATCTTGCTACGTTTCATCGGCCTTACAAGTTTCACTAGTTCTCAGTTTGCAATTCTTGCACATTACTATTTCAAAATTTTCTGCGCTACATCAGTTTTTGAAACTTTTAAAAATTTTCCCGCGGTTTTTTTTTTTCAATTTTATTAGCTCAGTAACGTAAATTCGGTATTCACAGTTATTAAACTAGGCTTTTTTGTGTTTCAGGACGAGGAGGATAGTCAAAGGTTCGTTCAGTCTAGCTGTTCTGTGGATGCGCGGACTGCCGTTTTGCGCCTTCCTTGCTTTGATGTATGTTCAACGCGAGCATTTGTTTGTTTGGACCGTGTTCGCCCCGAAGTTGCTGTACGAAGGTATGGTGACTAGTCTGTGTGTGTTGCTTGCCGGGCTGGTCATCCTGCTGTGATCGAAAAACAAAGATTTATTTCCTAGGAATAATTCTCTTGAAATCGACGTGAACGATGCCGTAGTTCGGTGTGATTGTTTGAAAGTGGAAAATTCGAAATATTTCAAAGCGCGTTTTTAAAGAGGGAGAGAAAGAACGAAGTGTTCTGAATGTTTTGTTTTATACCGCGTATTTTCCTTCTTTCGTTGAACACAGCGAGGTTCACAAAAAACCTATTTTTCATGCATACAAGCTCTAAAAAAAGTTATGTAATAGCTCGACGAGGATTCAGTTGAATTGGTTTACCGATTCAAGTCGAATTTCGTCACGTCGTCGAAGCCCTGTATCCGAAAATTAACTGGGTAACATGGCTTATTCACTGGTTAGAATTGAAGATGTTATTCCGTCAATGCCATTAGCGCATCTGAAATTAATCCAGAAATATCCAGTGACGTAACTTCGAAAGGGGGTTTTCGGTAAGATTGATGTTCCTCTTTCTTTTTCGTTTCTTATAAATCCATATGCAATAATTTAGATAACGTGAACTTTTTTTTTTCAACGTTGATTCATTCTAAATGTGAATTTTCCATTGCCTCGACTCCGAACCTAATATTTTTCTCTTCTTTACTCAGGTTGGTTTTTCTTGATTTGATTTTTATTCCGGTGAGTGAGTGCGGCCGTTCGCGATGGCGTGTCATTCCACGAGTTAGGTAAGCTTTCTAAGGGAATCATGATATGACATGGGAAGTGATACTGATTCCAATATTTTTCAGCGCCTAATTGCGGTGTTTTTTCTGCTCTCGGCGAATGCCGGGACTCCATTCCGTCTTTGAAGAGGCGCAGAATCAGCGGAATCTCGTACGACTCTTTGAGTCTTTAAATGTATGTATTGTACACTGAAGTTTTCTTGCCATAAACGTTTCATTCTACTGAAAAATTGAATACTTGAACACTTGAGTAATGTGACCTGGCACCCGAATGACATGCAGTACAACTCACCGTACCACTTGTTAACCTGACCTGGTTTATCAGACATCCGTAACTAACTTGAAGTAAAAATGAACTAACCTAAACTAATACCCAACTTACCTAGATCATGCATTGTTCAAAACTACCCCAGCCTGATATAACTAAAAATACCGTAGCTTAAATGAATTCATCTGACTTGTAACCTAGCTTTCAAACCGTGCGTGTGTGTGGGCATTCCAAGGCAGCTGTGTAGAGGGAGAACCCTTGACTATTCATGATTTTTTGCGTTCAGTTTCGTGTTTGTGAATGTTTTATTTTTGTGTTGAATGTAAAAAGTTGCAGGCGATGAAGTCGTCGTCATCGCCGGTCTGCAACGAAAGTAATCCAGGCGAAGTTGCGTCGAGTGGCTCGACGTCGACTCATCTTCCAATGGACGACATGGAGGACTCTACTGACGTTCCGTCGAATGCCGAGTTTATATTCGGACCCAAGTCGGCGAGCAGTCGGACGTCGTCGTCAGCAGCTGGTGGCCGCCTGGAAGACACGGGAACGACGACCACTGCCCGTCCCCCCACTCCGGAAACGACCAAGTGGAATTCATGGGTGCGGACTTTTTCTCCACGACGAGCTTCCTGTTCGTGTAACACGTCGCCATCCGTTCAGCCTGCAACCGAGCGGCATCCCGAAGTTTCGGAGTGGGTTGAGACGTTCAAGGTGAGTCACGATTTTATATGCGCTTCATGGATAAAATTACCGTTTCGTAATTTGTAATATGTTGCTATCAACTTCAATGAATACCGTAGTGATGAAATTCTTGGAAATCAATGTGTAATGCGATTCGGTTTTCGGTGAAAGTTGTAATTACGGATGGACGCCGGATTCGTTACTTATCCGAATTTAAGCGTCTGAACGTGAAAATCGGAAAAGGTGGTTTGTTCAACTTCAAAATCTTGAATAATGTAAATTGTTTCCATTGGTTTCTGCTGGCACGAATGCAGTCGATGAGGAAAAATTGTCGAATTATAATCAGAACTCAGAACCGGCACCCGATTTTTTTCATATTTTACGAGCAATATCTGTCATTCCGTCATCGTGTAAGCCTTATCATTTTCAACTTTTTATTTATTTTTTATCTATATTTTACTCGATTTCCTCGTTTTTACGAAAAAAAAAGGTATTGTGTCAGAATGAAAAATAATCTTTTTGTTGCAGAAATTTTCTCATCGCCGGCGTTCCGAAGCTTTGGATGCGCTCATTTCTGTGTGCAATCACTCGCAAATTTGTGCATTGAGGGAATCAATAGAGCCGCACTTTCAGCGAGACTTCGTCTCACTTTTGCCGAAAGAGGTGAGTTCTTATCGCTTTCGTCTTTCTAAAAATGTATTGTCAATGATATCGAAGTAAAAGACATTCCGTCAATACTCCGGGCTACTATCGTGTTGTAATCATATTTCTTTACCCTTTTTTATCTCTCCTTGTCCACAGCTTGCATTGCATGTGTTATCATTTTTATCGCCAACGGATTTGCTCAAAGCTGCCCAGACCTCGCGCTACTGGCGGCTCCTCGCAGAAGACAACTTACTCTGGCGCGAGAAATGCCGCCGCGTCGGGATCGACGATCCAAAAGAAATTTTGTCCGGGCTTCCGTCCACGAACTCGCTGTCGGTGTCCGCGGCGTCCATGACGCCACCGGCCGAGGAAGAAGAAGATGACGACGATGACGCCGTCGTTGTCGGATCCGGAGTTGGAAGCGGGCTTCGATCGGGGATGACCGGCGGTGTTCAACCCCCTCGATTTCTCAGTCCTCTGGCCGTCATGGCTGAAGTGTGTCCGTGGAAAGCGGCATATTTGCGGCAATTCCGGGTAGAGAATAATTGGCGGACGAGACCGTTGCAAACGGCGAAGGTCTTGAGAGGACACGACGATCATGTGATCACGTGTTTGCAGTTTTCGGATAATCGCATTATTTCGGGGTCGGATGACTCCACGCTCAAAGTATGGTCCGTCGCTACCGGTCGGGTGAGTCCACTGCACAGCGAGAGAGAGAGATAGTACTGTCTTTTTCCTGTCGGTTTCTCTTTCTTTTCAAATTATTTTTGGTTCCTTTTCGCTGCGACGCCCGACAATTCTGTCTTGAATCTCGACAGGTGATGCTGGAAGCTTGCACAGGGATAATATAAGTCAAACGTTTACGAGGCGAGGTTTAAAACTTGGAATGAAGTTGTTTGGAGTCGTAACTTCATAAATTCGTGTTAGCTCATGAATACAACGCAAATATCCGTACTGTTTTTTACTTTTATTTTTATATATAAATTTTTTTTTTTGACGATTCGCAGAACAGTAGTTCAGACTTTTTTAGAGCAAGGCTTTTCTAGATTATGTTAATTTTTACTAGGGTACGGTAATTTCGCGGACGAATTGTAGAGTGTACTAACCGGTATAGAGCGTTTCATTAACTGAGGTAATCGTGAGAAAATATTAAATTTTCCCGTTACTACGCGCTTAACGACTTTTGTCATATCTGTTCGGGCTTTTTTTTGCAGTGCCTGATGACGTTGGTTGGCCACACTGGGGGTGTATGGTCGTGTCAAATGGCTGGCTCGATAGTCGTGAGTGGAAGCACGGATCGCACCCTTCGTGTTTGGAACGCGGAGACTGGCGAGTGCATCCATACACTCTACGGCCACGCGTCCACCGTTCGCTGTATGTGCCTGCATGGAAACGAGTAAGTTGAACAAGTCTCTTCCGAAATTAATTTTTCGTCGAAAGGTTTAACAAGAAAATCTGTAAAAAGACACGATTGCTGTTACAGTACTGAGTATTCATAAGAGTATACTTACTTTACCTTCACTGGAAATACTCAGCGGAGAGTATTTTTTGAGATGGTGGCTTCATGCTTTCACGATTCAGCATTGTAAAAAGGTCTAATCTGTGTAGTTTAAAAGGAATCATAAATGATGTGCTGTTATGTGTGAGATGAACAAAATAGTTACGAAAAAATTCATTTGTCCCGCATCAGTCATGAAATTCCTTACTGATGTTCAAAAATTCGATGTTTGTTCTTCGATTTCAATTTTTTAACTTTTAAAATTGTCAATGCTACCATGCGACGTTTTAGCTCATCACAAGATTTTTAAAAATCTGGTTTATATTTTCACGGAAAAAAGGAAAATGCTGAGATCTTTGCCTTGAAATAATAGAATAGCTTTTGAAAGCTTCCCGATGCTTCTGTTTACTGAAATGCTGATTTTTCAAGTGAAGGAATTTTTGGAACTTTGGTAGTCACTTGTCAAAAATTTTACGAATTAATTTGAGCACTAGTTCATGAACGCGACTAGTTCATTTTGCAAATGTTGATGAAGATAATAACTTGTCTTCTGAAGCGACTAGTATTACAGTAACATGCATTTTTTTTTTTTTTTTCGTAGGGTTGTGAGCGGGTCCCGCGACGCGACGTTGCGCGTGTGGGACATAGAAACGGGTCAGTGTCGGCATTTGCTCGTGGGCCACGTGGCGGCCGTGAGATGTGTACAGTACAACGGCACGCTTGTCGTGAGCGGCGCTTACGATTGCACTATCAAGATCTGGGACGCGGCGACGGAGGCGTGTTTGCATACGTTGCAGGGCCACTCAAACCGTGTCTACTCGCTTCAGTTTGATGGCGTCTACATTGTTTCCGGCAGTCTCGATACCTCTATTAAGGTACTGATTTCTGATTGTATATTTGGGGAAATGAGAGGCTCATCACGTTGCGAGTGTATTTTCAAACGTTCTGGATCTAATGGAATCGTGATTATTTTATTCTCGTATTGGATCTGGGACTTCAACACAAAGATTGATAGAAAATGTATGAAATTTTTTGATTCAGGAAATTGAAGAAAGTGCTTCCCAATCGTTTGGGATGGGACTTTGTTTAGGTTTTTTTTTTTTCAAGTCTGAGAAATACCTTTGCATAACTGTAATAGGAGAAACGTTGAATAAAGAAAACTGAATAATAATCATTTTCCGCGATTCTATCCTACAATAATTTGGAAGCATTCTTCTTGAGTCAAATTTTTTTTTCGATTCCAGGTTTGGGACGTGGAAACGGGTCAATGTCGCCATACGCTCATAGGTCACCAGTCGCTTACGTCGGGCATGCAGCTCAGGAACAACATTCTCGTGTCCGGTAACGCGGATTCTACCGTGAAAGTCTGGGATATTACTTCCGGCCAGTGCTTGCACACTTTATCAGGTGAGAGAAAGCTTTCTTAGCTTCAAATGGGATCGTTAAATTATGCGTGATGTATTCACCTTCATTCTCGCGTTGAAAACTCATTGCGACGGGATTCGTTTTCCCTTGATTTTAACTAACGTATTTACTCGTGTTCCACGTGCTCTTCGCGTAAGACACGCACCCCAAAGTTTCCCCTGACATTTTGATAGATTCTTGTCCAGAGTAAGACGCGCACCCCATTATTAGTGACTGAAGAACGACGATACTGTATTTAAAAAAGACACGCCATAATTCAAAGCCGAACATGGATCATAATTCAAAGCTGAACATTTAATTCAACATGAATTAAACCTGAATTAAATTAATTTCCAATTGTTTTAAGTCAAAACTGTAAACGAAGTTCCTGTCTAAAATTTCTTATTTCAGTTTATTCAAGTGTGACGCGCACTTGAACTTCTAATTTTTTTATCCCCGCCCATGACGCGCACTGCCTTTTTTCCTCTTATAAAGAAAAGGTGCGCGTGGTGCTCAAGTGAATACGGGGATATTCGTCGTCATATTGAAGGCCCGAACGAATTTATTGCCCGATTTCCCAATGAAGGAATTTAACTCGTATTATTTTTCCAGGGCCAAACAAGCACCAGTCAGCTGTGACGTGCCTGCAGTTCAACGGGAACTTCGTGATTTCGTCGTCGGACGACGGGACGGTGAAGTTGTGGGACGCGCGAACGGGCGAGTTTGTGCGGAACTTGGTGATGCTGGAGTCTGGCGGCTCAGGCGGCGTCGTGTGGCGCATCAAAGCGTCCCGGACGAAGCTGGTGTGCGCTGTTGGCTCTCGCAATGGCACCGAGGAAACCAAGCTGCTTGTGCTCGACTTCGACGACTACCCGGATCCCATGTTGCGGATGTCCACGCTGCCGGCGGCGCCGCCACCACCACCAACACCGTCCTCCGTGGCGGTCGCCATAATGGACGCTGCCGAGGACAGTAGCTGATTCAAGGACGGAGGTTATCTTTTGTATCTTTCCGTCTGTCGGTCGTTCGCATTAAAAGAAAATCACGCTGTGGGCTGAATGTTTCGGCAGAATACGAGGTGATGTTTGAACAACGAGGAATTCCTCCGCTGACTTAGAAAGTGACCAAAAGTATGTATCTTTTTTCTTCTGGCTTGGCGTGAAATCGAAATCCCATTGATGTTCATGGATTAGAATAATGATTCAATGCTTCACCTGCGGAAAACTCTTCGACGTGAAGTTCCCAGTGTTTGTTCCGTAAAAAAAAATTCGGGGTATTACTGAGGGTTCAAAAGTTTTGTCAGTACAATACCTCGGTTCCTTGGGTACTGGATTTTGAGAGCCAGAATTCTCCAAACTTTCGTGAAATAAATAACGAGTTTTGAAGATTTTTCATCAATTTCAGCACCGACTTGAGCAACTTTTACTCATCAATTGATATTCAAAGCAATCTTCGCGTCAAGTACGACCATTTAATCTTGTTGAAAATAAGCAGCTTCAACCTTTTAAATTACAGGTGTATTGATTTAAAAAAATTAAAATGACCATTAATTTTTCAACAATTTTTTCATGAAATTGTTATTCTTCCCAAGACCAAAATTCAACATTTCTCGTGACTGAATTGTTTTATTTAGCAGGTATAGTTCCCAGCTTCATTCTGACCTGTATGAGATCAATTGGATTTGAGGTAGATGAATGACAAAAAATTTTGTAACATTGAATTAAAGACAAAGCTAGTAGGACGTCTTATCAAGTCGGACAAGACTAACAAAGCTTAGAAATCAGCCCTCTTTTCTTTCAATCGATGTCGAGGTCGCTCAACTTATGGACAAGTTTTTAATTCCCCGAAAATGCTTTCCAAGAAATTGAAAAAGAAAGAAGTGCGATGACTTTTTCGCGTGTTGACAAGCTCAATGGAATCAAGTAATGCTAATTTTATTGCGGAAAAACTTCAGCACTTGAACGTAATTCGGGAATTTTTCTTCACCAGCATCATCATTTTATTGCTGTGGAAAAACTCATTTATCGTATCTCGATGAAAAAATTCTCGCAGGAGGACCGGTTTTTCTCTTTCGGGGGAAATATTGAAAGTCTTGTTATTCAAACGCCCCCTCTTGTTTTGCGTGATTTTTCGGTCGTGCTTCGAAAGTTCGAACGAGTTTTTTTTTCCCAATGTTGATAGTGGCATTTGTTTTTTTTGTGTTTTTTAAAGAAGCGAGCAAACGTGCCCTCTCCTAATGATTCTTGAAAATAGCATCCCACTATTTCTTGGATCTCCAAAATTGTACGTAGAAAAAAATTATGATCGGATTCGGGAGTGTGTACGACGAGATTTTTATCGCGTTACACTGAAAAAGCTACGCCAGGTGGTTACGGATCAGTTCTTTTTCGATTCAATTTACCGTTACTTGAATATTTTCTCGCTGTTCAAATTGAATGCTTGGCCAGGTGGTCCTCCGGCGAAACGAATTATTATTGTAATCAGATTGCTCGGAACTGTGAACAAGTTGTATTAAGAAAGTGGCGGTAAATTGAATTGATGGAGAACCTCAAGGGATGTCCTCGTCGGTTGCATGACAAAAAACGATTTCGATGTGATCATATTAATCGTCCGTGATCAGCCGATTTTTTTTTCTCCTGGACCAATTCTTTCGTTCTTTGACTTTGAAGTGGAAACTTTTTCGTGAACGCGATTTTTCAGTGGACGACGCCTGACATTTTTTCTGCTTTCACTCGTTCTTTCACTTGGTCCAGTTGTATTCGAATGGAGAGGCTTGCGTGAAGGTTATTGTGAGTGTCGAGAGCGCGGATTTCGCCGGACGATTATGGCACGAAACAAAAATCTCATCGACTGTGTGCCTAACAATTACGCGCGATTGCGTGCGACACTTTCTGCCCGTCAGAAAACTTCGGATTGTCTGCTATTCTGACGTACGGGTTTTTTAGTATTATCGTTTTAAAAAATATCGAAAAATTAAGTACATTATCCTTTTTCAATTTTTATGAGTTCGGAAAAGTGTCCAATTTTTTTTGAAAAAAAGGTGAGAAAAATGAATGATATTAAAAAGCCAAAAACGGTGTGTGGATGATTTGGAAATTCGTGATGTGAATATCATGATTCATTTTGTAACTACAGATTTTTGAACTCTTTACAGGTATACTTGAGAAGTTTTTGGTTTGATCGGGAAAATCATTTTTGAAGATGCCTTTGCAGCCGCGTACGAGGTGAGTTCTGGTGTATAGAAGAGAAAATTGTACGCAGTAATGATGGTCTATTTTACTGTTCAGTTACGCGGTGCGGAAGAAACTACGGCCGTTCTACACCGGTGGAAATGTCGAGGTACTTTACTTGAGTCCTACATTAATGAATTTTGTTGTGTGAAGTGAAACTTTGATCAAACTTACTTGATCAAGCCCGTTCGAAGTTCAAATTGCCCAGAAAAAGGAAAAGTACTGATAATTGCCTGAATAACGCCTTTTTTCCGCTTAGTTTCTCATGCCAGTATGCAGGTGTCCCTTGAGGTTCATGAAGTTTGTTCAACCGAAGTTAAGTTCCATAATGATATTTTCCGACAGCCATTTTTTTAATGTTCAACACTCCACTGTAATGAGTAAAACTTTTTATTGAGGGCAATTTTGTCAGATTGATTCTTTCTGTGACTTTTCACATTTGCCTAGAATTCCATGTACAGTAGCTATGTCGTTGTTGAATTATGCAAATTTTCGATCTACTTGAGTCTGTGTTTTTTTATTTTTTTCCTAACACTGTACCTCGGTTTTAGTGGGACACCGAGGGTTCGTATGTAGTGGCGCAGTCTGGAGACGCCGTGACAAAGGTTAGTCAGGCAACAGGAGACGAATGCGGACGATTCCAGGTGGAAGAAGATCCTGTTACGACGTTTGTCCTCAGTCCTGAGCGGGAATTCATCGTCACTGCCCACAAATCTGGCTTGTTGCGACAATGGAAGTACAGTGGTGAGATCAGCTTAATTATTTCCTTTTGATCTATCATACAGTATTGTTTCTGTAAAATTATTGCCCTAACTCAAGTCTTTTTTCCCTTCTGTGCATCATTCATCAGACGGAGAGCAGTTAAGAGTATGGAAATCGTTTCACACTGGTCCGATTCCCGTGCTGGCCTGTGAATTCACGTCGACACTCGTGGCATCTGGCGGCAGCGACTGGCGAGTGAAGGTGTGGGACGTTGTGCGGAACTATTGCACGCACAATCTTAAGGGTTGTCGGGGGGTCGTGAGCGTCGTGATGTTCCACAAGCCCGACGAGAATTCCCCGATTCGTGTGTTCGCCGCCTCTACGGACAACTCCATTCTCGGCTGGAATTTGAAAACATCCTCCGACCCGGAAATCACTCTGGAGGGACACATCTCCACCGTCACTGCGATCGAGGCTGCACCTGATCCGGACATCCTCGTCTCGTGAGTTTTTAGCAGAATATACACTTAGCTAGAATAATATCTTCACACATGTAAAATTTGTCGTTTTGGAATCAATGTGTGTCGAGCAGAGTTACTAGGACATTTCATGCAGAATTAGAGGGGAAAAGAAGAAATGTAAAATATTGCGCCCATAAAGAAAAGTGGAGGATAAGCGTCTCCGAAGTCGAAAATATTCAAGATTGAATGACGCTAAAAACGAAATTAATCCCCTTCATTATTCACCTCTATTCGTAGAAATATCTTATGTATTAGTGCTTTGTTGGGCTCGATTTTTTTTTTTTGAGAGAGAGAGAGCTGTTGTGTACTGTATTTCATTTGCCCCGTGTTGTGTTGAGATGCGTAGTTTTTAGTCTCACTCAAATATGTATTACTGGATTGAAAATAAATTCCGTAGTGTTAGCTGGATTAGGTTTGTTTTAGTCAGCAAACTCGGAAAATTCGTCGTTTAAAGGTCTAAATGAGTATATATTTTTTCTAATACGAATAGATTACAGTACTATTTTCCCCATCTTCGCAGGTGTTCGAGAGACGGCATCATTCGAGTATGGAAAATTTCAGAGCAGAAGGCATTGAAAGCGATTGCCGCGATGGAGTCTTTGGAAGCATTGAAGTTCCTTCCGCCTGGTTCTTTCGAGAGCACGAAATTGCGGAAACCATTTTTCGTCACGGGTGGCTCAAGAGGTATTTGATGTTCAATTTTAGTCCCAGAATTTAGTTTCCACATTTGTAATATGCTTTGAGATTTCTGACGGAGTTGTTGCCACGATCTTGATGAGATTGTCGTTCCGAAGTTGCAGTAGTACAGTACAGTACTACAAAGGTAAGCGTGGCAGCCATGAGACCTGGCTTGGGGACTCTTCCCGAATTCCACCTTCATAACGCAATTCTAGATGTCGCTGCTCCGTTGTGTAGAAATATTGTAAGTCAGGTTAGAATCTGCCAGCTAACCGAAATTTAAACGCAGCGTAAAATACTGTACTGTAAAAATTAATTACCTGTTAAATAACTGTAGTACAGTGGTATACTCACGATAGGTCTCTAAGATGTAATGCCAATTTTGCGATTCGCAGGATCTCTTCGTGTATGGAGCTTACCAGCCGGCAAAATAGTTGGCAGACAATCCATATCTGCATCTCAGAATGAATCGGAGGATCTTCCTTCACAACAAGAAGGCCCGGGCATCCTGCGTCTGCAGGTGACGAATAGCCCAGATGCAGGATATGAGCTGCAGGCCGTCACGGTCGATCACAACCTTCTGACCTATGATCTGCCCGGGTTCGACCTCAGGGGTCGTCTCGTGGGGTACAATGATGAGATATTGGACGCCAGATACGTTGGCAAGAAGGACCAGTTCGTGGCCGTGGCGTCTAATGCGACCATAGTGAAGGTGTACGACGTGGAATCGACATCTTGCGACTTTCTCGAGGGTCACACGGATTCCGTAATTTGTCTCGGGCGTTGGGCAAAAATTCCGAACCTTTTTGCTTCAGGATCGAAGGTTTGCATGACTACAGTACTTCATTGTTCGTGCTTGATTTCGATTGAAATTTAGTTGATGAATAACCCTTCTAAAAGCTGGTTTCAATGTTACTTTTGTCGAGTTGCATAGTTCAAATTTGGCTGTGCAAGCATTTATTTTTCTTTTTTTTGCGTTCAAAAATCTTTGTGAAATATCCGTCTGTGATTGCAATGACAATTTTACAGACATTAGTCACTTGCATTGCATTTGCTTTGGATTATCCGTATTTCCATGCGCACCTGGTTACTTCCAGCTATATTCCGAATTTTCAACGTTGTTTTTAATTACAAAATGAGTTGTCTGTAGGGACCTTTACCGAATATAATTCGGAAAGAAAGTTGGAATTGATCTATAATGTTGACACTTTTGAAGTCAGTCAAGGCTTTGTGATACATACAGGATAAATCCGTACTGGTGTGGAAATATTCTAATGAAGAAATGCCTGATGGCGGACGACGAAAGTGGTTCAAGTGCGCCGAAGCCACTGGCCACACTGCATCTGTTTCCGCCTTGTGTTGCTCGCATGGTGCCGGTGGCGACAGATTTTGGCTCGCGTCGGCGTCTGAGGACAACACCATCAAACTATGGAGTATGAAGGAGGTTCCTTTAGGTAAGTATTTTATTTTATTTTTACAGCCCGATTAATAAGGACGTAACTATCAAGCGGTTTCTTGTACTGTATTGTACTTGAATTAAGATGCTCTTGTGTTTCTCACTTCTATGCTCCGTGTCCCGGACGCTGTGCTTATGTTGATACCGTACTTGTGTACGTGTCGCCTGATTCTTGCTTTTTTTTCATTACGACACGTTCCAGTTGGGTGACACGTTTTTAAATTCATGATAACGATGAGCGAATTAAAATTTTGTTTTTCACTTCAGTTTGCTGTGTTACCGTATGTTTATTTGAGATACTGTATAAGCTCTTTCGATTTTCTGCGGAGTTCTGTGATTTTCGGTCAAATTAGGGAATTCCAGTGTTCGAAGTTCAGCGTGGAAAGTAAAAGATCTTGCCAGTTCTCTGCCAGACTAATGTGTAATTTTTTTTAAATCATTCTTCAGGCAAACAAAAAGTAAAGAATGTTGTGACATTAACTGCGTTGCACACGGAAATTGCTCACGACAAAACCATCAATTCAGTGTGTTTCTCGCCGAACGATGCCTTGCTTGCGACTGGTTCTTTGGATCACACTGCTAAGGTGAGTCATCTTCTGTCATTTTCAGTTTGTTACGTGATTTACGGCGTTAAATTTCTTCAAGTGCTCTCCATTTCAAACTCTGTGTAGGTAATCATGGAGTATTTTTATATGTACCTTTTTATACGCAGCTATGGTCAGTCAATGAAAATCACAAATCTGGCTTCAAACTTCGCGGCGTCTTCAGAGGTCATCGTCGCGGGGTGTGGACGACGGAATTCTCACCGGTGGACCAAGTTTTAGCAACTGGCTCAACGGACTCAACTATTAGACTTTGGAGCATTGCAGATTTTTCTTGCCTGAAAACGTTTGAAGGACACGGCAGCTCCGTTGTGAGACTTGCTTTTATCAACGGTGGAACTCAGCTTTTGTCCGCGTCCGCTGACGGAATGATCAAAATGTGGTCGGTCAAGACTGCCTTGTGCAGTCTCACATTGGATGAACACGAGGATAAAATTTGGGCTCTTGATGGTAAGCTTCAGGGGATCGGTGGCCCCTTGATTTGCTTTGTGAATTTCCTAAACATTTTTCTCACTCTTCCTCTTTTATTGAGTCGTATACAGTATAATCAAGAACTGCGTTCAGCTCGCCATTATGAAATAATGAGATTCATTGAGTAATCAATTAATTTTTTCCTTTAATTCGTATAAAATTGTAACTTTAGAGGAAAATTTCATCTGTTCATCTAAAGGTAGTCTATTTATTGGGCCAACAAACTTGGATTTTTTTTTAAACCAAAAATTAATTTGTTAAATTTTTCGAATCTGTCCAAAAAGTTGCTGTTCTTCTTCGGGCAAATTTTGGCACTGCTCTTTTTGTACAGTCGAACTGGTATTTTCAGCTGAATAGATTATTTCCTATCATTACGTATGCATTCATCATTTTCTTGTCCCAAGTAAAGAATTTACTTTTTTTTTTAGTGAACGAAAGCGGAACTGAATTCGTGACTGGTAGTACAGATGCGACTTTGATCCTGTGGAAAGACGATACAGAGGAAAAGATGGAGAAGCAAGCGACGGAAAAAAATTTGCGAATCGAACAGGAGCAGCTTTTGGCAAACTTGCTGCTGGATGAAAAATGGTTGAAAGCGTTGGGCTTAACGCTTACTTTGGAACAGCCGTTTAAAGCCCTGACAGTCATTAGAGGTGGGTTTTATTAATTTTCTGTTTTTCTTCGAGGAAAACACTTGAAATGATTTTGAACCCATTTTTTCAACTGCCTTTCAGCTATCATGAACACAGGTTCTGGAGAATTTACTGAACTGCGAGAAACGTTGGGCAAGTTGAAAGACGATCAGATCGCGGTGCTCATTCGGTTTGTTTCAGTATGGAATACGAACGCGAAGAATTATTTCCCTGCACAGGTGAGACGTGAACTTCAGCTTCCCATCCTCTAGATGCTTTGAATGATTAGAGGTGACATTTTTCATGTTGAAGGAAAATTTCACAAAATCGGATGTTTTTGGAATTCTACATTCTTTGGGAGATGTTAAATGTATTAAAACGGCGGAGAGTATTGGTAGAAGAGTTTGAAAAAAAATCAAAACGATGATTCAGTTTTTGTAGAACTGGTGGTGTACCTTTTTTTTACTGCATGCTAAAATCTAGCACACCTTTTTTTACGTAGAAAAATGAAATAACTGGATGGAAATACCGTAAACTTTTTTTTAACAATTTATTGATTATTCACTGATGTGTTTATTGGTGCCTTATTATGTTCTTGTGTTGACGTCGTTTTTCGCTTCGCTGCTTTTTTCCTATACACGCGGTTTTGAAACGCGCAACTGTCTTGGCGGCACCGATCGTTGCCAAAAAAGTTGATAATTAATTTGTATTCATTGACCATTGCAGCTGACATTGAATATTTTGTTGAAACAAAGAACAATCGAAGAACTGATCAAGTTGCCGACTGTGGCCAAGGCCTTGCCGGGATTGATCACTTATTCAAAGAAGCATAAAGCCAGGTTGGAGAGGTTGAGGCAAGCGTCGTCGTTCATTCGATTCATTCACGAAAGCGTGAAGGTGACCGCCGGAGACGACGTCAGCATTCTTTTCAATCGCGGGTTCGTTTTCCTTCATTTTGCATTCAATTATAATTAATGTGTTCTCGGAAATTGTGAGATCTGTTTTTTTTTTTTTTTTATCTGCAGGAAATTCCTCGATCACATGGACGTAGAGGCTGTGAAAGAAGAACTCGAGAGCGACACTGAATCCGGCGTGGTTGAGAACGGCGACGAATCAGCAGCGGCGTCTGATTCCGATGAATCCGAGGCAGGATCAGATGCAGGTTCAAGCGGAGACGAAGAGCCGAAGGGAAGTCGGAAGAAAGAATCTTTCAACGTGGAAGATTTGGAAGGAAACCTTGAAGCAGGCCCTGATAGTGAAGATGAAGAAGTAAACGTAGCTCCCAAGTGGAAGCAACAACGGCGGAGTCAACCAATCCGCGATCGGGGCACCTGATTGTTTCGTGTTGTTCGAGCGAAAATAAAGCCGACGTTTGACAAAACTGAGGATCAATATCTAGGATTAGGCAAAAGTTTGCCTTATTACGACCGTAAATTACCTGAACTAAAATCCCATTTATTTTCGTTAACTCAAGGAGAAAACCTCTAATACTGTGCTTCCACGCTCTCGGAAAGGAAAAAGCCTTATGAAAATGCCATCTAAGAGTAGCATTAGTAAGTGTGAGGCAACTCGTCTGCTTTTTTGCCGAAGAAAGAGGAGATTTTTAAAAAGAAGCTTGAAGCACAGTCCCCGACTCCGTGTTATGACGATAAAATTGACTGAAAAATGAATTTTAAAAATGTATGTATAATTTTCAAAGATCTAGGTTTTCCTGTGAAAATCAATCTCCAGGTTTTCTGGTTATTTAATGCATATTAATGGGCTATGATCAAGTAAAATTGCAAAGGTTGAAAATTCGATTCTCCTTTATTTTTTATGTATGTTTAGCGCGAGTCTCTGATTTGAGAAGACTCCACAATTTACAACTTCCAGAGTTTTCAAATTGGGGAATTCGGCTTCAATGGGGTAGGTTAATCAATTAAAATTTCCTTTCTGTCAAGATTATCAGAAAGGATCATTGATTAAAGATATTCTGCGAAGGGAAACGCCTAATCCCTACAGTGGAGAGCAGGAAAAATTTGTTCCACTCTTTTTCTCTACAGGTGTTATACGATGTAGCTCCATGTAATATTTAAAAACGCGAAATTTAAGGGAGAAAATTTTGACCCAAGAAGTTTTGATTGAAACAGTTTCAAATTGCATTGTAACTGAAGGAATTGGCAAGGGATCAACTGAAAATTCAAAATTAGAAAGCTTATACATTTATTGAGGTTTGACTAGCACGTCTGACTATTCAATGTAGGCAAAAGTTGGAATCAGTAATGCGATGCTCAGCCCTCGAGAATATCAAAGCTCGATGACTGCAGGAAAAACGTGAACGAACAAGTTGTAGGAAAAACGCGTATAACCCGAAAATATGAGTTCAATATCAGACGTATATAGCTGTCGTTTTGAATCTACGAGAGAAACTTCCACTCAGTTTTACCGCAGCGGATGATGCTTTGTCTAGTTCTGGGGCTAATTTGCCCCGAGTTTCCCTTCCTTTTCGCTGTCAGAGGAGTAGAATCTAAATTTTTTCGGCGGGTAAAAACCGGTCAAGGCCCGCCTCCGTGAATTTTTATATCTCCAGTAACCTCTCAGACGTCGAAATTGTAGACCGGAAAGGATCCATGAATGAGAAGCGAACTTTGCTTCTAGTCCCCTGAGAGCGTCGCTTCCCGACGGAATGTCGGACAGCACAGGCAGGAAGTGAGTTGTGTCTTTCGTCTTCAGAATCTTTTGGGATACGTGTTTTTTTTTTTTCATTTTGAAGCACGGTATGGTTCTCATAATCCAGTGATGCCAGAAGAATTTAATTTAAACTCAGATCGGCTAGGGCTCGAGCGTAGCTTCAATTAACTCACGAACTCCTGTTTGGATGATGTTCCTGTCGAACTTCTCGTGATTGTCTCAGCCTAGAAGGATCATCTTTGGAAAGCTCTCAGGGTTTTCAACACAGCATTCATTTTTCGCATCGCAAATTCGTCAAATCATTTGGTCACGATCGAATTCATCAGGGCTAAAATAGTGAAATGTGCTGGAGGATCGTCGTTTCCGGTATTTTTGTTGTGGACTATGAACTCGGAATTCAAATTTTATTGTCAGATGAAAGTATCGAATACAGTATTGCATGCAGTATTCGGTACGGAGGACTACAGGAGGAAATGCCTCTGTTTTGAATTTTGTGAATGTAAATCTAGAAATTTTGAGGATTGTTTTAGTTAGACAGCAACGTCAATCCGCAATACGAAAACAGCAGACTCTCAGCTATTCCCGCACGATCGAACAAAACTGCTGAGTTGTGAAAGCGATAACGCAGTATGTTAATACTCCCCTCGAGCAGATTAATGTTAGTTATGTTTCTGTATTTTCAAGCGGTATGCCAATAATCTTAACTCCCCGAATCAAAAACTGTCGGTTTTCGGCGCATACGAAGGGAAGTGTGAATCATAATTATGGGCATCTTCAGAGGACGAGATCAAGAAAATCGTAGGATACGATTGGTGGAGGGCTGAAGAAAAGGATGTGTGCTGTTCCCAGCAGCATCCAGGCATCTCATCATGTTCTTCGTAAAATAGCCCAGAAGAATTTAATCAGAAAAGGAAATATATTCGTTACAAACAGAAATATTATCAGTACATGGTTTAATACGTGCGAAAAGGGAGTGCTGTACAAGATATGTGTACTGTACGATTACATAGACTCGGTGAGGATGAGGGATTTCTCACAATAATTTTAGAACAACCATTCTTGATTTGTATGAAGAAAAAAAATGAGTATAGCATCTCCGAAAGTTGTTTTGGCCTTGAAAAACCGAGAAAATAAGGAAATCTCGGAACGCGAACAGAATTATGATCATGCTGGAGGAGCAATTTTTGTAAGGAATTGAATGAATTATATTTCATGGTGACTCATATGTTGCTGAATGTGACGTCTATTTCAGAGCTTATATTTACTCGAAACACGCACCGATAGAAAGTGTTATTTCTTTTTTCTCCAGGGAACACCAACATGGCGGGTCAAAAACATCCACATCAGGGGACTCTTCTGCCACAAGCCATGGCGCTAGCAAGCCGTCCGTGGTGCAATCTGCACGAAAATATGTGCACTTGGTGCTCAATTGCCGCACGCAGGAGGCTGAGGCACTTTTCAATTCTCAGCCCAACAAGATCCAACTTCTACTTGTCAAGGGATTCTGCGACGCTCTCGTGAGATATCCGGTTTAGCGCGATTCATAGTGCATGATTAACGTGACTTCGGATTTTGAATTGAAGATCAAAATTCAAATTTTTTGAATTCATTCTAGAATGGCTGCTTAACCTTTGAAGATACGGTAATCAAAAGAGCCATGAGTGAGCTGAAACAGGTAGAAGAACAAGCTTTGGCAATGCATAAAGGAAACCGAGGTACGCTAGGAAGAATATTCAAGAAGCAGTCGAAGAACGACCAACCGGTAAGACATTTTGCCAGCTTTTTGATCGTCCTTCTCGAAAGGAAATCAATCATGCACAATTTCTTCTACAGGCTCTTCCGCCAGAAGAAGTATTATACCGAGAGCTGATCGCTGCTGATTGTCAGATTCTCCAGGCTGTTCTCACATTTTTGGGACAGAATTTGCAGAGTTACATCCGAGGCGGTTGGATGCTGAGGAAGGCTTGGATACGGTATCAAGACTTGTTCAGCAAATTGCGAGCCATGTGCTGCAAGTTTCTGGGAACTCATGGTATATTTCATGAACATTCGAAGCGCAGTAATCACATGGTCGTGGAGTTTTACTCATTTTTCCATTTTAATGTAATCTTATAAAATCTGTTCAACTTGATCTCAGAGTTCACATTTTTACACATATCACTTAAGTGAAGTGAACTTGTGAAAATTTAGTTACCGTAAAATCTGACATTAATTGTTAATCCATCTGCTCTAGAGTCTCTAGGCAATGCATACATATATGAACAATTTTTCATCTCTATTTCGCATACTCCTATATTTTCCTACTTCGAACGACGTGAATATTTATTTTTTTTCGAACTACGTGAATATATATATATTTTTTTGGGCCGTAGATAATATCTTCGAATTTAGCCGTTTTTTGAGCGTGAGCATCGCTGATTCGCTGCGGGGGGCGGCTGAGCGCGAATGAGCACTTTTTTTTCAGTTTTCTTCCTTCAATAAATTTTAAAACCTGCTCAGATTCATCATTAATTTATTCTCATTTTCGGCCTGCGTTTCTTCAAGGAAATTGAAATCTGAATGTTCGCTTCACATGCGTTTCATTTAAAAAAAACCGAATTAATTTTTTAAAACGCTTTTCAGGTCAGAACATTCCGGAATTTCTCCGCAACGAACTCACGACTCTCATGAACATATCTCTGTCTGATGCCGCACCGGACGATTCCGCACCAGCTTCGGCTTCCTCGTCCAAGAGCCAAGTGTTCCAGGATGGAGGCAGTGACATAAACGACGAGAACAGCAACGATTCCGCGGATGACATGAACTTGGAAGATGACGAGATCTACGACCTCACGGAGCTTGTCACTCAGAAAACGTCAGAGGCTGAGAAGGCCGGGAGATTCGACAAAGAATACGGGGATGTGAGAAAAATTCGCTCTTGTGACCTGTGCCAATTTACTAGTCTGTTCACGTTGCACTAATTCAGCCTTGAGAAATTCTACTCCGGTCCATGTCTGAGTCATGTCTTTATAAGGTCCTTGAATTTTGTTCAAGTCTTCCATCTTATCAAGATGGCGCTCGATATGAGTGGTTCAAACGAAGGAATTTATACTGTAGTACAGTACTGTACTGTAAATTCACGTTGGACGTACAGTTCGGAGCTTCGCCTTTGGTTGCTTAGGTGCCTTATAGCACAGGGTACCTGGTTCAGTTAATCTACATATTCCTAATGAATGTTTCACGTGCTGATGGGTACATGTCACAAAATTACTGTATACCTTTTATGAATGTTGAAAAAAGAGTAGCCCCAATTATGCTATTCCCTTCGTAGTAAAACTGTAAAGCAAAAATTCACGAAAACGTCAGAGGCGGACATTTTCTTGCGCATCTTCTTATTTTTGCTGAATCCCGCGAAATTTTCGGAAGCTGTTTACTGTGATTCACTCACCATATGCAGAAAAGAGTCGTAATTTTTTCTTCTGAAATTTCTTATCAAACTTTTTAAAATCTAAAGTATGTGTGCGAATTCCAGGTCCAGATTCCATCAGAACTGGAAGTGAGCAGCATCCTCAGTCAGAAGACGATTCGCCGTCTTATGATCATGGAAAGAGTGCTCAGCTCGTCAGTGCCTAAGCTTTCGTCCCCGACATCTTCCGCCTCTCCGGCAAACAAGCTCCGAGAGACTCGTTCCGAGTATTATCCGAAAACGCCGGACTTGTCGTGTGGCACACGCGTCAAGAGCATCAGCGAGAAAACAGTGAATGGCTTGTACCACTCGATGAATCCTAGTGCTTTAATCGGGCTCGTGTCTGCTGTGTGTTTCGGCTATGGCCTGCTTCAAGTCTGCTTCTCCATGATCCCTCCTTCTCTGACGCGGGTCACGAGGATCTTGGGATTCCAGGGAAACAAGGAACTTGGACTAAGATGCCTGAACTTTGCCTCTTATGGACAAGATATGCGAGCACCCTTCGCACTGTGAGTTCCGATGAGAAAATTTAGTTTTATATACAGTATTGCATACAGCAGTATTAGGGTATTTTTGAAATTCCGGGGAAAGATGAAAAATCCCTGAAATCCACCTCTGAGCGGATTTCTTTGAAAGAGAATGTTGAACTCAATTCCAGTCTCGAAAGACAAATTAAATGACATCTGATAAAAGGACCGATCAAATGTGTTGTAATAAAATTGAGTTCTGCGATGGCGGGGATAATATGATGTGGAATATCACTTCATGGTAAATACATACCGAACATATTTATGTGTGATATCAATTTTATGTTCGAAATAAATTTCGCGGGTAATCGATTGGTATAATGACATCTTTTCAGTTTTTAAATGTCCGCAGCAATTCCAAAAATGGTCCTTATGAATAAGTTGTACGAAATATTGAAACCCGACGCAAATAAACGAACTGCGTTATTTAAGCCTCGGGTTGCTGTGGTATCACCTGGTAGCGATGCCATTCCTGGCTTTGGAGATGAATTCATCAATTGTTAACGATGAAGTCCGGGTGTTGCTCGGGCGAGCGGAACAGGAATACGGAACATCTCCCTTCTTCATGTTCTTCCAAGCGAGGGCTTGTCGTCTTATGGTTTGTGGGTCATCATCATTATTACTAAATAAATAAATGTAGATAAATATCCATCATATAAATTATATTTTCATAGTATGTAAACAGCAGGTGATAAATGAGATTAAGCATTGTTTTCGCATTTTTGATATCTGGAAATTTTATGAGGGTTTTAGAGCATTCTTTTTTGGGTGGAAGTGCAGCCTACCCACGAATGAGTACGACCTTTTTATTTTTTTGCAAAAACAGATTTGCGAATCTTTTTCGTTTTGGATCAAGATTACGAGATACAATTCTATTGACAACCTTTCAAACTGGGTTTTTACCCAGTGCATTATTTATCATTATTACAGAGGTGAATTTTGCATGATAAATACAGTATTATTAAATATCTTCTTCGTCATTTTTTAGACTCCCTCTGATGCTTAGTGTGCAGGAGATGAGTTATTTTTCTGAGTGTATTGGTTAGAACGAATTTTGTCCCAATAACGTATCCCAAAGACAGAATCTGCCTACATAATGTACAGTTATTTATGTTTGTGAAAGCCGATCATAAATAAAAAAGAAAATTTCTTAAATATATAATTCAATGCATGTGCTGTACTCAAAATGGAGTGCTTGATACAGTATTTATATTCCAGGGTGAGGTGGAATGGGCACTTTCATTGTACAACCGGGTGATAACGTCCAGCAAACGTGAGGATTTGAGTCGTTTGTGCAGCCATGACATTGGATGGTGCCACTTGAACAGACTGCGATGGACTGATGCGTCATCTCCCTTTCTGATGCTGAAACGGGAGAGTCAGTGGTCGAAGTCCTATTACGCGTATTTGTCGGCGTGTGAGTTTTGCCTTTTTTCATTCAAATTAATGTTAATAGACTGCGATGGACTGATGCGTCATCTCCCTTTCTGATGCTGAAACGGGAGAGTCAGTGGTCGAAGTCCTATTACGCGTATTTGTCGGCGTGTGAGTTTTGCCTTTTTTCATTCAAATTAATGTTAACTAAGTCATAAACGATTTTATCGTCCTTGTCCGGAAAAACGTTTGGAGTCAATGAGCAGCAAAGTTTCAGAGAAAATGAAGACTGCTTTTGCGATGAAGAACAACGTTATAAGAACAGGAAAATTATTTTCAAGCGAATTTTAGTCGAATGTCCTTGTCCGGAAAAACGTTTGGAGTCAATGAGCAGCAAAGTTTCAGAGAAAATGAAGACTGCTTTTGCGATGAAGAACAACGTTATAAGAACAGGAAAATTATTTTCAAGCGAATTTTAGTCGAAAGTACTCGGTTTTGCTCATGATGTATTTGTGTGCGTGGCATAACGCAGTTCTTAGACTTGAAATATGTAGGTGAGAAATTCACTCAGAAACAGGACGTGAGATTGTGACAAGTAATTATTTCTGCCTTCATCGATTGATCGCGTTTGCCTAAATTGAGAACTTCATTTAATTAGATTCTTGTTCTTTTTTTCTAGTGATATTTTGAGAATTACAGATTATTTATTCCTGCCTTCATTGATCGATGTTGATGAATCGGAGGGAGGAAATTTGGAAAGGAGCCCTTGTGTTGCTTTTTTCAAATTTTGTTCTGAAGAGTAAGTTTCTTTTTCGAAATGCGCATTTTGCCATAAAAGTCAACTTTTGCCATAAAATTTCCATAATATTGAAGATGATAGAATTCAATTGGAAGCTTCTCAAAATTATATTTTCACCCATCCAATAAATATACTGTACACTTGGTTCAAAATTGGGCAATTTTTTGTACTAAATGTTATTTTGAAAGCGTTATCAATGATTGATGTTATAAGTTCACAGGTTATTTCAACAAGGACAATTTAGGTTTTTTCCAACTTTTTCTGGTGCATCACAAACAAAAAACATGATTCAAAAGATTGATCAGATTTCAAGTTGAAGCTTTTTTAAATTTATGAAGTGACGGTCGGAGCCCTTGGTGATGACAAGAGAGCTCTGGAACTGGCCCAAGAAGTACCGACGTTGATGAAGAAGAGAAATCCTTTGGAGGCTTTCATTATGTTCAGATCCAAGTGCATTGTGAAAGGAAGACCCACTTCGATGCAGATCAAGGTCTACGTTTACGAAATCTTGTACTTGCAAAACTGCTTCCCTTCGTGCACGCCCGGAAACCTGGAGTTGATCATGAATGGTAAAAGCCCTCTCCTTTTGAAGATAAAGTATGATTCAAGATTCTCTCTCTCTCTATAGTTTGTTGGGTGCACATTTTTGGAATTTTTTTTTAGATCCTCACACTACTTAGAGAATCTGAAAATACTTGCTTGAGAAAGGAAGATTTCAAAATTCGCCCCTCGTTTGATAATCAAAATAAAATCCAGATTTCAATCAATCCTTGTATTTTAACATAAAGTTTCATGCAACAGATGCAGTTGGATGAAAAAGATTAAACCTCGCGTTCACAAATTTCCTCACAAGATTGAAAAATTACCGCAGTAATTTAAAATCCGACTGAGGGACTTTCTGAGTCGAAGAATATGGCCTGGTTTGTATCGGTTATTCAATTAAGATTATTTTCTGGATTTCTCATTGAGAGTTTATCATTCTTAGATGTCTCAGCAAGCATGCACCTGCGGGAAGTAAGTTACCGAATCCCTCTGAAAAAGTATGAACATGAAAATTTGCTTATATTTTTAGGGTTAGGTGTAGTAAATTTAGTTCCCAGTGTTATAGCACAAGGGATATGAAAATTAGATCCAACAAGTTCTGAGTTATGAGGCTCGAAATTCATTGGTATTAGGGGAATTTTCTGGAAATTTGAGTCACGGCTGATCAACGTACTGACGTCCGACTTTACACATTTACCTACGAATGCAAGTGTAAAACTACTCATTGTAAGAACCTGTGCAAAGAGAAAAATCTAACACCTGACACAAACGTTATGGCGGTAGAACACGGCTAAACGGTGGATTACATGGGAAGCGCTGCCCTGTTGCAAGGACACATAGACACAGCGCAGGGTCACTTTTCTGCTGCCACACACGCTGACATAAACGACAAGGAAGAAAGTTACATCTCGGCTTATGCGTCCTGCGAAATGGGCCACTTGCTGAAGAAGAAAAACGTGCTTTCAATTGCTCGAATTTTCAGCTCAACATAATTTCCGACGCAACACGTTTTGTTTTCTGTAGAAACACGCGGAGGCTGGGTTCATAAACGTCTCTCGACACCTGTTAAAGTCTCCTACAGTGGACCTCGTGGCAAACGTTAGCTCTCAAGTTTCGCAATACGTTCTGTGCAGGAGATCGTTATGACACTTTGTCCACGTCTTTAATGCGTTGCCGAAAATGATCCAGAGTTTTGCACTGGCTGCCAAAGAGGAGGCGTTGAGAAAGAACCAGCAACACACGGAGGGATCTGGTTTCGAAAATGTTCTTTCAGTTCAAGTAAGACAGCTTTATAAAAGGTTTACTACTTTTAACGACTAATTCAACTGTATGTTTTACCAAGGTTGATGTTTGATGGAGAAGAACCTCTCCTCAACAAAATTTTCATTGAAAATAATATGCAGAGGTCTGTCAAATGTGATTTAACTTATATACAGTCATGTATCAATGACAGCTTCTGGAATTTTGAGAGCAATTTCTTCGCAGTAATAACTAGTTATAAGATAGGACAGAGGTTTCCACTTCACCTGCGCCCTGTACAGAGCGGAAAGGTGACTAGTGGGAATGGATGATGAAGTTGACAAAAAAGCCTGTTAGTTAGGAAAGATATATTTTTCATCAGGTTTGTTTTTTTAGTGCTGTAATCTTTCGCCAATTTTTCATGATCAAGGCACATGCCTTGCACAGCATCAAGTTTCTCACAATTAATCCTACCAGAAACACTAAAGTTATTAACGAAATGAAGTTAAATCTCATTAATGCAAATATCGTAAAAGTAAAAAAAAAAAACGCGTACAACAAATTAGTTTTCAGCCACAATAAGTTTTCTTACATTTTTTAATGACGAACTTTTTTGTTACACTGATGAATCTTCTACGTCCCAGAGGCTTTTTTCAACAAGATTTTAATGTATGTCACAGCCTGACTTTGACGTGAAAGAAGACCCAAAGCCTTCGAATCTTTTTCGTTTTGGATCAAGATTACGAGATACAATTCTATTGACAACCTTTCAAACTGGGTTTTTACCCAGTGCATTATTTATCATTATTACAGAGGTGAATTTTGCATGATAAATACAGTACTATTAAATATCTTCTTCGTCATTTTGTAGACTCCCTCTGATGCTTAGTGTGCAGGAGATGAGTTATTTTTCTGAGTGTATTGGTTAGAACGAATTTTCTCCCAATAACGTATCCCAAAGACAGAATCTGCCTACATAATGTACAGTTATTTATGTTTGTGAAAGCCGAACATAAATAAAAAAGAAAATTTCTTAAATATATAATTCAATGCATGTGCTGTACTCAAAATGGAGTGCTTGATATTTATATTCCAGGGTGAGGTGGAATGGGCACTTTCATTGTACAACCGGGTGATAACGTCCAGCAAACGTGAGGATTTGAGTCGTTTGTGCAGCCATGACATTGGATGGTGCCACTTGAATAGACTGCGATGGACTGATGCGTCATCTCCCTTTCTGATGCTGAAACGGGAGAGTCAGTGGTCGAAGTCCTATTACGCGTATTTGTCGGCGTGTGAGTTTTGCCTTTTTTCATTCAAATTAATGTAAACTAAGTCATAAACGATTTTATCGTCCTTGTCCGGAAAAACGTTTGGAGTCAATGAGCAGCAAAGTTTCAGAGAAAATGAAGACTGCTTTTGCGATGAAGAACAACGTTATAAGAACAGGAAAATTATTTTCAAGCGAATTTTAGTCGAAGTTACTCGGTTTTGCTCATGATGTATTTGTGTGCGTGGCATAACGCAGTTCTTAGACTTGAAATATGTAGGTGAGAAATTCACTCAGAAACAGGAAGTGAGATTGTGACAATTATTTCTGCCTTCATCGATTGATCGCGTTTGCCTAAATTGAGAACTTCATTTAATTAGATTCTTGTTTTTTTTTTCTAGTGATATTTTGAGAATTAGATTATTTATTCCTGCCTTCATTGATCGATGTTGATGAATCGGAGGGAGGAAATTTGGAAAGGAGCCCTTGTGTTGCTTTTTTCATATTTTGTTCTGAAGAGTAAGTTTCTTTTTCGAAATGCGCATTTTGCCATCCAAAGTCAACTTTTGCCATAAAATTTCCATAATATTGAAGATGATAGAATTCAATTGGAAGCTTCGCAAAATTATATTTTCACCCATCCAATAAATATACTGTACACTTGGTTCAAAATTTAACAATTTTTTGTACTAAATTTGATTTTGAAAGCGTTATCAATGATTGAATAGATTGATGTTACAAGTTCACAGGTTATTTCAACAAGGACAATTTAGGTTTTTTCCAACTTTTTCTGGTGCATCACAAACAAAAAACATGATTCAAAAGATTGATCAGATTTCAAGTTGAAGCTTTTTTTAAATCTATGAAGTGACGGTCGGAGCCCTTGGTGATGACAAGAGAGCTCTGGAACTGGCCCAAGAAGTACCGACGTTGATGAAGAAGAGAAATCCTTTGGAGGCTTTCATTATGTTCAGATCCAAGTGCATTGTGAAAGGAAGACCCACTTCGATGCAGATCAAGGTCTACGTTTACGAAATCTTGTACTTGCAAAACTGCTTCCCTTCGTGCACGCCCGGAAACCTGGAGTTGATCATGAATGGTAAAAGCCCTCTCCTTTTGAAGATGAAGTATGATTTAAGAGTCTCTCTCTCTAGAGTTAGTTGGGTGCACATTTTTTGGGATTTTTTTTCGATCGTCACACTATACTTGGAGAATCTGAAAATACTTGTTTGAGAAAGGAAGATTTGAAAAATCGCCCCTCGTTGATTAATTAAAATTTAAATCAATCCTTGTATTCTAACATAAAGTTTCATGCAACAGATGCAAGTGAATGAAAAAGAATAAACCTCGCTTTCACAAATTTCCTCAGAAGTTTGAAAAATTACCGCAGTAATTTAAAATCCGACTGAGGGGGGGTTTTGGGTGAGTATGGCCAGGTTTGTATCGGTTAATCAATTAAGATTATTTTCTGGTTGATTTATTGAGAGTTTATCATTTTTAGATGTCTCAGCAAGCATGCTCCTGCGGAAAGTAAGTTACCGTATCCCTCTGAAAAAGTATGAACATGAAAATTTGCTTATATTTTTAGGGTTAGGTGTAGTAAATTTAGTTCCCAGTGTGATAGCACAAGGGATATGGAAATTAGAGCCAACAAGTTCTGAGTTATGAGGCTCGAAATGCATTGGTATTAAGGGAATTTTCTGGAAATTTGAGTCACGGCTGATCAACGTACTGACAAGGCTGAAATGTGTAAATGGATGCTTACGTTCACATTTTGATGAGTAACATTCTTGGACACGTTTCTCTTTTTAGATTGTGGACTGTGTTTGCAATACCGCCATCTTGTGCCGATTTGCCACCTAATTCCAAGTATTTGCAGAGAGCTGTGGACAATTTCAGAGGATGTCACCTGGAGCACCGTTTGCAATCGAGAGTTCAAAGCGTTATGCAAGACACGTCCTCTAGCAATACTGTGAAACAGGTGCAGAAATTCGCGTTGCCGAAAATGATCCAGAGTTTTGCACTGGCTGCCAAAGAGGAGGCGTTGAGAAAGAACCAGCAGCACACGGAGGGATCTGGTTTCGAAAATGTTCTTTCAGTTCAAGTAAGACAGCTTTATAAAAGGTTTACTGCTTTTAACGACTAATTCAACTGTATGTTTTACCAAGGTTGATGTTTGATGGAGAAGAACCTCTCCTCAACAAAATTTTCATTAAAAATAATATGCAGAGGTCTGTCATATGTGATTTAACTTATATACAGTCATGTAGCAATGACAGCTTCTGGAATTTTATGAGCAATTTCTTCGCAGTAATAACTAGTTATAAGATAGGACAGAGGTTTCCACTTCACCTGCGCCCTGTACAGAGCGGAAAGGTGACGAGTGGGAATGGATGATGAAGTTGACGAAAATGCCCGTTAGTTAGGAAAGATATATTTTTTATCAGGTTTGTTTTTTTGAGTGCTGTAATCTTTCGCCAATTTTTCATAATCAAGGCACATGCCTTGCATACAGCATCAAGTTTCTCACAATTAATCCTATCAGAAACACTCAAGTTAATAACGAAATGAAGTTAAATCTCATTAATGCATATATCATAAAAGTAAAAAAAAAACGCGTACAACAAATTAGTTTTCAGCCACAACAAGTTATCTTACATTTTTTAATGACGAACTTTTTTGTTACACTGATGAATCTTCTACGTCCCAGAGGCTTTTTTCAACAAGATTTTAATGTATGTCACAGCCTGACTTTGACGTGAAAGAAGACCCAAAGCCTGCTCCTCTTTTGGAAGACCAGCCGAATTTTCTAGAGCAATTGGACAACAATCTTGCCAATGCCTATAACATTGTGAAGCCTCAGCCTAAAGTGGACCTTCTTCCCAGTGGTGATCATACAACTGGCACCAGGAAACGATGAACTCATTCATGCTGTGCTTCCTGTTTTGGTTATCCTTTGTTTTTCGGCGTATCAATAAAACACGTTACGCCCACTTCATAAATAAAACTCTTCTTCCTCTTCCCCCAAAAAACGTATGAATGGAACCCAATGAGTCTAGCGCAACACTTCGAGGCCACCCAATCGGAAAACAACAAGCAAGAACAAGTGAAAAATAAAACCAACATGTTCAATGCAATGGAACGGAAGAAACGATGGATCAGTACAATCTTTTCAACTCGTGCTCCAACAGAAATCTGTAATGACTCTTCAAAAAAACCAACCTAGCTCACATTCTCACGCGAAATCACTTCAAGACAAATCATGATGGAAGCATAACCTCAACACACGGTGCAAAGGAAAAGAGGAAAGCTTGCGACTTGTCCAATTCAATTTTCAGCTTTTACCAATCGTTCCCACAAAAATGGAATGAATTTCCTTCTACTCGAGAGTTGAACAGCTGATTGATCTTGGTTTCACTGAAATCTCTCTGAAGGAAACTGGTAATTTTCTTCAGACTTAAAAATACGATCACGTTAAAAACACATTTGCAAAGAATGAATTAGGAATACTACTTGAAATGAAGAAATAATTTGAAAAATTCAATCCAACACGAAACAATTAAGAGACAACTGGAAAGTAAGGAATCAAGTTTCGGATCCACTACTTTAATTTCACACATTTTCCGAAAGAAAAATCCTACCAATTTTGTGCCTTGCAAAGTTTCTTTCCCCATAACTAATCCTCACCATGGCTACCATCTATGTCTGCAAAATTGTTTCCATCAGTGAAATTACGATGAAACCTCAAAAAGCTAGTTCTCGAAAAAGGCCAAGAGTAAAAGCGAAGTTTTCCTTGAACTAATTCCAACGCAAACACCTCGGGGGGCTGAATACTTCGGACCAAAAAATAAAACACATAAACCCAATGTACAACTTCCTCCTCAATGTTTTCTTTAAAATACAGTTGAAATCAGCGTTCAGATTCCGTCCAGGATTTCTTTTCTTTTTCTCCAGTAAGCTCCACGCATTCACAACAGGACACTTTCCATTATGCCACGTAGGCACAGATGACACGACATACACACATGCCTGCCAGCACAAAGAAACAAACAAAAAAGAAAACAAACCCTCAAAAAGGATAGAGAAGATTTGAGTAAGTCCGACCAGATGAGGGAGAAAACTTGGGATGGAGCTCTTTGCGGGTGCTTCTTATTCACACGAAACTCCAACAGGGCTAACATGTTCGCAAGTATGACCCCATTCAAGCTGGCAACGACAGCTTCTTCCCCTTCAACACTACAAAGAATGAAATAATATTCCGTGTTGATTGTCCATCTTGTGTGATTATAGTGGATAATTTTCGGTTACACCCCCATAAATTAATCATTCATGTTCATATAGACTGATTCATTTTCGTGAGAACATATCTTAACAAAGAACATGTTTTCAAGCACCAATGATCCAAAATTAACAGAATAGCTAATACCGCATAGATGTTCTGCGGATACACTGATCCACTAAAATTCTAACTTAGAGCAACAGGGGATATAATCCAGACTTTTCACCTTTACATGAACACGAACTGGACACATGACGATTTGACTAATGTTTAATGCTTGAACACTAACTTCGCAAAAATGACAATTCTTACACAAGCATGGGACCAAGTCAAGAACATTTCCAGAATAATGGATGTTTGCCACTTTTACAATTTAAAAAAGCATCAATTACTGGTTTATTCACAAATTTTTTTCGTGGTGAAACGCTCTAAAAAAATCAGGTTAAGAATCAGCAAAACTCACCCTTGGTGACGTATAGATAGAAGAAGTCACAGTAGAGCACGGTTTGAACGACGCCAGCAACAATGGCGATCGGATCCCAGAATCCCTCGAAATAGTAGCGGTAGACCCAATTCAACAGGTATAAGGCACGGTAAGAGCCTAGTGCAAACAGATAATGCGACGTGATGGACTCCGCTTCGCCAGTCTTGGACACCATGAACAACTGCGGCAGGATGGCCACGCTCTCCAGGTAAATGCTAAACGTCCACAGAATCTACAAGGAAACATTCAAATTTAATTTCAAAATTATTTTTCAGATCAATTCCCCCACAAATACCGAACTTGAATCGTTCTGAAATTTCGCAAGTTCAGCCACTCCCTCAAGTTATTCTTATCTAAAGAAGACATTCAAGCGTCTGATTTCTCCCGAGAGTGAAGATACACCAACGAAAAGTCGCAATCAATGCACTAACCTCAAGCACGGAGAAATCGTGGTTGATCAGAAGTGACAAACCAGCAACGGGGAGCAACAGGAACTCAATCCTGAAAGGATAAAAAAAAAAAAAATTTGTCATCAAAATTTCCGAAACGGGGAAAAGAGGAAATCTTTACCTGAAAGTGTCGTGGTTGTGATCGTAGGTTGCCTTGAATTTCATGTACATAAGGTAAACGGTCCCCAGAGAGGAGCCCACGAACACGATTTTCATCACGGTGTTATACAACGACACGAAGTTGGAAAACAAGTCCAAGTATCGCGTCACGTACACAATGGCGAACAGGATTTGCGACTTGCCCGACACACCTTGAAAAAGACACGCACTTTATATATATTTCCTCGTAAGGTCTTTTAATTTAAATCGATTTTAAATTTTTATCAAGACTGAATTTCAAATATTTGCCTATACCGTATTTTCTTCAGTAAGACGCGCACCCGAAATTTTCCAACTAAAATTTGGATAAAAATGTTATCAACAGTACGACGCGCAACCCATTCTTGAGACTAAAAACTCAAATACTGCTTTTTGAAAATAAAATGCATCAGGATTTAAATTTTGACTTTAATTGCGATCAATTGAATGTTGAATTTACAATCTTACATCGTTTCAATTTTTTAAATTGTCTAAGAAATTGGGCAAAATTTACCTTTTGGAATCACGTATGAGGTGCACCATCGCTAAATTAATTTTTTCAATGCTCAACTCGCCTCTGACGCGATCCCCTCTTCTTTTTTAATTTTTAAAAGAAATGTGCACATGTTACTCAAGTAAATACGACATTACCTAAAATATTTGCGTCACAGAAACCCGGGGTGTGCGTCTTCCGCGGAGATTAATTTTCTCAAAAATTGTGCGGAAAAAATTAAGGGGCGCGTGGAACTCGAGTAAATTTGGTATTCAGCGATTTCAAGATACGAGGGTGGATCGGGCGTGACCTTGGTTATTTCTAGTTTCGGTATAACGGTATAGAAAATAATAAATCAAGTATTAAGGTTCTGGAATTTTTTTTCGGATTATTGAAAAATAATTATAATTCACTACATACGTGAAAACTTTCCAGTTACGACCAGAGTTCTCCATTAATATGACTGGGTGTTAAAATAAATCAAACCTGCTGAAAATTAAAATTTCCTCGTTGGTTCAATCATCTAAAATTTAGAAAAAATAGTTGAAACAAAAATCTATACTTTTTTTAGCCGACCTGGACAAGCACCTTGTGACATGGGTGGAGAACCCTGGCAATAACTGAAAAATTCTCACTTATCATCTTGCAGTAAATTGAAAAATGTTCGTAAAAATCCTTTGAAAAAAAATCCCAGAACCTGATAACTTCACAAGGTAACAATCAATTTTTTCTAGTCATACCTACTCCATAAAAAAACCAAGGACGTGCACAAGTGGAACAACCCTCGTAAGTCAAATACACACGAATGTATTCGCAACACCTATCGGAGGGGGTAAAAGTCTCAACTCCAAACTCACCAGCACAGGATCGGGTTGTCCATATCTTCAGCAGCAGCAAGATGATTGCCAGCAGATGAGAGAGATCACCAGCAAGTCTGAAGATATTCATGATGCTTGGCAGCCGTGTCTTGCGCTCACGAGGAGAAAATAAAAAAAACACACTCGAACAAACGGAGTTGCCGACAACTGGCCTCGGTACAACCGCAGGGAAATTAAAGGAGGGGAGGAAAAACTAAAAGTAACCAGAAACGAATATCACACGAAAAATCGCGGACGATTTCCACGAGTAAAAATTTTTCTCACCTAGAAATGTCAAGCAACAAGTGGTGGTAAAATCAAAACAGATGAGCAAATTCAAACAGTGAAGACCGGAATAAAGAAATACAAGACCAAAACACGCTCAGTGTTTCAAAATTAAAATCCACATACTTAAAATTTTCGTCGTCGGGGTAGAAAAAAAATTGAACTATTCCTGAAAATTTCCGAAAGCGTAGAATGCCGATTTTCTCTTCACGTCACTAAAACTTGATGCAAGGATCAAGAGAATAATACCAACATCCAAAATGCAAATTTCCCGCAGTCACAGATGTCTGTAGGAAACTTCTTTCCTTTCCCAACAGATTCTTGTACTACGTCAAAGGAAAAATAAAATAAAATAGGGCCTCCTCGTAAACTTGCGGCTCGTGAGACTTTCCAACTAATTCGCACGATTCTCTTCTGCAGTGGATTCATGTGTAACAAGACGCTTAAACTTCAAACCACCCTTGCCTTAAATTATGAACTGCGGAAATAGGGATCCAAGAATTTTTTTTTTCAATCCAAAGGCGTACCAAAAAATTCTACCTGTTCTGCAAAGAAATCCTGGAAAGTTGAACGCGTCCCAAAACCGGTCAAAATATGTCAAGCATGAAAAATAATGAAAAAAACAGACAAGGATTAGAGAATCATAAATAACCCAAGATAAAAGTTATAATATATTGTACTAAATTGTCTATATTCACGAGAATGTCTTATTCAGAAAAATAAGATGTGCCCTTACCAAACTTCACGATTGTACAATGATTTTGCATAACTGTATTACTGTTTTTCGCATTTTCATTCTGCTACTTCGTACTTTCGCTGTTGGGGACTGACGCTACTTTGAGCACACGCGCTAATGATAGTTTCTTCACGAGTCATGTGTTCGGACATGGTGCTTTTCAAAGCAATAACAACTGAGAACTCGCTACAAAAGGAGTACACAACTACTCAAAAGGGACATGATGGCGTCACGACTGCAATAAACAATACAGAAAAGTTTCTTGCACAAGGAATTGGGAGATTTTTTAACTAAATAAAAATTTTTTGAGGGAAATTTCTCAAAAAGATTATCCCAGCCACAAGATGCATAACAAACAACAGCAACGTGTTATCATTACAAAAACTACCTCTTCATTACCCAAAAAAAATTTCCCTCGACTGAAACCGTGACGTCTCTTACCATCAGTCGTAAAGGGGTTCTCAAAACTCGTAGGAAATTCATAAAAATTAATTTCAACGGAAGAGCCACTCAAGCCTTTGTTATGCATTCCAAGTTGATCACCTTTCCCCACGAGTAGAACGTCCATTATTTGAATTCAGCACATAATACACCTGATTCACGAGCCATGAACTCCTTTACCAGCCTATTAATCTCCATTCCCTGCAATGAATTATTTTTTATACATTTTCGAATAATTTTATTTCCCCGAATTTTGATCCCACGGAAAAGCAGAGTTTTAAAGTACCGCACGGAGGAAATTTTTTCAAAAGTTTCAATGCGAAAGGTTCTCGGAACAACTTTGCAGATTCTCTCAGAGATAATGAAAGCGACCCCTCGAACCCGTTTTTAGTGCTCATCAAGTTTTCTCGCTATTCAAGTACCCAGGAATTTATCACATAAATTCAACTTTTATGGATATTCTACGCTAGGGCCAAGCAAAATGGAAATGGGTTTCTGCGGATAACGTCAAAATGCGTTTCCCCAAAATAAATGAATAATTGAATAAAACAGAGGTTCCTTAAAATTATTTTTCGCCTACACCATTAGATATTCTCAAGTGGCAGTTTCACATGAATCCACCGAAGATGAAATTGAATTCCCCAGAGCCGCAGCACACACAGATGGCAAGCTATCGAACGAAGGACTAGACAGATTGAAGGGGAATTTTTCGCAAAACCCATCCTCGCAATTCGATCAATCACTCAACTGCGAATCAAATCCCACGCAAGACGACTGCGTCCTCAACTTCACCCTTCCTAAACGAAACCAATCTTAGTCCCCTACCCCAAATTCCAGCCGCCCAACGCTGATACGAAGCTTTTCTTTTCCTTCGATCATCACCAGAAACGAGACTTTTCTCTCGTTTTCCTTCTCCCGACAACCAAAGAGTCTCTGTTTGAACCGTTCGCCAAAGGTTCGTTTTCGTTTCTCCGCGGAGGGCAATACGGAAAAAAATGTGCATTCCGCCGGGAAATCAACTTTTCAAATCACTTGTCGATTTTCGCCCAGCGGAGAAATTCCGACAAGGGAACTGAAGGTACTGGGTCTTCATCCTGTGACCGGCCGCGAACTCGAAGGTTCCTGTCACTCGTCAGCAAAACCACGTGCCGTTTCAACACTGCTGAACCTGAAAACACAAGAATTGCATAATTAAGATCAGCGAACACGTCAAATTTCCAAGAGCTTTATATTCCATAGAAATTTCTCGAAGTCAACACTGACCAATTCTAAATTCGAAAATACTAAAAATAAATTGATTCAAAGATTTTAAAAATACGTCACATTCAAAAATATTCTTGGGGACTTGAAACAATTTTTTTATTTTCACGAAACAATTCCCCAGAACACACAAAAATACCGAGGGCACCGATAATATTCCTTCAATAATTCGTAGAACGGCAAAAATTAAAAAATCGAACAAGCTCAGAAGGTGTATTCCTGGCTCAAATAAAAGTTGAATTCGCGCACAGTCATAACATTTTAAAAATGTAAAAAATGACAAAGTTGAAAATCGAACGATCTTGGTGTATTCTGGCTAAAATGAATGTTAAATTCGAGCGGTCCTTAAACTTATTTTACTTCGATTTTCTACACTAACTCGCAATGTCATTTTAGATAATTGACTTTTTCTTAAGCTGCAAGTTTTTCACAACACAAAAACCTGAAGTTTATCATTGTTGGTCAAATTTTGGGGGGCCTGGAATCAATCGACCATTTTGAATAGCTTTTCGGAACTCGGGTCATGGACTTTCGGCATAATTACTTATTCCAGATTAGATCAAGACTATTCATCAAAGTCAGCTTGTCAGATAGGCATAAATTAAGGAACAAGTAAAGACGGCTAAGAACTCGACTCACGCGTGCGTCCAGGGCGAGCCGACGGATTATTCTTCGCCACATTTCGACAGCAACTCAAAATAATCTCATCGTTCATTCGATCTGTCTTCGGATCCCTCAAGGTCTTGAACCAAGATCCCCCGTTTCCATCCGCACATTCTCCCATAGACGACCACTTGGACATCAGCGAACCACGTGTGGTGCAAAACCACACACCTCGAGTCGCCTTTTCCAAATACTCGTAGGCATTTTGGCAAGCGCACGACAATTCTTCGCTTCGACCAGTTGCATTATATGCTATATAGCGAAGCTCCTCCATGACTATTAAAATGAAGAAGGGATGCCAACATATTTTCAAGCGTGGATGTAAACGGATATGGCCGCTTCTTACAAATGACACTGGTATTCTTAACCTAATTTTTTTCAGAACTGAAACTGTCTTCAATAGCAAAAATACGAAGAGAGTTTCAAAACAACAAAAGAAAAGGTTTAGGTTAGGTACGGCTGTAAACAAACGCTCCTCCGTTTACTTTCTCCTTTGTTAACTTTGTCAAATTAGTGTTCCGATACTTGCTCAGGTTAATTCAGCATTTTATATTTTCTCTCCTAAATAATTCATCTTTTGAAAATTGCTTTTAGATTCGCTCGATACAGAAATTCTTGGTCTTCTTTCAATTTAATCTTTTAATACTCACTAATTTGTGCACCACACTTTTAAGGTACTGTACTGTGAAAATTTTCATTAGTCTCATAAACAAAGGGGATTAGAATTACAAACCTGGCGAAGGAACTACGACGGAATACGGCAAACCAGGTCGTTCAATGAGTTCTCTCAGATATTCAAAGCTGTCAATGACGCAGTTCGTGTCCGGTATCAAGTACTTCGGGGTAACCTGAAGCTCTACACGTCCTTCTCTTTCCCCCGATTTGACACTCTAGAAATATACACATAAAGTAAAATCTCAAGTTAGCGAAATCAACAAAACAAGGAACATGAAAATAATATAAAGGCAAGGTATTTTACTTGGAAAACAGTGGTCATATCCGCTTTTCGATCAGCAACCCCACGCTTTGATTTTCCACTTGGATGGGACTTGAAGGTCTCGTTTTCAGCTTCCTGCAAAAAATTTCTCGGATGTCAATATTTATTTGTATTCCGTACCAATAAAAAAAGAAAAAACTTGTACATTATACAAGGGCTTACCTGATATCGACCATCGCCATATTCAGCAACCGGAGGTTCCTCGACGTCGATTCTTTTCACAGGCACAACAGAGATGAAAGCATTCGCAGAACTCGTATATTTGATGAAAGGGGGATCCAATCCACACATATACTCGCAGCAAGTTTTCACTTTTGAAATTCTTATGGCGATTTCAGAAGTTTCCTAGAAGGTATGAAAACAAATGCATTAATGAAAAGAAATCTCGGGACGCGTTCAAGAACGATAATTCTTTTCAATACAATACAAAACATTACACGAGCTCGTCAGATCATTTTCAATAAATATTTTCGGCATTTCAACTTCAAGAGCAGACTTCACATTCCAGAACATCGCCTCCCTAAATTACTCGAACAAATCAACTTACATAAATTCACGAATACGTGGAAATCTGGAGACAACCACAAAATACGGATTCACGTACCGCAGCTTAAATTTACATAAATAAATTTCTCACTCGCACGCTTCGCAATAATATTCCAGTTACACGCTTACCTTTGGTACATTGGCATCGGAAAAGACGGGATCAACTGGGTCATGAGAAGCAGACATTGGATAGAATCCCAGAGTCATTTTATCCTCCGGGAGCCAAACGGCTCTGTATCCTAATGGCGAAGCTAAAAAAAATACATATTCTATTCAACGAGACGCAGTAGACCAGAAATGCAATCTTTGCGGTCACCCAACAGTAACGCATCAAAACGCGCTCTTCGCCAAACGGAACAAGAAAAACAAAGAAAACGTCAATCGCACGAAGAAAAATCTAGAATAATACATTCAGGAAGAAGTAAAAAAAAAAGCTTGATCAACTCACCGTCACCATGAGATCCTTCCAATAAAGCGATGTCGTTCACATTGAACCGCTGCAACAAGGTTACGAAATCCGCTAGATTTTGCCACACATCCTTGGACCTGAAACGCAAGTCATTCAGACCATATGTTATTCTGAAATTCTACAAAATAACACCATCAAATTAAGAATATCCTAAAACACCACTCACGTAATGTGATACTGAGGTAGTGGAGGAGCAGGACTCCAAACATTGTCATGGGAGATCAACCAATCACACCAAATCTGCAAAAACGACGAGAATTTGTGAATGAGTTGAGAACATTCTTTCGAACAGAAGACGAAGATATATTTCTTTTCACGCGTTCAAATAAAAGGTGCGAATTAGAAATTAAGTTAAAGTAACACTAAGTCTAATGAAAATTGTCTAGCTATGATATTTCATATTCGAACTGAAAAATCATACTGTACTTTCAATACAGAAATCTATTTACAGTTGAATGAAAACTGTCTAACTTAAGCCAATCTATGTCTAAACCAAAAACATGAAAGAAAATTAATACGCTCCTGAAAATGCAATAATTAAAAAAATTTATTCCAAAATCAGAGACAATCACGCCAATAACAGTATCGATAAAGTAGTTACAAGGCTAAAATTGAGAGGACTACACAGGCATTCGAAAAAAGGAAATATAATTTTAGAATCAAATTTTATGAAAACGAGCTTACTTTGGCAATAGGCAAGTAAACCGTGGAAACGCCGGCGGAAGCCAAGTCTTGAGCTTTCAGAACAGCGTTAGGGTTCAAGGCAGCCACGTCAATTTCAAACGACTGTGAAGAACTAGTTCCAACCGCATTGTGGCGAAGGACGTCGAATAAGTTACAACATGCTTGCTCCAGTAAAACGGACACCATTTCCAACAGTAACATGACAGCGTGCTCGCAGATAACTGCTCTGTGCGCATCTCCATCAGCCATTCCAACTAACCAAACAAAAACAACAGTACAGGAAAATCGTCGACAATTTTCAAAACTATCGCAAGGCGAATACGACGGACTTCAGATACCTTACGATAAGAGCCGATAATTTCTGTAACTATTCATTTGAAAAAATTTACTGCACATGTTAATTCTGTACTCGAGTGATGGAAAAATTAGGATTCTAAAACTAATTTCTCACACACTATTCTTCAAGTCAAAGGATTACAAATCTGTACAATTCTGGGGCGAAAAAATCGGTAGCTCATTGACAAATTATCGTCAATAAATTAATACACCTTTATACTACAGTACTGACCTTTTGGAGAGTTCATTTCGACGGCAAACATATTTAGGATCAAATATTGCAAAAGCTTTTGCATAGTGAATGGAAACGGATCCAACTGTACGCAAGCTCTGAAGAGGCGCATTGTGTCTAAAGCGGCATCTTCGAAAGCTTCAAAACTGGAAAGAGAACAAAATAAATCATTCACGTTTTGCAATTCCCTCGAAAAAGATTTGAGAAAACACCCGCTGACTCACTTGACTTTTGTGAACAACATCCCATGTATCAGCAGAAAACTCGTCGTGAAATCTTTCACCAGCTGAAATTGAAGAAATTTCATCAAGTTCCGTCTTATTCACTTCATAAATAAAATTACAAGGGCCGGTTCAAAAATTTCTTCAAAACCTTGTGCACTAGTGAAGTTATTTGTGCACAGAAAAATTCGATTCTGAAGCCACCTAACCAACGCGACTCAATTGGCAAAACTACAGTACTGTATTGTCCCACCTCTACTTTTTTTTATTGCTGTAAGAATAATCTTCCATTCAAGCCCTAATACGGACAATTTGTGACCAACAATAACGCAGAAAAAATTCAAGGTCGAAGTTCTCTTTCAATATAATCGACTGCAAAATTGTAGAGAAAAATACATTTCACTTCATAAATTTCCAGTTACAGTATAGTGCTGTATTATAAAAAAAAAATTAAGCTCGCCTCCACCGACTTCACAAGAATTCAAGATAAGTACTACACAGTACTGTACATAACTTCAAAAAAGGATGAAAGATAAACAAACCTGAGAACGAGGTACGTTCGTTAACGAATTCCCTACGACAGGCGTATTCTCCACAGGCTGGTCATCGAGAAAAGCTTCATCCGGATGAATCCAAATTTCACCCCGAGACGGTTTCCAATGCTTCACCACAGGTTTCTGCACCGCAGCACTAGCTTCTTTACGACGCTCATCCCACTGAAAACATGAAAGGAAAATTTTAAAAACTGAACGCACCGAAGGTAATATATAGAACCCCGCACACACCTTCCGATGGAGAGATTCGAAAATGTTCAGTAGACTCTCCTTTGCAGATTGGAAAGGATTCACAGTCATCAAGCTTCTTGAATAGTAATAAACGGCGTCCAACTTGCGACCATTGTAGAGAGAAATGTATGCCATCTGGTTGTAACATCGTGAATTCTTGGGGTTCAGCTCCATCGCTTTGACATAATGTCTGGGGGAAGAAAAAGAATGAACCCTTTGAAAACAATATTGTACTCTGGAAAAATCAATCGTCTATTCTTCAGCCTCTTTCGCTTTTCCGCATGACCATATCATCATGCAACATTGAAAAAAAAAATGAGCAGCTAAATGAAAAACCTGAAAAAAAGTGCAAAGTTTGGTTTGATTCGCGATTAAAAAAGCAATTAGTCATGGAATAAAATTAATACTGTAACTGCATTCCACTTCAGTAAATTTTGATGTCTTTCTTCCCTGAAAATTTATTTCCAGAACAGCCGCTCAAACATGGTGTGGGAGGGTTTACAGTCTTTCAGGACTAGAAATGATTCGTGGTACGAAAAATATGATCACGGATTAAACAAAATTAATATCGAACCTAAAATCATATCACACGACCAAAAATCTAACCTTCTCGCAGTTTTAAGAGCCGGGCTGTCCGGTGTCGGCACTGGAGGTGAGCCTTCGCAATGGCATTCCTTGTAACGAGCAAGATCTCCCATGTAAAGACAGATCTTTTGCGCGGAAAGCAGAGCAAGAGAAATCATCCCTGGTCTTAACCTGGCCCAGTTTCCATCGCACCCTTCATCACCTTCGATGTAATCTTCCAGGTTAAACTTATACGTTGATTCCAGAGTTTCAAGTAGCATAGTGAAATACGCTTTGCCCTGAAACAAAAATGTCATTAAAACCTTTTCTATGATGACCTCCAAAACTTTGAATGAAAACTAACTTGATTAATGGTTTCCACAAGAAGTTCCCGATGCTTCTCAACAACACGATCCGGGAAATTATTCTTAGGATCACATCCATGCCGAAGCCACTCAATCACAGAATAAAACACATTCTTCCACAACATCTGTTCCAAGTCATTCGCTTCAAAGAACTTCAAGTCACCAACCAGCAAGGCTTTGTACACACCAAAAAGTCGGGTCCTGGATTAAAACACGAGATCAATTCATTAGATAAACTCCATTCCAAGTTTAATTCGCTCAACTCAACGGCAAATCTTCCTTAATTGGCGTTTGACAGACACGCTCTTTACTTCGAAAAACTGAAGGATATAATTCGTCATGTTATAGAAACATAATGGATAAAAACCGTTACCTCAATTCAGTTGCTTTCCCCCAATCCGCAGCCAAAGTATTGGAGCGACGAAGCGCTTCAAGTTGGGAAGTGCATTGCATTAGGGCGACCAGTGCATTTTGATCAACGCGAGAACTGAGTCTATCGACAGAAAAGAAAACATTTCAGTACTTTCAGCGACCAAAAATAAAATATCGAGCAAAACAGGAGGAATATACAGTACTCAGTATAGTGCGACCTTTTCTCGGGTTTGGCACTTCTGTGTTGTTCACAAGTCTTCTGGAACAGGATTGACCTCAATTTCAAAAATAACCAATTTAACTGAACAACACATGAGATAGCGTCCTTTACGAGTTGCATAAACCTAACTTGACCTGAACTAATCAAATCAAACCTATATGTAATTCCACAAAAAGTTGGAAATTTGGGCGACACTCCTGTACCAGTGAAATTACACTCAAAATACCAGGTAATGAATAAAACAGAACAGCTTCTTCGTAACACGTGTGAAACCGCAACCAAGAGCAATTCAAAATACCTTAGAGAAGCAACTGCGTCCCCGCCACGATTTCAGTTTTACTTTAGGCTCCCTCATGAAACGCAAGACTCCTAGATTCAAGCTCGCGACAAGACAATGGGTCGAGCCAAAAAAACACAGTCCAAACTCTTACGGAAATCAATGAAGCATTACACAGTACTTACTGTCCACTAAACCCAGGGTTTTCGCAAACAGGTATTTGATGAACCGGAAACGGCTGAGGATGCCGCATTACTTCATACGGTGCACTGGCCACGGGTGTCGGAGACTTGACTCCGTGCGGGACCAATTCGTCGTCCACAGGCGACTTCCTGGATTTAAAAAGGGACAATTTTAGAAATTTAGAAATTAATTGCCATGCAAGCGACTCAGCAGGCGAAAATTTGATTTTATTTTGAAAAACGCAACCATGAAAAATGATAAAAGATTAAAATATGCATTCGAAGTCACCAGGCTAATGCATTAATTTGAATATCGCAAGACCACATGCGTGGAAGGAGTTGGCGGAAGTTGCTCAGCGGACAATACTTAGATACTGTATCTACGGGTGTGACCTACCATGAAAAGATATCAACAGGCAATTCGAATGTCATCACTGTTGATAAGTTTTTTATTAAGTAAAAAAGAGAAAAAGCTTCGAAATATAAAATTATATGAATTTAATACCAGGAGTTCCATATTGGGCCTTCTGTTTTCAACCTTCGGCGAAAATAAACAGGAAAACAGTTACGGGCGTTTTTTTCTGCTCCAATAAATTTTAGAGATTCATTTAAATAAAAAGGAATCATAATCAAGATGCCCAGTCAAATAAATGAGAAAATCATTGCAGTGAAACGAGCTTTAATCCGTAATGAACCTCAGCGGAATGCAGAAGAGGAATACTGTATTTTTAGTAGCTAGAAAGAACACAAAAAACATACGTTAAGTGGGGCACACGGATAGCCCTGTTTCGAAAGCATCCTCGGGAAGAACACTTTAAACTCTAAATAAACGGGTGACGCAAGGCCAATCAACCGTTCCTATATACTTATACAGCCGCTGCATATAACTATTAACGAATTGGCGCAAATTGTCACGAGTTCTACCAATATAAACCTAGGACTAACGTACCTCGCTCTTTCATTTTGAATCCGAATGACGAGTGGTTTCTGGGGATTTTTTGGATCGAAAAGTTGCCGAGTGGCTCCCTTCGACACAGGGGACTGAACAATGAAAGCTTCACGTTTGCTCGCTTCCGCAGTTTTTGAGTGCATCTGGAGATCACGACGGGACACTTTCAAAACGCCAACCAAACGTTTTTCGTTCCTGCATCATCAAGAAGTCACGATGAATCGTGAAATCTCGCAGATAAAAATCGGCGACTCACGGTATCTGTTCGAGTATTTTTTTGGTTTCTCGATGAGGTTCTTTATCAGAAGGCTTCTCGCCCCTTTTCCTCCTCTCCCTCTTTTTTCTTTGACGACTCGGTTCGTCCTTGTGTTTCTCGTTAGTAGTTTTCTTAGAGAGATCCTAATTATGAACAATATTAATGTCAATATGAACGAAAACACGAAGAACAAAAATCTGATCTCACCTCAACTTCTGCTTTAAGGACGTTTTTGGCAATTGCATCCTCTACTTCATCACACCAACTCGTTACACAAGTTTCTTTCCTAGGAAAGACAGACACATGACGAAACATCTGAAGTATCTAGACATCTACAAATGAAAGAAAATGAACTTACGCGGGACATTCCGCAATTCCAGGTACAGGACTACATTCGACGCTTTCTTCAAAAGCTTCATGACGTTTCTCAAGTTGCTGACTTCTTAGCGACTCAGTAATGGTCATGTGTCTCACGTCGGACGCCAAGGAACGATCGATGTGATTCAAAGAATTCTCTCCCAGTGGTGCGGGCTTGTCCTCGAGTCTTGACGGACCGTTCATGGCAATTGGTTTTTCGTTACGAACGTTCTCTGCGGATTCTTTGGCTACGACACTCGGTTTAGGAGGGCGGTGATCACGCTGCTTACGACTCCGCGAGGAAAAGGAACAGAGACTTTCACTACTTTCAGACACCACTGAGTTGGTTCGCGAACGGTTCTTCGGGGTATAAGTCATGGTAGGAAAGCCAGATTTCGCGTTTCTATCAACCTCTGAGGTTGAAGGGTACGATTTCCCATCGGTGGAAGTCCGCTTTCCATTCGTTACGCCATCAACCCCTTTTCTGCTCGGATCTCGGGCTACAGGCGGTTTCTTCGATTGTGCAGACTGGTCCGATTCACTAGGCAACTGCCGGCCCTTCGGAACATACAAGGCGATTTCGGGACGTTTTTCACGCCTTTTAGGTCGGTCTTCGTGTTTCACAATATTCTTCCCTTCGTGCAACCGATCCAGCATAGACATCTGTAATAAAATTCGTCGCTTACTTAAAACCTCATTTGAAAGCATGGAAGTACTGCGAAAAAATTCACTGACATGTTTTCAGAAATCAAATCGAAATGATAGGTGAATGTCACAAAATTATTCACAAGATAACAGCAGGAAAGCTTCCGAGAGTACGCATCTGAAGTCAAGCGAAAGCATAGAAAATTTGTGGTTATGGCAGCAATACCATCCACTCATGCTGAACCGAACGAAAACCTGAAGGACTTACATAAGAAACATGCTAAGGTCAATTTTACTTTATTCGCACGATCAACGGAGTGAAGGTTCGACTCAGTCATTACCGAAACTACGAGTTTGATGACAGTAAAATGTTTTTTGATCGTTTACTTCCGCAAGTTCGCAAGCACTCCGCACGGAGAAATCGCGTCTGTCGACTCAGCCTCATTAACGACGACGTCAACGTTTGCCGCAGGATATCCGCCCTCTTGAGCAACGTTAAAGCACGAATCACTTTGATAACGCGATTGCACTCTTTGAATTCATTTCATGCGCCATGACGGGAATTTTGGCGCGCGAAGCAGCACAAAAACCAATTTTCGCTGAGTGCAGGTGATCATCGGACTAGTTTGCTGTCGCGCGTGTTTTTTACCGTAAGGCTGCTCAATCCTGTCTATGATGTCCGAAGTACAGTACGAATAGATGGCAAAATTAATTGAATTCTCGCTTGATATAACAGTCGTCCACATGGTTCATGTAAACGCTGTGCTCGAACACCAGTGTTGTGATGAATAAGTGTTCCCGCCTTGCCTAGGTTCTTTGTGTTCCGATCCACCGCGTATTAAAGCGCTGAAATACAGATAGGAGAACCTGATATTGGAAGAGGCTTCGTGGTGAAAGTGTATCATTCGTAGTGATGACAAGTCCGAGAAGTGATGATCCCATTTCTGAAGCTGACGGTGTTTCCTCACCGTTCAGCCGTGAACACAGTAGTGGAGGACGAGAAAATCCATTTTCTTCTGAAGGTAATGAACCCGTTATTATGATATTTCAACTTTCTTCATATTTTATTGCTGAACCGCGCAGGAGGCGAAGATCTTCCTCCGTTTTCGGATGACAGTGATGGGAACTTATTGCAGTCTGAAGGAGCGTATGCTGATGAGAATGAAGAAGGTGAAGGCGAGGAATTGTTCGGGGATAATATGGAACGGTATGCTTTTTGAAGGAGACTTGTGGTAGTCCTTCTTTAATAGATTTATTCTGTGTGTATGTATGTAGGGATTATCGCGCGAACCCTGCATTGGATCGGTATGATCCAGGTTTGCTGGATGATTCCGACTATTCCGAGCTCTCTCAAGGAGATCGCCGTGCTGCCGAAGTTGAAATGCGACAACGAGATCGCGAAGAAGGTCGTCTTGGTCGCATGAGAAAAGGCCTTTTATACGGTATGTATGCATTGATTTATCAAGGTCATATCACAAGTTATCTTTGTTTTAGACGATGATGAGGATGAAATGGATGTGGATCGCCCGCGACGACGACGCCTCGAAAGAACTTCTGCCGAAGACGAAGCTGCCGACGAGGAGGTAAGGTTCATTTGGTTGTTGTTTTATTGTTGTCATAATCTTTTACATTTATTTTTCAGATGATTGAATCAATCGAAAATTTGGAAGATACTCGCGGATATTCTTTTCCTGTTTGGTTAAGAATGCCTGCTCCTCGCATGGAATGCTACAATCGGTTTAAGAATTTTCTCAAAACCTATGTAAACAAAAAGGGCCAGAACGTTTACAAGGATCGCATAAAACGCATGTGTGAAAGCAATCAAAGCAGCTTTGACGTTGATTTCACGGTCTTAGCTACTGTTGAAAAGGTATGATCATGAATTTTGACGTTTGTGGATATCCCTTGAGAAATAGAAGATTCAAGTCGAGTCAAGTACTTCCCGGAAAAATCCGAATTTTCAATTCGATACTATTAGTTGTAAAATCAGAATTTTAAATAATGTACTAATTCAAATTAGCGTTTTTGGATGATCATTGCGAATGGCTGAATTCCCTAGTCTGGAGGATCAAAACCAGTTGCCAGAAAGTGGTGTGCAGCTGTTGAAAATAATTTCTGACATTTTCCAAAATCGCGTAAAAATAAAGGGAGAATCAATGTCATCATGCCCTGTGATGATTCAAGTATTTCAAGACACACTGCTGTTGCTTAAAAGGCCCATTTGAATGAAAATTCCGATGATATTAAATTGTCTGAATTTTGTGTTTTTGTCTTGCGTCTAGACGTTGGCGTATTTCATGCCCGAGGCGCCTGTAGAGATGTTGGAAATCATGGATCAAGCAGCGAGAGATGTGGTTCTCTCATTGTATCCCAAGTACGACAGGATTCAAAAAGAAATTCACGTTCGCATTGCGGAATTGCCGCTGATGGAAGAAATTCGTTCGTTTCGTCAAGTTCACTTGAACCAGTTTGTTCGCACAACTGGCGTTGTGACTTCATCCTCCAACGTTTTACCCCAGCTTTCCTTGGTCAAGTACAATTGTGACAAATGTAATTATGTGATTGGGCCGTTCGTTCAATCTCAGACTAACGAAGTCACCCCGCAAGCGTGTCCTGAATGTCAAAGCCGTGGACCGTTCCAGGTAGATCTCATATTTCGTACTTGAATTTTTGATCGAAAAAATGAGAGAACCATAAAGAATACCGAGAAGCCTTCGTCAACTCTTCTCATGTAGTATTTATGTGTTAACTTCATATCGTCTTGTACTTTTAATGCTCGCTCTTCTGTCACTTGTGATGCTTACTTCTCTGGTGTACATCCTGCATTTTATTCTGCAACGACGAAAATGTCTATCCTTTCAGATTTTGTCAAGCTCTCGTTGTAATGTCACTGAAACGTTTTCAATTTGGTATTAACGTTTTTTTTTTTTTTTTTTTTAATCAGCTCAACATTGTATATTTTTCAGGTGAATATGGAGGAAACAGTTTACAAGAACTATCAGAGAATCACTATTCAAGAGCCTCCGGGCAAAGTTGTTGCTGGAAGATTGCCGAGGTCAAAAGATGTGATTCTGCTTGGAGATCTGTGTGATTCCTCTAAGCCTGGGGATGAAATCGATCTCACTGGAATTTATACTCACAGTTACGATGGGTCCCTAAATACTGCCCAGGTTAGTGACGTACCCATTTTTCTTTTTATTATTTCTTTCAGTTCCTCACTTTTAGTGCTACTGTAAAATTTTCCGATTTCGATGATTGCTGCAGGGCTTCCCAGTTTTCCAAACAGTTATTCTTGCGAATCATGTTGTGCGTCATGACAACACAAATGCGGTACAGGAGCTTACAGAAGATGATTTGAAGCAAATCGTCGCTCTAAGTAAAGAAGATCGCATCGCTGATCGGATCTTCGCTTCTATGGCTCCATCCATCTACGGTCACGAGAATGTAAAACGAGGACTCGCGTTAGCGTTGTTTGGCGGCGAATCCAAGAACCCAGCGCAAAAGCACAAGGTTTGAATTTTGGGAATATTTGGGGGGTACCTGTATTTTATTTTTATACTTTATAAGCTGTAGAATCTCGTTACAGCGAATACTTCCCACAGAAATTTTTTTTGTTCCTGCCAATAGCCACAATTTTAATTGCGTTTATTTATAACGATTATATGGCTTTTTATAAGATTATAAAGAAGCTATGTTATACAGTGGCATCATAGTTACAAGACTTTACTTCATTAAACTGTGCATCGTGCGTATAATCATGATAATAAAAAATTACGCTTGTTTTTCATCAGAAATTTTCTACTGAGTAACTTTTTTCATGGCTATGGTGATACCCAAGATCTATGAAATCGTAGAACATTGGAATGATGATAGAATGCGGCATATGCTGTGCAGTAATTCGATTCAGTTCTTGAGATTATATAAACATATGAGTAGGAGTCATCCTTTTTAAACTCATGAATAAAATTACCTTCAATCCACAGGTTCGTGGAGATATCAACGTGCTTGTTTGCGGAGATCCTGGAACAGCCAAGTCTCAGTTTTTGAAATATTGCGAAAAGATCGCACCAAGAGCCGTCTTCACCACCGGACAAGGAGCGTCTGCTGTAGGTCTGACAGCATATGTTCAAAAATCCCCTGTTACCAGGGAATGGACTCTCGAAGCTGGTGCTTTGGTTCTGGCTGACAAAGGAGTTTGCATAATCGACGAATTCGATAAGGTAAACAGAAAAAATAATAGTCCCCCTCCCCATTTTGAGTTTTTTTTTTTCAACACTCAACGTTCCGGAATTGCTGAAATTTCTTTGTCATGTTGGTGGTGATGCCTGAATATTTTTGCGTAATTTATGGGAGGTGAGTTATCTGATCGTGAGATGAGGTAAATTTTTGTCGGATTAGTGATTCAGGCGACATCTACCCGATATTCTAGGGAATGTGTGGTCGTTTTCTGCTTGGGTTTACAATTTTGGCTTGTCTTTTAATAAAGATGAATGACGCCGATCGAACCTCCATCCACGAGGCCATGGAACAGCAGTCGATTTCCATTTCCAAAGCTGGCATTGTAACTTCGCTGCAGGCTCGTTGTTCGGTTTTGGCTGCCGCTAATCCTATTGGTGGTCGGTACGATCCGGCTTTAACTTTCTCTGATAACGTGAGTACCAAAAGCAAAAATTAGAATTGCTGACCTCTCAAACGATTGCTATCATTCAGGTGGATTTAACGGAACCTATTCTGTCGCGTTTCGACATTTTGTGCGTCGTGAGAGACACCGTAGACAGTGTGGAGGACGAAAGGCTCGCTAAATTTGTCATCAATTCACACATGAAGCATCATCCCGATGCTTTTGATGAGGATGGTGAGCCTCTGGATGTGCTCGACTTGCTCGACATTGAACCCGTCGAAACTGGCCTTAGCAGCATTGAGCCCATTCCGCAGGTAGGCTATTCTAATTCAGGTCAAAGATTTGATTAACGATTTCATGGAAATTACGTTTGAAGTTTTGAATGAGATGGGGGAATTCAATTTCTTCGTGTTTTCTCACGAATGATATAAGAGAGGTTTTAAAAATAATTGCCGGACTTGCGAGTAAATCACCAGTTGAACTTGTCATTTTATAAACGATTTTCAGAAAAGCATTTTAAAAACGATTTTCAGAAAAGCTTGTAAGCAGCTGTTGAAATTTAAGGAAATAATTTCTTGTCAATTGTGTTTTGCATTTATTTCTTTGATATTTTTTTAGCATTTTTCAAATGAGTAAATGCAGCAGCGGAAATGCAATCATAAAACCATCACTAAAATTTTCGGTAGTGGGCTATTATTAAAATGGGATGTTCTGAGATCTCAAAAATGACCTCACACTTCAACTTGAATCAATTTTGCAGGAAATGTTGAGAAAATACATCATGTATTCTCGAGAACGCGTCCGACCGAAGATGCACAAGGTTGACAGTGACAAAGTTGCCCAAATGTACTCGGATCTTCGTCGGGAATCCATGGTGGGTGTTCGCTATTTTCTTGTGGAAATCTTGTGTGTTGTATCATTAAACGAGTCTCGATTGAATTATTTCAGGCCACCGGAAGTGTACCTATTACTGTGAGGCACATTGAAAGTATGATTCGTATTGCTGAAGCACATGCGCGAATGCATCTGAGGGACTACGTGCGCGAAGACGATATTAACATGGCGATTCGAGTGACTCTGGAGAGTTTCATTGATGCTCAGAAATTCTCTGTGATGAAGAACATGCGTCGTGTAAGTTCCTGATTCTTGACGCTCTTTTTTTCATCTCGTAAAAAGTGTTCGTTCTTCCACGTATAAACCCTTGCCTTGTTCTTCTGAAATGCGTAGTTATTCGTAAGTAAGACCTGCTAGCCTGCTGCAAATTTAGGCATTCATGCTGAAAGTCAGGTTCTCGTAGTTTGTGATATATATGATATCGCCGCTGGAAAGTCGAACCACAATTTCCCTGTTAATCCCTGAGTAAAAATACCTGTGTCATAAAAATACTTCAAAATAAAGTCCAGTTTCATTCTTTCTTGAGAAAATAAAATAGAAGACCGATTCAGTCACATATCCTAGGTTAGGCTCGAAAAATCATCAAGGTTCAAAAGATTCAGGCGAGATCTTCTTCTTGAGGACCAAGAAGAATTGAGAACGTCTTGCGTAGAAAAAAAAACCTGGTTTTACGGATCTGCAAAATTGATCTGTTTTCGTTTTTGCTCAACGAACGATCCATTCACGCAATATTGAAAAAGCAGCATTCCTAATAAATTTAGCACTTTCTTTCTCAATTTATTTTCTTAATACTTTGCATGACGTTGAAGTATGAATATTCGGTTGAAAATCTTACATTGATCTTTGTTTCTTTTCATGTCACGCAGACTTTCTCCAAATATTTGTCATTCCGACGGGATAACAACGAGCTCTTGTTCTTCTTGGTGAAGCAATTAATGAAAGAACAAGCCATGTACTTGAAGAGTCGATACAAAACTGACCAAAAAGTTTTGGAAATTTCTGAGAAAGAAGTTGCTGACAAGGTACGTATATAATTTTACTGGGTATTTAATTCTTGGTGGACTATTTCATTTATATTCTCGTTGATTGCAGGCGCGTCAGATAAACATTTTCGACATCAGGCCCTTCCTCAACAGCAAGATGTTCAAGAACCGTTTTAATTACGATGCAAAACGCCAGCTGATAATTCAGTCGGCCGCGTGAAAATCTCGATTTTTTTTATCGACTGATCTGCTACTGGAATTTTATTCGCGAACATCTTTTGATTGAATTTTATCATTTCCTGAATGCGTAAAAAATTTGATCGATGCCAATTTTTCGCATGTGAAAGTTTTTTTTTATTCGTATCCATTCGGAATTTCCGCAGTTTTTAAATTTGCATTTTCGTAACTCTCTTGAATTTCTGAACATTTTACCTCAGTTTGAAAGAATTTTCCGTGTTTATTATTAATCTCCGCGAATTAATCATTCTATGATGTGGGATTTGCCTGAATGAAAATGGCGAACATTCAATTTTTATTTTTACACAGGATTCAATACATGCGTGCACTTTTTATTTTCTTTCCGAATTACAAATATGCAGTCCAATTCTGCTTCGGAGCCGGTTTCTACGTTTTTACGCGTCCGGTAAGTTTTATTTTGTGCTTTTTTGATGGTAAGTGGAACTAATCCAATCTTTTTGTTTTTAGACCTTTTCGAGATGGTGAACAGAAGACCTCTTGCTTTGATTCCATCGGTAATCGAGAAGTTAAAATAGTGGACAAACATCATAGATTTTTTCAGTTTTCAAAAGCGTTTGGACCGACTGCAAAACAGGTGAGTTTCGTTTCCTCATACTGCGAATTTGTTTCGTCGGTTAGGTCATTTATGTGTTACCAATGTATCCTCCGCAACAATTTTGATACTTGTGTGGAAGAAGGGTGGGATAGTGAAGAAGAAAACTAATCCTACGTCGTTCAGACAAGTTTAGTATTCGGGAAATACAATGCCCACCGTATATGGACTTATGAAAAAGAAAAAGAACTCCCCGTGTTATTTTTTTTACTTCAAATTTAATTGGCAATTGAGAGACGTAAATCGTTGTCCTGAGGATGCCACTGATTTGCGCCACATCTCCGAGGCATGAGTCCTGGTCTCGAAAAAGCCGAACATTTTTACTTTCCTCGCCCTGGCGCAAAACTTGATTGGTTGTCTGGACAATTTCGACGATTTCGTTCGTCCGAATTCCCCCATTTCTTTCTGTCTCACTTTCAATTGACACCATTTTCACTATTAGTTGTTCATGATTTTCTTAGAAATTCCTCTATTGATTTATGATTTTGTCTATGCTTTTTGTGTCATTATTATATAATCGAGGGATCATCTTGCGTCATCATGATACTTTCTTCAGGTTGATGTGTATGAAGCAGCTGTTAAACCCTTATTGAAAGACGTCCTCGCCGGACACTCGTGCAATGTTTTTCTCTATGGCCAAAGCGGCACCGGGAAAACGCACACTTTGCTCGGGGGCAGATGCGTGAGTGAAAATAATCCTGAAGAAGAGCATCTTCCACTTACTGCGAATTACCTTATGTTGAATTTGATCCATGGATCTTTGAAAGCAGCTGTTCCCAAGGGAAGTCTTTTTTTTTTCCTTGCATCACCAAAATGTATTTTAATCTAGGAAAATGACGGGATTCTGCCGCAATTCCTTGAATCCTTGTGCACGGAGCTGGGAAAGCTTGAAAATGAAACCTATGCCTCCATGTCTGTGTTTTCCGTTGCAAACGAAGATTTGAGAGACATGAGTGGTGTGACAAGAAATTCGAATGATAAAAAGCTGAGGTGCGATTTTTCATTAGAACTCCTGTTTCTGTTAAAGGCTTACTCTGAAGAATGGTTTTTTTCTTCCATGTCAGATTGGTTGAAGACCAAAGCCGCAAAGGCTCGATTGTTATACAAGGGGCAGATTCAATCACTGTTCGATTACCTTTACATGGGTTGTTCTCACAGTTGAATCGTGCCATGTCGGAAGTGGGCTTGGAACAATTGAGGTATGGAATTGTTTCGAATGAACGATTTTTAGCCAGCTATTGCGTCTTCACATTATTTTCAGGAAGTCCTCGCTTATTTTCACTATCACGGTGTACATCATTGAAGTGAAGCCAAATGGAGAAGAGGTGACCATGGGAAAGATCAACTTTTTCGATTTAGCCGGTATGATGATTTTCTCCCTTTCCTGATTTGAAGTATTTGAACTTAATGGATTTCTATTTAGCCGTTAAGATACTTTCTCCCTTTTGTATTGTTTGAATTTAATGGATTGTAATTTCTTATTCAGGGAGTGAAAATCTTGGAAAATCCACTGGTCCTCTGAAAGGGAAAGATGCGAATGCGCATCTCTCTTTGATCACTTTCAGTAGGTTGGTCACTATGCTGTCAGAAGGTGCGAAACACCTGCCGTACAGGTGAGGATCATTTGAGATTTAATCCAATTATTTCCTTTGACCATTACAATTGTTCTCCATGCCATTCTTCTGGCGATGGTGACGGAGATTGATTACTGACTGACAACTTGCAACCACGAATATTTTTCTAGTACGGGTAACTCTCTCTGTCTCTCTAACGATCTTGTCTACAATGATGTTCTCCGTATAAATTATTTATTTTTGGTTCTAAAGGGCTCTCTTCCCATGCTGCAGGTGTTCTCTAAAACGATTATTTCTGGTCCCTTGAGTTTCTCTGTCGAGAGTCCACTTGTGCAGGTATTACAGTAGCTGCAATGTGAGCTTTGTCTGTTATAAGTTAAAAGGAAAGAATGCATAAAGCTGCTGTGGGGTTTCCGATTACGTGAGTGTGCCGTGAGAGTGTCGGCATAATCCATGTTCGTAAAGTCCTGACTCATGAATAAAATTGGAGATTGATTTGTTAGAATCCTCTAAATGTTAATTTAACAGAAGCCATAAAAAAAATTCAGAAGGGTCCCTATTATTTTCCCTCTTGAAAAGGTCACCTAGAACTCTATCAACTCTCATGCGCATCAAGAGGAGCAAGTAATTGGGATGACCCAGCGTAAAACTCAAGTTCCGTGACACCTTCGTGCTTTGAGCAATTCATCATTGTGTCAAGTACAGTACTGTAAAAAAATTAAAGCACATTCCTCTCACCCATTTGTCACTTTCGACGCACGGTGAGTGAAAATCAATTCTGGGGGTTTTGAACAGTTATCAAAAATTTCCATTGCGAATATTTTTGAAGCATGGTTTTCATATTGTCTGCAGTCTGCACGTGTTTGATGTGTGTTGATCAGTATTTTGTCTGCTCCAGTTTTCTGAACCTGTTGACATTGATATTGAGGTTTTTTTCGTTAAAACCATTAAAGCCTAATTTTTATTCGATTTTAGGGACTCGAAGTTGACTCGTTTTGCGCAGGATGCCTTGGGAGGGAAAGGAAGAACAAATTTCATCTTCACCACCTTTGGTGGTACGACGGACATTCAGGAAACACAAGCAACTCTTGAGTTCTCGGCGAAAGCTCGTCAAATTACCACAACTCCCGAAGTCTTCTCGACCTTCAGTAAAAACATTTTAACGAAGGTGATGAATTTTTCAAATGGATTTTTAGCTCCGTTTTTTTACGTGTGAATTTCCGTTCGTTACGACCGCAGTATCTCGAAGAAGAAAGCAGAAATATTCAGGAGGAAATCAACCGTGTGGTGAAAAAGCAGGGAGTTTATGTCGACCCAGATGTGGTTGAAAAGCAAAATGCCGAGTTCTCAAAGCGTAGCGAAGATTTGGTCGCATTAAGAAGCGATTTGGTGAACTGTCGACAACGCTTAGCATTTTTAAAGGTGAGAAGAAATTTTTTTAAATTCTCTATTTCTTTAGGAAATACCTCGATTTATTTTCATCCAGTTGTCGATAAAAGAAATTGACGCCCAAGCCGTTGAAACGCAAGGACGAATCCTATCGGGAACTCAGAGTTTATCGAAAATAGATGACCAAATTTTGCTTGAGGAAGCGAAGCTTTTGGCGAAGAGAGACGCGATTCAAGAGGCTCTCAGCGTGACTCACAGTCTGTTCGACGAACGGAACACTTACTTGGAGCTTATCACCATCGACAAGTAAGCCGTGCTCCAGTTTTCGATTTCTTTGAAAATGGTGGCCCAGCAAATTGTTGGCCTTCTTTCGGAAATGAAAAGAAGGAAATTGAGGGTCGCAAGAGAACTCAAGTATCAAGCTACAGTATATCACGAACCAAGTGGGACGTTACGAGTCAACAAAAACTAACTGTGCTTGAACCGTGCACGATCTAATAAACGGGACAAAATTCCGGTGACATCTATGTCTTCGCAGAGAAAACTGCGGCCTCTTGAGAATCTGTGACGATCAAATGTGAAGAACAATTTTTGGATTCTCTAAAATTTTTGGGAGATTCAGAGAGGCTGCTAACAATTCAAGAACAATTTTTAGATTCTCTGAAATTTTTGGGAGATTCAGAGAGGCTGAAAACAATTTAATTTTTGGGTCGCTTTTATTTCCAATTTTTTTAGCCTGTATGCTTTTTCGAATTTTTAAGAAATTCAGAATTTTAATTTACGCAGATCATTGCGAGATCGACACGAAGCATGCTTGAAGCAGTTGCGGTATGCTTGGGAAGAAGGTTTGGTGAATGCGCGATTGCACGTGGAAAATCTTCGCATAATGAATCGGAGTTGTTGGGACATGCTAAATACCCTACCAGGTTAGACGTTGATATTCGATAATTAATTCTCTTAATTCCATTCTAATACTTTCGTGCGCTTTCCAGAAACAATCGGATTGAGCAAGGAGTTGCAGCAGAAAGCCAAGTCGCTTGATGAAGCCAGTTCTAGTATCGACGAGCATTTTGAGGATATGAAAGCATTGATGGAAGCTCAGGTATGGTATTACCGTGCTGCTTTTGATTCTGTATTTCGACTTGCTCCTTTTTTATATTCGGGAGAATTGAATAGGAATAGGTGTTGGAAAAAGTAAAAAGCGGTGAACGTATTCCAACTGTACATATCTATTGCGAGGGTGGATTTTTGTAGAGTAGGTAGATGTCACGAATGCATTTCGATTTTTGCTGAGTTATCTTGACTGTCTTCTGATTCTGGGTCTCTCCCTTGCGTAAGAGATTATGGTTATGCTTTTGTTTGTTTTTCGTTTCCCCTACTTCTTGGAAAATCTTTAATCCTTGATCTGCGCCCAATTTTTATCCGCTTTGCCTACGTTTCACCCTACATTTAAAAATTTTTAAATCCCGACTCCTTATCTGTCCAGTAAGTGCCAGAGCACCGTATACTATTTAGACTAAGAGCTTCGAGGTAATTTTTCCCATGCATTACAGGTAAAAAAGTTTGAGGATCTCGGAAACCACGTGGCACAAGCGGACAAAGAAAGGCTCGAAGCTTTGAATGTTGCTTATCATAATACCCGGTTGAAAATGGAGAAATACGTGGAACAGCAAACGCAACGCGCCTCTGCTTCGTACGAAAGGTTGATCCAGGAGCTCGACAAATTAATTCGAGAGGTAAGGGTCATTCCCTCAAAATAGTGTTCGAACGAATTGCACGTCGAGTTCATTTTTTCGAGTAATATTAAATTCGTTTCATGCAGCATTGCAGGTAGAATGAAAGGCTTGTCATTATCTGAATCATATACTTTCTTGTGCGTTCTTCGATGGAGTTACAGCTACCATGGATCTTGACCACTATAGACATCCTTCTCCAATTTTTTGATATCAGAGTTGATCTCTTACGATTTCCTGCGATCTCAGGGAAGGAACCACTGATCTTCATAAAAAAAAAAGATGAAAGCTTTTTTCAGTAATATATTTTCAGTTGAAAGCAGAGGAAATTCCGTTTTTTGTGAGATGTTTCGATTCTTCGATTGAATTGTCTAAAAAGAACTGATTCGTTCAAATTCGTGTAAGTGTTGAAGAAAGATAACACTAATTTTCTATCTCTAAGCAAATGGTGAGAATTTTCTCTGGGCCGCGCGTGGGAATCGAAAAAGTCATTGTATTATGTCGAAATCTCGAACAAATGTGTCTATTTATGATCATAGAACGAAAAGTGTGTAGCGTTGACTGTGGAAGGCAACGACGTGGCGAAGGAGCTCGTCAGCAAACTGAATGGAGTGCATTCGGATTCCTTGACCGTCGAAGGACAAATTTTTCAGAAGATATCCGAAGAATCTGACAACGCTGAAGCTCGCGCGGAACGAATTGTGGATGAAATAGCCCCTCGAATTTTGAAAGATTTCGACGAAATCTCGGCGAATCAGCAAGAATGGCTGATTTTTCTTGATAATGCGATTTCGCAAGTCGAGCATTGTATGGAGAATCGGAACCAAGGCTGGGATGAGATGAAAGCTTTGACTGGAGACTTCGACAAAAAAATGTACTCAATTTGTTCTGATCGGAATCGACAACTCGATAAAATCTCCAAGTTAGCTGGTGGGATGCAAAATGAGGTTAGATAATTTTTCTAATATCAAATGTTGCCTGAATTTTATTATTTTTAATTTTATTACCCGACGTCAGCGATTCCGGAATCTCCCGTCAGTGTATTTTTTTAATTTTTTTTTTTTTAATTTTGCAATTAATGTATCACAGTGAGGTTTGATTAATTTCCATTCGATGTACTCTGAATTCCTTTACGGCACAGTATTTAATTGATATATATATATTTATATTTAATTGATTTGGGATCATGTTCAGATTATTTGTACTAGTTAATGCTCAGGCGTCACCTGTCGACAGTCAGGTAACTAAGGTTGGTATAAGTAGATGGAAAACTTTCCTTTTTGCAGATGAACGAATCGGCGCACGAATTTGGCATTCAGATGAACAACCTCGCAGAAGACATGAAACATGTTTGTGAAGAAAGAGATGAACGACTCCGTGACATTGAACAGATCGTATCTGAGACTGAAACAGATTGTTCGGGTGAATCTCAAGAACGAGCTGAAAAATTCGAAACTACGAAGAAGGCGAGTGCGAAGGATACTTATGAAATTCCAGCATTGAAATTATTTTATTATTTTTTTCTAATCACATGATGCAAATTATTTACAGGAGATGTTGGAATTGTTGATGAAGGCGCAATCATTGGCTGCAGCAGACCCTGCTGTTGTTGATCGGGTTCTGTGTGAGTTGGATGACTTCAAACGGGGACTGCAGGAGGCAGTGAAGAACACGGAAGTAGCCGTCAAAGAAATCAAGGATGAATGTTCCCAATACAAACTTTCGGACGAAATGAAAGCCGAATTCGTGGATGTTGCTCCAACCGGTGAGTTCATAAATTTTATTAATTCACTGTATTTACCCTTTTCTCAAAGTGCTCATTTTCAATTGTGTCAACGCGAGAAGTAATAAACAGTATTTTCTAGTTTCAGTTTTCCAGGTTAGGATTATTTTGTCATACCGAATCAGGTTTTTGGTTTATGATTTCACAAGATTAGCCGAGGCTCTTAGGTATCGCTATTAAGTTCTTAGGCTAGGATAAGTACGGGATATTGACCTCTCATGTGTTGATGAAATTCGACGGAGGTTGGTAGTTCTAGGATTCAAGCGACACCTGCCGAAAATCCAACTAAGCAAGGTTGAGCCTTGGAAGTGAAAAGCAATTGCTAAAACTGATGAATAATATATTTTTAATTTTATGAAATATGAAGCTAATTTATTTATTTTGATTCCAGGATTGACTCCTGTCAGGAAGGATTATAGCAAATTAATCCGAGAAGTGGAGTTCACCCCGATGAGGGAAATCAACGAGTGACAAGTGTTGTGCGTGATTGAAGCTTAACTACGCTAAATTTTTCACTCTTGGTAATCTTGATACTTGTGCGTTTGCTGCAGAAAAGAACGCTTGCATTATTTTTGTGTTGTGAATATTTGAAATCGAGCAAGTGGCCTCGGAACTACGTAGGCGTTTCTTGCATTTTTTATGTGCTGTATACGAATGGATGAAGGTATTTCTACGTTGCAGTTTTTCAATTAATTAATGTATCTCCAGCATTTCTTTCCTTTCTCCGTGAACAGCTTGCACTCATTCAAGTGCTGGATATCTTGGATGATTCATCATGAAATGGTCGAGTCGGTGTCACGTGCACTTGAAAGAAGAACGAAACAAATATTGAAAATAAGGTTTATTGCGTACTGCATTTTTGTTCATCACAGGATCATGCAACTTTCTTGATAACGGATTGGTGCAGCATGTGCACTTCCTCCTTGATATACTCCAACGTTGTGCGGAGTTCCTCTCGTGACCTGAAAGAACCTTTGCGGCCGGCGAGTTGAATCCCAAGATTTCCATTGTAGCTATTGGCGACTACGCCGAGATCTGGTTTTCAAAAATTTTGCAAAATTATTAATTTTTTTTCGTTTTTCGGGTTAACAAAATTTTTATATCTTTGCGCTTAGTACACTACCTTAATCTTTTCTTCAGCATATGTCAAAGATCAGAAAGCTTACTTGATTCGTTTGAACAGATTTTTCCGTATCTGTGCATTTTTAAATCGAAGGAATAATTTCGGATTTATCAAGGACTTACGATTTATAAAAATATGAATACAGTAGATTGAACTTAACGAAGCATGTAGAATCAATTTGTTTGCTGAAGATTTTCGGTTGAAATTGTAAGTTTCTGATGCATCAAATCCTGAAATAATTCGCATTGAACTTTAAAAATTAGCAAATATATATATGTCTAATCATATCCTCATATAAATCCGTGAGAAAGTGATTAGTTACATATGAAAAATTCGCTTATTAATCATGCAGAACCCTACTTTTGACTGACTAAGCAGAATAAAGATCATTTCTTCAAAAGTAAATAAATGTCCTGTTGAAAGGGGGAATGTTGAAGAATTGATCCTAGTTGGCTCATCATGAAATTCATTTAATTGCGTTAATGATTTCTTGTAGGCGTGAAAGTCGAAGGATAAAATTAATTCATGAGAAAATAATGTCAGAAACTATACAACCAGCAGAGAAACATTGAACTTATGAGCGATGTCAAGATTCTTCATTTTCAAGAACCATTAAAGAAAACTAATTTGTTCGTGGAAGTTCTTTAACTTCGCTTGTCGTGAAATAAAATAAGTGGGGATAATTAAGTAGTTTTGTAAGTCGCCCTTACCCAAGTTTTCCCACATGCTGACGTAAGCGGTCATCGCAAGCAGCTCGTGGCCAATCAGCGTTTGCTTCACGTCAGGACCTCGTACATTCGAGAAAACTCCCGTGAAATTCTTGCAGCCCGCAAATGCCAGGTCAGAGATCAGCAAAGGGACGCAGTTGATCAAGGTACTGCCGAAGTTGAACATGGACCAGCTGTACATCATCCTTGACGGATCTTCGAAAGTATGTTTCACCGTCCTTAGAGTCTCCATTCTGTCTCGGGTCAGTTCCGTGTCTTTCATGCTGTAAAGTAAACCTGAGACAAAGAGGAGAACATGCTAAAATTTTCCCGTGGGATACGGAAACCTTTAAAAGACTGCTTAAAAAGATGAGAGCAGGAAACGACCGGTTATCACGGAGTTTTACCCATCTACAGTGACCGTCAATACAACATTTAGTATATCATTTCTTCTTTTTAATCGAGTGTTCCCTAAACGCGTTTTACTTCAGGTACGATATCTATGAATCATGAACTGTTCTAATAATTTGGCCAGAAAACAATTTATATTGATTAACCAACCGAAGTCTCTGAATAAAGAAGAAGAAAAAGAACCTCTAAAATTCATATTGTTTTTGGATTTCGATCAAATTTGACTTGAACTTGTTTTACTAAGCTTGAATCAGGAGAACCATGCAGTTTTTTTTTTCTAGGTTTTGTCAAAATGTTTTTGAACTTGATTCACTCTCCTCGCCCAAGCTTTTGACGATTTTTTATTATTTGCTATAAACTAAAGTAGCCCAGCCAAAAACATATCCGTTTCAAATATGCAGTACTGATTCTGATTTTAAAATACCTGATGTTCTGTTGACCAATTCCAACTTGTCCCCTGGTACCCAGCAACTTTGTGGTATGACTAGTGTCCAATTACGTTCCCTCGTGGATCTCATTTGAAGTTTCTCCAAAATGCCCTCATCCTTTTTGCACCCAAGAACAGTTTTTGGGTCAGCTGCGATGTCTTGGCTGATTCTTTGCAAAGCTTTGTAAATGCACGAAGCCAAAATCGTGTTCAATTTGGCCCCGCTGGATGCTTGGATATCTTTGAGCATTTTCAAAGGCATTTGGATTGGCCGCAAAATGTACCTGTTTTGATTAAACGATTATTTTCATTGATTATGTCACGATATTTCTGAGAGAAAGCTGGCTTAAAGTTTGATTAATTATCGAAATAAAATTATGTTGTCTACCCTGTATAAGATCTGCTGTAAATAGCTATAAGACTTGCTCTTTGGCATATTTTTTTGCTCAGTGCATGGCTTCCTTTCAATGAGTTCATATGCTGCTTGGGATAAATAAGAGAACATTAAATTAGCTATTTAATTTGAGGTTTCATTTCCTAGCTATACTGTATTTGATTCCGAGTCCCTAATTCTTGCTTTGAAACAAATTTTTTCAGATTGTATGGAAATGTCAATAAGCACACTCAATATGTTTATTTGGGCTTCAGTGGACCATGAATTTAATACTTTTCTCATGGCCCGACCTTTTGGACACCAAAGCATCCTGTCAGCATAAAAAGCCAATCAAGTTTACCATGAAGCCACATGTTTTTAGGTGTTCTGTTAATTTTATTAATCTGTAAAATGTAGAAATAATTATTTAACTCCTCTTGAAGATGCAGTAACAACTAGACTTGATTGTATTGTCAGGACACAGCATGCAGTTAAAAATTGGGCATTCTGAACATGTTTGTGCTAATGAGGTGTAATGAATGAACACATTAATCTATTCTGAGTGGAGAGCTATTCTTGGTGTGAACTGATAATAACTGGTGCATGCTGGGGTCACAACCAGCAGTGCACATGGGCTATTCTGGGGTTACAAGCATGCGCCTCATGTATAAATGAAATTATGCTACCATTCCAGGGCTACATTTGGTGCACAAGTGTGGCATAACATGAGAACACACAAGTGCACCAGCTGTAACCTTGTTGTGACTTTTTGTTTACAAATTTTACCCTGAGTAACCCTGGTGGGAACACACAACTGGTCAGATTAAGGATATATACATGTGCAAATTGAAAACTTTGGCACACTTCATTACAGGCACATCCCCAGTGCGCACCAATTTCTCCACTTGGGATAGTGAAGCAATGAATGAACACATTAGTCTAAATTCGAATGGATTAACACGTTAATCTATAATGAAGTAATGTACTTTTCTTAGTTAGTGGAAGGTAGGTAAAAGGGAGAGGATCGTACTTATCCTAAGTTCAGTGAACCGGTCTTGGGTAACTGTTTCATCCGGGACTTCTCTCGGTTTCCCTAGTACTCCTTAGGTCAAAGACAGAGCCAAGCTCTTTGGACACTGCTGACTGCCTTCATGTGCTGGAAAAGCACACTGGGGTCTGACGCGGGGTCCATGTCAAAGAGCTTTGGAAGGATCACCAAGCTCATGGCGCCTCCATCCAAGAAACAATGGTCAATGTGCATTAATATCACAGTCTCCATGTTTCCATGTTGTGCGTTGCTTGTTGTGGGTCTTTTCCTGTAGAACACATGATTAGCGGTAGAACCGCGATCAGCTAGGACACCCTTTTAGAGACTTAACCGGTGAACGAGGTGTCGCAGGAGTTTGAGGAACAGCCAGAGTTGATGGACAGTGCTTCAAATAGTTACTTTTTAATAAAGAGTTATCAATGAAAAATTATTTGAGTTATCAATGAAAAATTATTTGAGTTATCAATGAAAAATTATTTGAGTTATCAATGAAAAATTATTTGAGTTATCAATGAAAAATTCTTCAAGTTCTCTGAAATTTTATACTTGTGCCAAAAAATGTTCATAAATGCAAGAGACGAAAAATTCCTTAGCATTACCCAATTTTTAAAGATCAGGAAAATGACTCAAAGAATTATTTCACTTGGATGATTTTCATTTTTTGGCTTTATTTTAAAATGGCCACCTCTTGGCAAACATTTGAAAAGATAAAACAGCAACTTTTTGAAATGCATGCACTTTTTAGCACAAGGTATGCTGTGAGAAAACCAATTTTTATCTGGCTCCCTTAATTTTGCTAAAAAATTCGTTCATGCAGCATTTTTGCTATGCATGAGTCAGCTATTTTATGTATGGTACCCACAGTAATCATATACATCATGCCTACAACCTTAATTACCTCGCACAACTTATTGAAGAAAAAAATGAGTATCCAACATAAATACATTGTATTACTTGTACAGTAATCTTTCAAATTGTTTCTGAAAGAAGTGATATGCCTGTTTCATACTTGGGTTATGTGTTGCTCAAATAATACATTTATCACATAAACTCAAAAAGCACCCCTTCCAACTTTTCATGCAAATTGCAAAAGTTGGGTACTTGTGGTATACAAATCTTCAAAAATAGAAAAATCCACTTTGAGTCATTATTAAATTAAACAAAAAGTTCCAAACAAATGCCGCATATTTTAAAACCCACAATATTTGAAAATGTAATTTTAGGCTCTAGCAAAAGCTGGATAAAATTTCCCTCACTTATGAAACAAATTCTTAAATTAAACGCTTCAGTAATCTTTTATCTGAGACTAAGTTCACATTTTCTACTTGCTGAAATTTTTAAAGTACAGTATTGAATTTTGAATCAGGCAATAACTGGGGTACACATTTTACATAGCTTTTTTGCAACATATTTTTGGAATAAATGTGTTTTTTATGTGCTTTGGGATAGATTTTTTTGGAAAAATTGTTCTTGAAATCAGGGTGCAGTACAAGTACACCACATCTTACCTTAGGGTGCATGGTATGTGGTACCTTTCAATTCAACCCTAATCCATTGCTGGACTAGTGTCCAATTTCAAAGCACTAAAATTGCAAGACAACATCAAAATGCCATGTAGAAAACATGCCATTTGATGTTTCATGTCTCTCTGCAGGTTCCATTGTGTGGCAAAGGTAAAATTTAGAGTCAGTACCTCCTAGCAAAGTTATCTGTCAAATTGTGGGATGGTCACATTGCAATTGCAGGAGGTCAAATAATTCCAAGGTGCCACCTGTACTGGACTTGATATTAAATACTGTATGTATGCATTTACTATATGGTGATGGTAAATGATGAGAGGAATTTTTCTTCATGCAAGAATGACTGAAGAAAACTATGAAAATGAATCCCCCCCCAAATGTTTTTTTAAACAAAAAACATAATAATAATAAGAAATAATAGGGAAAATACTGTAATCTAATTAAATGAAACAAGATAACCAACCAGAGGAGATCCTTCGGCATCCAAAATGACATTGAAATGGTTCCCAATGTCGAAATTCTTGCACGGATAGTAAATCCTGTACCCGTGGAAATATTCAAAGGTGGAGCTGAGTTTCGGGTGCAGAAGCGCCCCATTTTCTGCTCTGGCGTCCACCAAAGTCGTTTTGAACCTGTGGCGAAGTGTTTCCAGTTTGGCTTCTCCTTGGACTTCGAGGACCATGACCAGCAGTGAATCCGCGGTTCGCATGGCTTTCACTATCGTCGAACAATCCGAAGGTGTCAACAAATCCGCAGATGCACCGAATTTGACTTTGACGATTATCCTCATGATGATTCTGTTTGGACGTGCCATGTTTCACTGTCCTGTCCCAGATATGATGTGCTGGGAAGCTTTTCTTCCTGTAATCACAAAAGTGCAAACTGGGTCACAATACTTGGTGCACCTGAGAGATTCAGGGGTTACAATACTGTGCTCTGGTGTAGATGCAATTTTGAAACCATTCCAGGGTTACATTTGGTGCACAGGGTTACCAAAGGTAGACTGTCTTTGGTGTACATCTGCTGCATGGGCTATGGATACCCTCTATGATGTAAACACATCATACTATTGCAAATTTGGGTTGCATACATATTTGTAAAGAAAATGTTGGCACACTTTGGGTGAATATCAGCAGGGTTACCTGCGTGCATTTTACTTGTGTAGCCAAAGTACGTGTGCACCAATCAATACCCACCTGCCCGAGGGAAGCTATATTCTTTGTGTGACCCCACAACTGGTGCCCACTGGGGTCAAAACTGGTGTACATGGGCTATTCAAGGGTTACAAGCATGCACCTCTGTAGATGAAATTTTGCTACCATTCCAGGGCTGCATTTGGTGCACAAATGTGACATAACAGGAGTGTCACACAAATGCACCAACTGTAACCTTGGTGTAACTTTTTTGTTACAAATGTGACCCTGAGTAATCCTGGTGTGAACACACAATTGGTGCACATTGGGGATATGCATGTGCCAAAGAAGGACTTTGGTACACTTCAGGTGCACAGCAGGGTCACTGCGCATATCCCAAGTGTGCACCATTTCCCACACTTGGGTGTGTAAACACACTAAATACTAATAAACATTTACTGTTATACACATGTGTGTAAAAGAGGAAAAAACTTGTTTGAACTTCAGATGCCCAGCTGGGGTTCCTGTGTGATTACATGCATAGCCCAATTGTGCACCAATAAATGAATACCCTGTATAAACACATCACATAGAGATAAAACCTTTAGTGCACTTAAAGTGCAGGACTTAAAGTGCACTGAAGGATTTACATGTGTAGCCAAAGTGTGCACCAACAGATACCATTTGTAAAGACAGCAGAGCCAGGTGCACTTTTGTTACACACATGTGTAAACAAAACAAAAATTATTGGTGCACTTCAGGTGCACAGCAGGGTTTATTATGTGATTACATGTGCTGTAGCCAGCAAAGTGTGCACTAATAATGGATGCCCTATGCAAACACACCACCGGTGNACATGTGTAAACAAAACAAAAATTATTGGTGCACTTCAGGTGCACAGCAGGGTTTATTATGTGATTACATGTGCTGTAGCCAGCAAAGTGTGCACTAATAATGGATGCCCTATGCAAACACACCACCGGTGCATATTATTTGGTATACACACATGTGTATACAGTATAAAAGAAAGAGAAAAAAACATTGGCGCACTTCAGGTCCACATCAGCAGGGTTTCATAGGTGCGATTACATACAGTATATTTTATGTATAGCCAAAATGTACACCATTTGCTCCACTGGTGTGACATTATGGCTGTTGGAGAAAATCCCGTGGGAGAAAAAATCCCGCGGCCTGAAAATCCCATGTGGCCAAAAATCCTGTAGTCCCAAAAATCTTGCAAGGTCCAAAAATCCCGTTGGTACAAAAATCCCAAAAAGTGAATTTTCATATCAGAAAATCCTTGTTTGAAAACTACAGAATGCAGTGGAATTTAAACAATTCAAAATTATCCAAGTCTAAATACAGTTATATAGTAATATTTTATTTTCAATCTTAATCTTCAACATACAGTACATGATTTAGGAAATATTATAAAAAATCTTTAAAAAGTCCACAAATTTTCAAATCCACAAGATTTCCACCCAAATTGATGCAAGTTCATTACTTCAGAAGGGAAGGTTGAGCTATGAAAATCATGGGAAAAGTACACAGTTTATATACAAAACAATGCAGGCTCCAAATGAAGGCTACATCTTTCCCAGGCTTCCTCACCTTTCTCTTAAGAAAGATAAGGAAGTGAAGGTGAGATTCTATTGAGAAAGGTAATCCCTATTTTAGAGTAAAAAAT